AAGTGAAACTGAAAAAATATAATAAACATTTGAGGTGTTGCATGTGTAGTGTACGTATACATGAACGTATATCTGGTGAAAAAGTTGTGTGGCAGAAGAAAAGTTTATGTTTTATTTGCCTATTAAATAAAAGCAATATGCAAGGGCAGCAAGGCTTCATTTTCTGTAACGCGCATTATGCATATACTCTGAAGTATATATAGATCCCGCACAAGTTCATACACGATTGTACGCGTTTATCGCGTTGTCGACAGGTGGTGCACCATTGATAATCAGGACCACTTTCTTCAAGTAGTGTTTAATCAGTGCATGCTGATATCTATTGGTGGCAGTATTCGCCACCCCTGCCATGGGCACTCCACACCCTTGTGCACCCTTCTCGCACCCTCCTCAGAGGGTGCTAAAAAAGTGATGGACATCGAAGGCACCCTTCCTTAAGGGTGTTTTTTTAACACCCTACAGTTTTTTTACATGTACACCCTATTCTAAGGGTGCATGGTAAAGCACCCTTTTTGGAAGGTGCTGAATTAACACCCTTAGGGTGTCGTCCACGGGACAAGCTCATTTACACCCTTCTGGGTGTAAAAATTTTTACTGTGTGCGGCGTTTTTGTCCTCGTATTTTTCGAGCGTAGATGTTTGCGCATGGCTAACTGGCTCAAACCAAAACTTTATAACACAGTGTAACCCCTTCTGTTTGTTGTGTTATCAATGTTTCTAAGCTTCTTAAGTTTTCTAAGCTTATTAAAGTTCCTACACTCAAAGGCTTGGACAACGGCTCGCCGCGCTAAGCTTAGCCGTTGACGCCTAAAACTCACAAAATTACGTTAAAGGCCAGCACTCGGCGCATTACGTTAACGAGATCGTTGACGGCTCTCTGCGAACCGGCCCGCAGCCGACGCGTCTGGGAAGAGCCGATAATCTCGATTCGATCGGTCCTGCCCTGATAACGTGGCACAGCGTAATTCATTTGGGTCGATCGAAACCGTCTTCAGAACGCAACACGGATGCTGACACGTGTTTGAGGGGATCAAGCAGGCGCTGTGTCTACTCGGGCTCACTAAAGCTGTGTAGTATCAGGCCCATGACAACATACATCACTGGTTCACTACCACTTTGCGCGATTAGCTAATTAAAGACTAAACTTCAAAAATATGGACGCATAATGTTTCCATGGCTAATTAAAAGTTTTATAATGTTGAAGCCAAATGAATAATATTAATTTACGAATTTGGAGTCCAGAACACATAAGTTCAATAAGATGTTTTTGAACAGCAGAGCAGGCATCTCAAGGATGCTTGTATTCACCTCAAAAGTGCGGTCACATAGCGCAAAACAACGAAGGAAAATTAAGGAGCGGGGTTGGAGAGGATAAGCATTCTTCACCTGTCCTCTCCGACCTCTTTTTTTCTTTGGGTCGTTTGCACTAAGGGACCATAACTTTTTGATCATTGCTTCTCCGCTTACCCCCTCTCTTCTTTTTTTTTTGTCCTCTGCGCTAAGTGAGCATGCTTTATAAACCAACTAGCCCAAAAGCAAATACTTCTGAAACATCCCTAGGACAACGGTCCAATGAGAAGGTTCTCAAGGTGAAAATATTATAAATAGTGACATCTTGTTGCAGTTCGATGTAATGCTGCTTTTAAAGCACGTTTTTTATTATGGGTAAATGGGAGCGACCTGCATGCGCTAGCTTAAGTCAGGGGGGGGTGGTTGGGCGCTCCTGACCCTCTTTTTGTCCACGATGGGGAACGAGGGGGGGGGACCCTTTGCAAGTGTGCCCTTGAGATTTGTCTATCAGGTACCATAAACGCTCGAACTGCTTTTTAGTGTAGCGTAATCAACTTTTGTTAATGTTTATTTCAATAGTGTGCATGCCTGTGTGCAATACTTGTTCAGCTGTGTGAAACTATAAATCGCCGCTGCCACTCGACCACTTTTTGGGAAAGACTCAATCAAAGAGTGCCTTAAATTAGGCGGAAACCTAGGCTTTTTTTTTTCGAGAACGATTTCAAAGTGCGATTTCAATGTTACACAAATAAATGTGAGGACAATGTGGCCACCACTGAAGAGAAGTGTGTGTGTGCTCTTTTGATTTTTCGAGATTTATGCCACTAACTAATTAATAAAATAATGTTTAATTGATTCGTCCTTAAACAAGATGCTCACAGACTGAAAGAACAGCTCTCTGCAAACATTTCGTAAGCTTTTCTCTCTATTTTTAATACTTGCCAGCGGATCGGTCACATGGGGGTGGCACGTTCAGGGTCAACATGTTTTGAGAACGAGAAGCGAATAGAAACATGGCAGTCCGGCTTAGTCTTTACGTACGCAAAACTTAGGACAACGCGAAGTATGCCACATGGCTACAAACACGCCAAAAATATGAGCTCTGACGGAGCACTAACATATACAGAAGTCCTCCGGCGTGAATATTTGTTTTCTTTATTTTCAGGGTAGGATTAAGTGGAAATGTCATAATGCTTAACAAGAAAGACTTCTGTTCTTTAATTGCGTAGCACAACAAATATTTCATCAAGTTGGAAGCATTATTTACAGGGCGTCTCAATTTCCACGTAGCGCATTAAAAAAAAAGAAGAACGGCATTATGCAAAGCAAGCCTAGTGCACATTGTTCCCAGTATGCTGAAGTAGTCACTACTAGTTTCTGCGTTAACTTCTAATAAATAATTAGTCAAAATTATACTTACAACTTAAAAAAACTACTCGCCTAATTATCAAAATGTCAATGAGCAAGATGTGTGCCTGCAGAAAGGACATATGTCCTTGCTAGTTTCAACAACATCTACTGTGGGCTCATTTTTTCCTTGCTAAAAAGACACACGCATTAAAATTAGTAGCCAAAACACACGCGCACACAAAAACCATAAAAATTGTAATATGAAGGCTGCTTCATTTCAAGAAAAAAAAACAGATGCTTACTCTCTCTCTCTCTCTCTCTCTCTCTATATATATATATATATATATATATATATATATATATATATATATATATATATATATATATATATATATATATATATATATATTGTCAACTGTGCCTTTGTACGGCATAAACGAGACAAAGACAGTACCCTTGCCGCAGGCCGGCTGTTCTGTATTCTATATATATTAAATGAAGCCTCCTTCACCTTACGATTTTCTACAGAACGCCTTTGGAAAATCTACAATTTCCGCACGTGATACTATGTGCGTAGCGTAACGACCTGCAAATAGGCGCTTCTTGTAGGACCAAACAACGAAAACAACGAAGAAGACGATTAGCCATCGACAATTTCTTTACGACTGCACGAGGCTTTATGCTGAGAAGATTCGCCAGTACTTCCTTCGTGGTGGAAATTTTTATGCAAGAGTTCGGCGTTTGGCATGCACCGCCGAACGATGAATTCACGACCGTTAAGGTGGCCGAGCGAGCGAACAAGGAATCGTGGGCTGTGCGTAGCTTGTGCGTAGAACGTCGTTTCTGCGCTGGCAACGACGTTCCCCTTACCGTGAATGCATATTCAAAGAGAACACTCAGCAAAGTGCCAGAGAGGAATAGGGAAGTACTGGCTGATGTTTGTGGCCTTTAGCACGTCTTTTAGGCAGCCGACAAAAAAAAAAAAATCGTTGCTGCTCAGGTCTTCGATGGATGCTTCTGAGTGATGAGGGAGCGGTGCACGTCGTTCGTTAGCAAACACTTGTACCACTTTCTTAAGAAGCTCTTTTTCTGTTTAATCCTTTCTATGTCTTGTAGAAGCACTGCTGGAGTGTCTTATTGAACACGTCACTGGCAATTGTTAAACTTTGCTCGCACGCACATTTTGCTTCTAGTCATTTGCTCGTCTAGCCAGAATTTACATCGAAAGGAAACAGAAGTGTTCTTTCACGTTTTCATTCCCAAATCTTCGCGCGCAATAATGTAAACAATTCTTGTTGAGAGTATAAGAAGCTTTTACCCTCAAAGATTCGAAAAAGTATATGCAAAGATTTACGCAATTAGTCTTTTTTTTTTGACGTCCCGAAAAGAAATCGTCGACAGTATCCTTTCCCTGCTACTGAACGAATAGATTGCAAGCCAAATGCTTCATTTCATACTATTCTTTTCACAGTGCATATGATACTCGAAAGGAACCTTGCAATCTTCAAGGACTCTAAACTTTTAAACGAGAGAGCGAAACTCAATTGAGAGTCGAAGAAGTCAACCAGATTGCGCACTGTTTTACTAACCAACCCGCCGGAAAGGATAATGGGAGGAAAATAATAAAGAAGCTAACTAGCAAAAAATGAAAACTTGTTTCTTGCTTAGCGAAATATGCTTGTCATGTGCATATTTACTCTAGGAATGTGCGGGCAGCTTGCGTTCATTATTTGTCCACGTTGCATCGGCATGTATTTTTCGAATTGCGATTATGTATTCAAGCAAAAAAAAACAATGAGCCGTGATCTGTTGAGGTAAAAGAACTTGTTCTGAGACTGCTAATATAGTACACAAAGTAGCGCATCACGGCTCAAGGTTAGGAGGAATTTAAGTTGAACTGATGCGCAACACACAACGATAAAATGATAACACGTACTAGATTGTACTCCTTGATTGATGATTGATATGTAGGGTTTGACGTCCCAAAACCACCATATGATTATGAGAAATGCTGTAGTGGAGGGCTCCGGAAATTTCGACAACCTGGGTTTTTTTAACGTGCATTCAAATCTGAGCACACGGGCCTACAACATTTCCACCTCCATCGGAAATGCAGTCGCCGCAGCCGGGATTTGATCCCGCGACCTGCGGGTCAGAAGCCCAGTACCTTACCCACAAAACCACCGCGGTGGGGCCAGTTTGCACTCCTACTTTAGTGTTTGTTAGAAGCTGTTACTATAACCAGAAACAACATGAAAAGCCGCATCGCCTGTCGTAAAAAAGGTTTTGCCAAGGCAATTACCAGTATTATATTTTTTGTGTGTGACAGGCAAGCAGTATGACTCAGTAAATGTGACAAAATTATGAAAACAGCTTTAATTCTTTTAGTTTAAAATCTTAGTTTATAGTAAAAAAACAAGGCATACAGTATATCTTTTGATCATGCTCAGAAGTGGCGACGAGATGACGAATTCATGTGAAAGGGAGCCAGCTTTTGGTATCACTGAAGGGTAGGGTCGTCTGTTCCTGTCCTTTCTTCTTTTAGATCCCCCTCGTGAATTCTTTTGGTTTCCCTGCGCCAACCGCTTGTTCTCCTCTCTGCGTTCCGGCACGACTGGTGGTTCATGCCCACCGAATCCACCCAATCCAAAGTTGAAATGTCTTGGGACATCTTCTGGCCTGTAAGGCTGTTGGGCAGCATACGTTGGCTGGAATCATGCTTGAGCGCAGCTTGGTCAATGTGACCTTGAAGATGCCCAAGAGCAGCATTGACACCGTGGTTTATTGCGTGAGAAGCATGCTGCGCGACACCATGCGCTATGTCTGGTATCAAGCCACCACCAATATCTGGGACAAGGTGACCTCCTACGCCACCGCTGATGCCACCTGGAAGACTTCCACCGAAGTGGACGCCAACATCACCGTGATCACCACCGTGAAGGCCGGTAGCAAGGCCTCCGTGAAGTTCACCAGCATTACCGACTCCGATGCCACCTTGGACTCCGCCGCCAAGACCTAAGCCGAAGTTACCGCCATGACTTAAGCCAACTGCCGCCACCACGGCCTAAGCCGAAGCCACCACCTGCATGACCCAACTGGCCGATGTCAGGCCTGTAAGGCTCCTGAGCGATGGGGCCATAGCCAGATGGCGATATATGATGCGTCGCATCTTCAGGTCTGTATGGCTCCTGAGCGAAGGGACGATTTAAGCTGGGAGACCCGGGACTGGCATTGTCTTCAGGATTAAATGGCAATTGACTTATCGGAGAAAGCGGATTCCACGGATGCTGTTCTACAACGTCCTCCGGCCTATACGGTTCTTGTGATATTTGGCTCATTGACCCTGACTGTCGAGTTTTCTCCTTTGAGGCTTGTTGACGTGAACGCTCTTGCTCATTTGGTAGGCTCGGCTTTGATAGATTTCTTGGTGGTACGTCCTCTGGCCGATACGGCTCTTGCATAATTTGGCTAATTGGTTCAGGTCGCTTTGGTTGCTGTGTTAATTCTTCTGATCTGTATGGTTCCTCGGCGATTGGACCTGCTGGTTTCGCTGGTGTCGGCTCTTCAACATCTTCAGGTCTGTAGGGTTCTTGCGCAACTTGGCTGAATAGTTCAGGACGCATTGGTTTCTCTGTCACGTCTTCTGGTCTGAGTGGTTCCTGAGCGATCTGACCAGCCGGTCGCACTTGTGTTGGCTCTTCAATATCTTCAGGCCTGTAGGGTTCTTGCACGATTTGCCTAAATGGCTCAGGCTGCTTTGATTTCTCCGTTACCTGTTCTGGTCTGAATGGTTCCTGGGCCATCGGACCAGCCGGTTTCGCTTGTGTTGGCTCTTCAACTTCTTCGGGCTTGTAGGGTTCTTGCGCGATTTGGCTAAATGGTTCAAGCCGCTTTGGTTTCTCTGTCACGTCTACTGGTCTGAATGGTTCCTGGCCGATTGGTCCTGCAGGTTTCACTGGTGTTGGTTCTTCGACATCTTCAGGCCTGTAGGGTTCTTGTGCGATTTGGCTGATTGGTTCCGGTCGCTTCGGTTGCCCTGTTACGTTTTCTGGTTTGAATGCTTCCTGGGCGATTGGTTTGGCTGGTATCACTGGGGTAGCCTCTTCAACATCCTCGGGTCTGTAGGGTTCTTGCGCAATTTCGCTGAATGGTTCAGGCTGTTTTGGTTTCTTTGTCATGTCTTCTGGTCTGAATGGTTTCTGGCCGATCGGACCTGCTGGGTTCACTGGTGTGGGCTCTTCGGCATCTTCAGGCCTGTAGGGCTCTTGTGCGATTTGGCTGATGGGCTCCGGTCGCTTTGGTTGCTCTGTTACGTCTTCTGGTCTAAATGGTGCTTGGGAGATCGGTCCTGCCGGTTTCCCTGGTGATGACTCTTCCACATCTTCGGGCCTGTAGGGTTCTTGTGCGATTTGACTTATTGGTTCCGACCTGTTCGGGTGCTCCGTTATGTCTTCTGGTCTGAATGGTTGCTGGGCGATCGGGCCGGCTGGTTTTGCTGGTGTTGGCTCTCCAACATCTTCAGGTCTGTAGGGTTCTTGTGCAATTTGGCTGATTGGCTCAGGTCGTTTTGGCTGTTCGGCCATGTCTTCCGGTTTGTATGGTTGCTGAGCTATAGGCTCAAATCTGATTGGCTTGTCTTCTTCCCTCTCTGGATTGTAGGGTATTTGGGCAATAGGAACATTACTCTCGGGTACACCTGGCTTCAACTCAAGTTCAGGTTTGTTTCGCTTGAGCATGTCCAAGTGCCTGATCTCCTTGCATTGTTTTGTACATACTGGTGTTGGTTAAGGGGACCTTGACACCGAGGAAGCCGTCATTATCCATGTGGTTCTTCTCGTTCTCTATTATTTGGAACGCAAGGCGTACATGAACACGCTGACAGGTTGGTTGAAGGATCTTGCTAGCTTTCTCCCGTTCTGACATCTCAGTTCAATCTTCACCGTACTCCAATGTCAAGGGCTTGCAACATTTGCAGTCAGACTGAAACTCCTCTGAATTTCCTGCAAAAACATTAAATTTTCTGTAAGAACTGTTGTGTTGGCACTGCGACGATGGCCTAGAAAGAAGTGAAAAAATTCAGGCAAGCATTCGGGAAAATATTCGTATGTTTAGTTGTCCTGTATGCCCTTTGGTCGCGAGCTGTCAGTTAATATGCCAATTGATATGTTTCTTTGTATTCGCAGGCACAAATTCATCTTGGCGTCGCTAAAAGCATTACGCTTGTACTGCGTGTAACTCACTAGATATTCGTGATTAGGTGGTCACAATATTATTATTTTAATATATTTCGTAGTTAAGAGTATGTTGATGGCTCTGGCTTATTTTGTATTGACTTATTTTAAGTGAACGCATTCGGCTGCATACTAAGCGTTCATTAGGGCCTTCTCAGTGAGAATATTGCGACGTTGTGCGGATGGCTTCACTACGTAATATTAGTACTAGCTAACTTCCATCGTGAAAGTTGCCTTTTACTATAACGTTATAAGTATTAGTTACCAGTCGCAAAATAAGCGTGTGATTCACAGTTGCCGGCACACTCCATGACTCCTTGAACTGGCTCTGTGTTGACGCAAAGTCCCCACTTTTGATGGCGGTACGTGAACATGTTGAGGGTTTGCTGAAGCTCCATTGGTGCGGGTGAGCAGACTTCTTCGGAAACTGCGCAAAGGAACATTGGGAAGGAAGAATTGACACATCCACTTCATTTTGCATACTTTGCGTTTGCGTTCCACCGCAGAAGGCAGCATGAAGCGGAAGAAGCATCGTAATTTGCTTTTAACGTTTTACCTTGCCCACCGTTAAGAGGCTTGCGAGCTATTTTAATACTAGACTCATAGAAATCCGGAGGGAGCATCATGATTGCGTACTTTTTCTACAAGTTTGAGCGCAATGAGATTTACAGCACCTGGCTACTAGTGGTTTATGTGTTTCACGTGCCACGGTATAACGTGCGGGATACTTAATCAACTTAATCTATACTTAATGAACGTCTATCACAAACGCTTTAACACGCTTCCTAATACAAATGAATGCCTTGAATAATGCTGACATCTTATTGATTCATTTGTTCTCGTTGACTGGTTTTGATTGTTTTTCTTTTAATTGTTCTGTGCTACTTGGTACCATTGTGTTCTGGGCTTCGTTTTTTTTTCTTGATGAATGACAAGTAAACCACATCTAAGGGCTTTATTTGTTCGTGGACCCCTTGAAATATAGAAATGTTACTTATGTTTCCCTTACACGTTATTTTGAGAAGTGAGTTGTTATGGTGTTGCAGTGCAGAAGCTGTATATTATAAAGATACATTAGCCCTAACAGCTTTCAGAAGCATTGTGTGTTTCTGGTACCAAACTAGAAAAATTGAGTCGCTACTTCAGACTTCGCTAATTCATTCCTGCTGAACTGCTCAGCAAAATGCCTGCACCCTTAACATAATGTTCATTTGGAAATATGTTTCTTATCGTCAAGTACACGCTCTATTCATGACAATTTGAGATACTCGTAAGCAAAGAGTAAACATTAAGTGGTGAATTTGGTAGCGCGGGTAAACATACGCAAGTTATAGCTTACCAGTGGTGATGTTACATTTTTGGCAGCACTGATTTTCATCCCACACAATCATATCCTGAAATGAAGAAACACAACATGTGTTAGTATTTGTAACAGAAATAAAATAGAAAAGGAAAAGCTGGAGTGAAAAGAAGGGTGATGACACCATCCGTTCCGTATATTGTAAGGATGTGGGCTTGCAAATGACGCCAGAGAACATGATATTAAGTACCATATTGCCACTTCGATGCATCCTTGCTTGTGCAAGTGTGAATAAAAACCACTTGGGACAAATCATGGCAAAACGAGTGTTTGATTAACACGCCTGAACAGCAATTATCCGCCGTGGTGATACAGAAGTATCGGTGCTCGGCTGCAGAACAATCTCGTCCACGGCAGTTGCCTTTCCATGGGGGTGGAACGCTAAAGACTCGTGGCTGGTGTGATGTCACTGCACCTTTAAAGAACACGGGATGGCCGAAATTTCCGGAACGCCACAATAATAATAATAATAATAATAATAATAATAATAATAATAATAATAATAATAATAATAATAATAGGAGAGAGTCCCGTTGCAGTCTTGTACTTTGGGACCCTCTTCTGTATATTTTACTCCCTGTAACATTATTTTATGACATGATAATAAACTGATTGATTAAACTGAATAATAATAATAATAATAATAATAATAATAATAGTAATAATAATAACAACAACAACAACAACAACAACAACAACAACAACAACAACAACAACAACAACAACAACAATAACAATAACAATAACAATAACAATAACAACAACAACAACAACAACAACAACAATAACAATAACAACAACAATAACAATAACAACAACAATAACAACAATAACAACAACAACAATAACAACAATAACAATAACAACAATAACAACAATAACAACAATAACAACAACAACAATAACAATAACAATAACAATAACAATAACAATAACAATAACAACAACAATAATAACAATAACAATAATAACAATAATAACAATAACAACAACAATAACAACAACAACAATAACAATAATAATAATAATAATAACAATAATAATAATAACAATAATAATAATAACAATAATAATAATAACAATAACAATAATAATAATAATAACAATAACAATAATAATAATAACAATAATAACAATAATAATAACAATAATAACAATAATAATAACAATAATAACAATAATAATAACAATAACTAACACATAATAATAACAATAACAACAACAATAATAATAACAATAACAACAACAATAATAATAACAATAACAACAACAATAATAATAACAACAATAACAACAATAATAACAATAATAACAATAACAACAATAATAATAATAACAATAATAACAATAATAATAATAATAATAATAATAATAATAATAATAATAACAATAATAATAACAATAATAATAACAATAATATTATAATAATATAAAGCTGGGGTCTCACGTCCCAAAACCATGATATGATTTTGAAGGGCGCCGCAGATTCCAAAAATTTCGACCATCTGGTGTTCCTTAACGTATACTCAGCACAATACACAGGTCCCTGGCATTTCGCCTTTATTTGAAACGCGACCGCCACGGCCGAGATCGATCCAGTCACCTTTGGGTAAGCAGCCGGGCATCAGTACACTACCACGGCGCGGTCTCATTAACAATAATGATACTGAGCAGGAAGGGTATCATTTAAGTCGAGATAGAAAGCTGCTTCCATGCCCTCACATAGGGTTCCTCCCTAGGTGTGACCGAGTGTCAAACTGCGCAATATGACAAAGGCCGTATAATAACGCGTATCGTTCTTCTCCGAAACTGTAGCCACTCTTCGGTTTCATCATGATAATGAAAACTGACAAGTCAGGACACGAAAGCACACAAAACAACACTCATGTCCTGGTAATTTCGCGAAGTTTAAGAACGTCTCTCTTTTTCGACTTAGAAGCACGTCATACTTCATTGCACGGTAAAGGCGGATACCTCCATAACACGGTATATTGCACGCGCTTTCGTGAAAAAGTTTTCTGCGAAAAAAACAAATTCATTTGCAACAAAACTGTTGGGCGACACCATGGTGAAAAGTGAGTGAAGACCGCTTGAGAAGTACTTCAGCAAGCACTCAGAAAAAGCAGAAGTCCAGAAAAGAATGGAATTGTGCAGAAGGTCGGAGATATAGAAGGTAGAAAGGAAGCTTGAAAGAAAAATCTTATGAACACGTGGTGTCGTTTGAGGCTACGTTTTGACAGGGGGATTTGTGTTGTTCAAGTCTGCAAGTGCGCACCTTAGACGTAGACTCCGACAACATCACGTCTTCCCGAATTTTTCAGTTTTTTTTTCAGCAGTGACATGGCATAAAAATTTTCTTGAGAAACTTAAAAGGTGACCACTTTTATGCATAAAAGATTTGACGCACGTGCACATATGGTAAGCCGCAAAAATAATTTTCACTGTCACGGGCTGAATTCAGCAATGCATCTAGACCGTTGAGAAAGGCTTTGATTTTACCTGGCTACGTCTTAATAAGGCGCAGAAAATATTTTATATTACCCCTTGCTCGAACTTTCATGCATTGCATCACCTATTTCATATACATCATATATATCTCTGGAGGGAAGCAACAAAGCCACTCGGACATCTGGAAAAGTGTTCATGCGAAGTGACACACTCCTTTCTGAAATGGCTTTTTTACAGGTTAGTGGATCCTGTATGTATTTTTCTGAATAGTGTTTTCTCGCATGTGGCATGCACAGCTTAACGACGAAGTTTTTCAATCGATGCTCCAAGAACGCCGTCATAATACCATGTTTGGTTGTATATACGGATGACTCTCCAAAAATGCATTGTCCAGTCACTGACTTTACCCTTTTATACGTCCGCATAGCGTTGCTATCAGCGAATTTCAGCAGTGTCATCCGTGTCTTTGGTCGTGTAGTGCATTAGAGTGCACATTGGATGCAATCAACGAAAGCCCAAACTAAGAGCGACTTTTTTTTATGTTTTCCTTCTGCTGGCAGAGCGAGCCACGTCCTGTTTTCTCGCGGTAATTTGAGGAACCAGGACTAATCGGGCCATCCACAAGCCTCCTAAATAAAACTTAGTGCGGCGCCGGGTGTTATCGGCGCAACTTTTTCCTGCAAAGGGTCCCCCAGATCAATAACAGGAGTTTACTGCGACTTACTTTCCTTTCGCCTGTATCTTAGGGGTTCGATGCGACTCGCCCAAAGAGCTTACCTTGGGGCACTTTTTGGGCACAGGCGCGCAGGAAGGGCTGTTGTAGACTGTGCGCACGCTGTCGCCGTGCTGCTCGCACGAAGCGGCGTAGCACGGATAGACGGTCGAGTTCCAGCGAGTGCCCACAGGGTGCAGCGTGCCGGCCTCGTCACAAGCCACCACCTGGCAGCGCGGACAGCACTCGCCCTTGGCCGGGCCGATCTCCTGCGAATTCTAAAGCGCCGCCGCATACGACGGTACATCGTTACTGACCATTCCGAGACACTTTAGCGCGGGCTAAACTTCAATAGCGCTCGTTCGGCAATGAAAACATATACAAATGAGCTACAGCGACGGTCATCTCTCCGGCCGTCTACTTTATGGGGGTGGGACGCGCTATTCGCAGATCGCTGGTTCGGTCCCTTCCAGCGGCAAGGTATCTTTTCGTCCACCTCTCTTGGTTCACATGTACATTGCGTTCATTAACATCCCGTACTCTTGCCTTGTTGCCTTTTAGTTCTCATTAATTTAGCACTTTTTGTTTTCATTTCGAAAAAAAGTTTTATAATCCTGCGAAGTAATTGATGTTACTATTTTCATGTTGTACTGCCGATGACTGAAGAGGGAGCATTCGCTGTAATCATTTGACTTTCTGTTTTGATTCAATGCTCGTCCTGGTGCCCATTTATGAAATTACTCTTCATGTAATGCACTAAACGTTTTGCAGAAATCTGCGCCGCTCACGTGTGTCGTGTATAATATTTTATTCATTTTATTGACTTGTAACCCATGCACTCTTACCTCAGACTTGTAATACACACCGCCAATATTCTAATAAATAAATAAATAAATAAATAAATAAATAAATAAATAAATAAATAAATAAATAAATAAATAAATAAATAAATAAATAAATAAATAAATAAATAAATAAATAAATAAATAAATAAATAGAGCTCTGCTGGTATATGCTTGGTGGCCTTCCCGGTATTTATCCTTGCCACAATACACAGCCTGCAAAGAGGGGAGGACTCACCTCCGGGCACTTCGGACACACGATGGAGCGAAGCACCTTGTGTACTTCTCCCGCCGCTGTTCTCTCGCAAACATGCGACTGGCACGGGTCCTCGCGAGACTGCCACACGTCGCCGGGCTGCGTGAAATATTGCGACACTCCAAAATATAATCGTTTTTCCAGCTACAGCTCAAGATAAGGAAAAAAAAAACATTATGTGCACGATTGTGTATTTTGCTGACACCTATAAGGAAGATTATGTGGACGGTGAAAAGGCGTAAAGAAGACGCTGACCAAAAAGCACTTTACACGCAATTGTACTGATAAACTTCGGAGTCGTACCACGCAACGAGTGTTCATTCGCATGGCTTAAAACTCAGTGTGCGTGTTCGTGCAGGCTTCCCAAGTGGACGACAAGCGGTCATTTAGCATCATGGAAAGGATTCTTTTTTTCAAAACACCACCGTGTTCGACGATCGTTCTACGTACCACGTTCCACGACCAACGGCAAGAGAGAAATAACTTCATTGTGTTCAGCGTTTTGGGGAACACTGCTGGTCTCCACCTAAACGGCGGCCAGTAACACTTGTCCTGATCTTTTTCCGTCCCATGTTCTTTATGTGCGCTCTGTTTTATGAATAAGGACGAATAACCAAGATGCCTAAACCTCCTTTCTTTCGAAGGCCAGTAGCCCTTGGGTCCTGGCGGCTTTTCCGGCCAGCTGGACCGCCCAGAGTTGCTCTTGCGCAGTGGAACTTAACAGTACAGCCTCAATATTTCTCTTCATCTTTGCTCGAAATGAGTACAACCAAAAAAGAAACCAGGCTTGCCTTTGTGAACTGTATTTGATTCTTTTTATGCAAGGATTGAAGCAAACTCGTTGCAGGGTAATTAAGTACTTCATCTTATGCTAATTAACGCTAATTACGGAAACTCACACAATTTCTCATTCCCTCATTTTCTTCCTTGAAGTGTAATACTGAGTGCCTTTGAATTATGCCACGTGACTTGAAGCCAGTACATGATGATCGGCGCCTGACGGGAACATACCAGATGTTCCAGCTGCCGTCGTTGTACACAATGAGGCAATGGAATAACGTTGGGTGACCATGTACGCACATAAAGATGGCGCAAGCAGCACACATACAATGAAGAAAGAGTACCGTTATTTCAGTTCGGCGGAGTATAGTAGTTTTGATTTGTTCCTCACTCAGTATGCATGCACAGCAGGTCATGAAAAATATAATCACACATAATAAACAGGAAAATACAAATTTTCACTGGTTCCACTATTTCCATTACGATTACTTTTATGTACAGTCTGACTTTCGGGCTGATTTCAGGGAGAATAATTAAATATGTTACCAACTGATGCACTGACATTGTAATGCTTAATTGAATATGTAATTATATATAATTAATACTCCTAGCAAACATGATACTGGTATTAGCATCAGGACAATAATATTTTTGACAGTGCATTACAGTTAGTATGTAGCGTATGAAACACCATTTGCCAAAAAGCTTGACATATCTTGTGTTAAATGTGGAATTCACTTGTACGACAGATGGTTCTAGTGGAAATCTATCGTGACAGATTTTGGCATTCGAAGAAGCAACTGAGTGTATGTGACCGTGCATAGTGCACTTCAAAGATTAAATCAACAGCAGCGCAAAAAAAAAGTATTCCAAGTGCATAAGTTATTATCCAACATATTCATAACCTAAATTTCTTCCCCGGAAGTGTTTCAGCCGGACGAATACGGCAATGTTAGGAAAGCGCTGAAAAAGAAAGCTTTGGTGAAGCGCTTACTTTGTGTGTGCTATTGGTGCTATAAGGCAGTCCTGTTGCACTCACATATAGTCCTATTGACTAAATTGAACTATGTACTTGCCTCGCGTATGTTACCGTAGTCATCCTTGCAGAAGAGTCGCACGATGCTGGGACAGCAGCGTAGAGGTACGTCCACCACGGTCAAGTAGTAGTCCTGCGTGAAAAATAAAGAACGAGCTCTACGTTCAATGGTTCACCGCAAAGTTCACTATTATTGCGTCATCTCTCGCTCATCAAAAATCTTATCGCACTTATCAGGAAAATATGTCAGGCGTCTAGTGAAAATTAGCCGGTGAAAGGACAGAATTTTTACGGCACACTGTTACTCGAGGTGGCTCTCCTCATTTTGAATAATCAAATCATCATAATCTGCACTGTTAATGCAAGAAAGTCGTGTTTTAAATTAGACGATGATGATATATGTGCATCAAGCTCAAGGCCCTGTGTTTTCTGTTTCCGAAAAATTGCCGCTGGCGAGGTATTTTTCAGTTGAGCATTAGCTCTTCATTCCTGCACTCACATCAATAACGAAATTCCGTTCGGATGTCATGATTGAAAAAAAAATCATGCTTCTCAGTTCTCTTTCATCTCACTGAATTCATGCATTGTCTTGATACTTATTTAATGACCATGTTGTAGCAGGCGTCCATAGTGAAATGGATGTCCATAGTGAAATGGCGTCCATAGTGAAATGGAAATGGATTATTTGTAACAACTGCATAATCTACTCAATAGGTTCCTTGTATGCACATAATCATGCACGTATAAAGCTTAGTCTAGAGAATGAGAAAATATAAAACTGCAACTTAACGAAAAATCTAGATAACTTGCGGCTGCTCAGAAGCAGTCTATAAATGATACATTCAATATCGGGAAATAACAACGCTTGACAATGAAATCAGAAGGTTAATACGCAACCAAAGGTAAGCTTACACGCGCAGTAATGTGCTGTTTACTTGAACTTGTTGTTGGGCTAGTTGGTTCATTCTGAAGAAAGGTGAATGACTGAACGTGGGTAGGAAAAAAAGGGACAGAACAAAGCTTCAGGACAAGATGAGGCTCTATCATGTCTCCTTCCTACTTTGTTTTGTTTACCTGGGTTGCATCATTCACCTTTCTTCAGAATACGCTGTTGAATGTGGTCAGGTGTTCTTTTCCCTCTATCAATCGTTATAGCTATATGGTGTTTTGCCTTTCTTCTTGCACTCACATCTGTTTTAACTAAAAAAAAACTTTTTTTGGAGTGAGTGGTGTAAATATTTGAAATTCTTCATTTGAGAAAATTTGACGATGAAAAGAGTGAGTACGTTAATGATCGAGCTGGTTGGAGATCATGTTCTGCTGTATCCTCACACTCAGTATCAGTACAGTGACCTGCTCAAGAGAGTAAGATTAAGTAATTAGGCTGGCGAAACTTCGATTTCCACTACTCTGCTCTAAAAAAGAAAAGTGCGCCTATGTTCTGCATGTGACAATACGACTCGGGTGTTTTTCTCCCGTCTTAGTTCTTTCTGTCTATCCTGCTTACTTAGCGAACGCAATTCACGCTCATTTTACGAACGACACGCGTTGGTGACCTTTTTCTACGTAAGCACCAGAGTAACTTTCGCAAGGTCGAGTGTGTTGGCAGAAATGAAAGGTCAAAACTCGGTGAAGATTTACCCGGAGGCTACACTATAATTAAACACAAATACATGTTCTCGATGGATGAGAATCAACAAATGATGATGCCAAGAAAACTACCGGAGATGATGTTAGTAGTAGGGTAATTCTAAAATAAATTTTAAAAAGACGAAAAGATCATTTTCCGCAGGCAGGGACCGGATCTCCGATGTTCGAATAACGCGTCCGAACGTAGACCATCTGAGCTACTGTAGCGGCGCTTCCCCTGTCCAATTTACAGGGCATAAACGTGGGTTTAAACCTGTGAGTGTTAGTCGAAGGTTCAGTTTCTGGCAGAGGGCAAGTTATCTTTTCGCCCTCGTTTTTCTCTTCACATCTACATGACAATTACTACTAATAAACAAGTAGATAAGACTAGTTGGTACAGATCGGTCTAGATGGTGCAAGAGGAAGGGATAAAACGCAATAAAGTTCACATCTACACGTGTATGATGTAACTAAGTGCGGTGAACATTTAACGTATTTCTTCAGACATTCGAACACCTACCACTGTTCAAAGGAACCTTGTATGAAAAGCGAGCTCACTATCATGAATCATCACGTTATATAAAGCTGAATCCTTATGGTCACTATAGGCATGCGCAACATGGTTCATTGAGGGAGGGGTCAATATTTGCCGCAGTACCTCCCTTTGCTTTTTCGTGTCCGAAAAAAGAAAGCCGGAGACGAAACACAATACACATGAAGAATCACTTCTAGTGACGACGACAGCCGGGCCCTTGCACTTAAAGGGCAGCTTGCACAGAGGGTTCCAAGCCTGGAGGCATTGCAGAGCTGGACAGCCTTCTTTGTTTTTCTGCAGCTTACTCTTTGCTTCTCTCTTCCTTTCCTGTTATCTTTTCGGATATTTTCTTCTGTTTATTTCAATTTATTTCTATCACCATCAAGGCTCTTGAAGATCTAGAAGAAGGAGACTTCTCCTCGACGCGAGCGCCCGGCCGAATGTGCGGCTTTGCCTGGGTTACGTTTCACTACGACAGCCCGTCCCCCTAAATTGTTCCGCACTTATTAAAAGGTTTAGTTCCCAGCTTTTTCGACACAAATATGTGAAGTTAAGAGAGCTTTGAGAGCAACATCAGCTGGACTGCACGGCCGCCATGGTTGTCAGAAACCAGTGCGGCCATATCCCGGAACATTAAACTTACACAGGCAGGTCCGACATAGTAAAGGTACGAGGTCAGCCCGATGACCAACGCATCGATACAATCTCACCTTGTCATCGGGCAGCTCGGCACTCTCGTAGCAGGTCTCTTGCGTACATCGCGCCATGAACTGAGATCCGGATCCGTCGCAAGTGCAGTTTCGGCATAGGCCATCCTTCCAAACGCTGTTAGCCTGAGAAACAAAAACAAAACAAAAACATGTAGAAACAAATATACGAGCTTTTCTACTCTACTATAGTAAACACGAAACAATGTTTAGGCGTATAAATAGTTCAGTAATGGAAAACGTTAATAAGGGTAAAAAGAATTTTCTCAAGTCACGTCGATAACAATGATGTTATTCATGTCATGGCTATGAAGTCATTTCTTCATTCACTAGGATGCTTTCGTAGCAATTATAGCAGCCTAATATTCAAGCCAGCTTTATCATAATTTGTTTAAATAACTTGCTGGTGTCAAATACGCTGGTAACACTAAACAACAACATCAACTAATCAAACTTTTCCACCATAACTTGTCATTATCCCCCCCCCCCATTTTGTGCAACGATCAATTAATGTCTACTTTGCACCCCCCCCCCCCCCCAACATTCCCACGAACGGTTCAGAAGCCCTCCATATCTTCACAGCGTCCTTTAAGTGAGCCTAGTGTTTTGTGTTCAGCTTACCCTTTCACGTTCTCATGCTCACTTTTCTCGTAATTGTTTTATACATTGCTATTGCACCCTGTTAATTTCTTAGATTTCATTTCACTTCGCCCCACTCTATAGTTTTGCCCGTGAAGGTGTTCCTCACACTCGTCTTTCTTGTTTAAAAATCAACTTGTTATGATTCAAATATTAATGCTTAATTCTATGTAGCGATTTTTATAAATAACTGTTATTTTCTCAAATAGATAACAGCGTAGAACCTAAACTGCTCTTATCTTTTTTATTTTGTATAGGAATACTGCAGGCCCCGAAAAGGCGCAGGCAAGAGGGGAAAGACACAAACACACAGTACAAAGTGTGCAGGTATAAAAAATATTAACAACAAAGTGAATCTACTAACAAGTAAACAAGCCCTGCAAATTGTGAAACAACGAAAAAGAACATACATAATGAAAAATATCAACAACACACAACTATATGATCAATGTACAAGTGTATATGTAAAAAAGGGGTATCAGCAAAAAAAATCTTTTTTTTTTTTTAAATCAGAAAAGGCTGGGTTTAAGATGTAATGAACGCGATAGAGTTGATGCAGCTGAGCGCACTAAGTGTAGGCTGTCCCCGTCCACCACTGTTCTAGAGAAAAAGGAATGCTTAAGTATGTTGGTTTTGGCATTGTGAGGCTTTAATGTGGCAGTGTGGCAATGTCTCATTCGGCGAGCAGTGAGAGGCTTAACATAAAGTTCAGGAAAAAGAGACAGCTGTACTGTAGGAACAGAAATTTCAGCCTGGGAGTTTTTCTTCTTAGTTGCAACCACTGAATGTTGTGATGGAGACTTAGAGAGTCACTAAAACGATATTTACTTTACTGATTTACGTTGGATCCTTTCCAGCGCATCGATGTTAGTTTTAGTGTAAGGTCTCATAATATAGCTGCGTATTCTAGCTTAAAACGAACAAGACAAGTATCATCGGTTAGACGGGTCTCGGCACGAGCGTATATGTCAATGTTCGGCTGAGAGAGCATGAGCTCTCGCTTCGAGGGGTTGCGTAACTTCATCTGCCGGTTCACTGTGGGTTATGTGGGTGCTGTCCTATTTTTAACAAAACCACCGTCATTGTTAAACACGCGAATGAATTGACAAGAAAAATTGCTGGGGCTTATGAAAGCTGTATCAGTGAAGCATTCGTTTATTTGCATGACAAAGAATTTGATTACTTGTATTCATCTTGAGTATATGTATCATGGCTTTGTAAATGTGATATATATATATATATATATATATATATATATATATATATATATATATATATATATATATATATATATATATATATATATATATATATATATATATAATTATATATATATATATAATTATATATATAATAATTATAATAATAATATATATATATAATAATATATAATAATTATAATAATAATATATATAATATATAATAATAATATATATAATAATTATATATATATATATAATTGAGTTACGTGTTTCACAACTCAATTAATGAAAATCAGTTGAGAGTCAGCGCCATCCTTTCTTTCTGGTATTGCGCTGTAAACCAAGTTCATTATGTACCACAATCAAAGATGGACGCAGGGAAGATAAGAGGACGGACGCTGTCAGGCGCCTTCTTTCCTATGTCTGTTTTTTCTTGCACGCTACATTTCATGAGGGATGTTCAAACACACAGTAACATATTGGATTCATCATTAATCTGAAGCCATGCATGACGGCCTCTTTTATGTCCCCATGGTTGCGATCGGCTGCACGCCGCTCCAAGTGAAGCATTCAAGCGATTTTCAGTCCACGTATCGGAGGATACGTCAGGAGGGGCCGATGAACGTTGCTTCAATTCATTCGTGAGAAGCGACGCCTTATGTGCCAAGAAACCGCGGGCGGGTCGGCAAAGAACGCAGATGACCAGGTATTGAACTGACGTACCTCGTAGAAAGACACGTTCTGGTGATGCACCTCCACGGGAACCTCCCGTCCTTCGTCGTTGATTTCGTACTGGTGCGTGTACAGGCAAACTCCCTCTGGGGCTTCTGCAAAAGTAGGCGCAAAAGGAGAGAGAATGAAAAACGATGATTTCACTTTTGAAATATGCAGACGTGGAAATACAAAACTGATTTGAAAATGTGCCCAACGCTGTTACGATGCTGAATCGGCAGTTTTCTCAAGTTACGTTTGGTGCTTCAAACGACCTTCCCGATATGCGAAGTCACGAATAAAGTTTCCCACTCTAATGACAAGTTGGCGGCCACAGTTTGTCGTGTGATTATTTCGTTCGGTCCTCGGTGTAGCATAGAGGAAGCCGATTGTCAAAGAAATGTCCTCCACCTATCTTCACCTACTCCTTCACCACATAGCGCGAGAAAAAAAACAAAAAAAAACACCGTCCGCAACCGTTTCTACGCGAACTCGCGCTCGTAAATGATAATCTCAGTGCTATGACACAACTATTTTAACGCATAAACATCAGATTCATTGTTGTACAGTCAGGCGCATAAAATATGGGAGCAGGATCAAGGTTCAAAGCGCAACGCGATAGAGAACCTCGTGAGCACGAGCTTCTCAACCACTGACCTGGCTTCGGTGCTTGGTTCATGTCTCAACCATGCCACAAGCAAATGAATCTGCGCGCAACTCTGGCCGTCTATGCCAAGTACACTTGTCACGCCATAATTGTTACTTCTGCGAATCAGTGAAGCGCCCACTATGAAAACATATTTTTGAGCACGTGTAATGAACGAGCTGTTAAAACACTCACTAGTTGCGCGATTCCCATGTTTCGACGCCTGAAATTAACCTACGTTCTTGTCATACCACACTACGAGTTTTAAGAACACTGCTTCTACTACGTAACCTTCATATTATGTTTTTTTTCTGGGGGGGGGGGGGGTCAGCTTCAAGCAGCAGCATAGATCTGTGGCAGAACACCTTCTTGCCACGCAGACGGCTTGGGTTCGATTCTCACTCAAAGTGACGTTTTTATTTCTTATTTAATTTGCTTCTTTAATGATTTTCAGTCACGAACAAGATTTTTGTCACAACTAATTACAGTCACACCTATACCGGAGTTTCTGCAAAACAAGCTCTTTAACGTTATCGCGTTAGTATTAAAAAACAATTCAATAATAAAACATCCACTGTGGTCATTTCTCGTATCATTGAAAAGACACATAGACTACACTTGTACAGAGAAGCAATGTTGCACAAAAAAGACCTTCAGTGAGTCTCAAACACATAGGATTATGTGAAGGGCTGTGTCGCTCTGGAGATTTACAACAATTTCACATACCGTGAAGACCATAACAGTGAAGGCGTACACTAAGCAGAGCATGAGAGGTAGCAGTGTAACGATAGAAAACGGCACTATGCGAATTGCTTAATTTTTGTTCGAAACACGCACACTCGCAGACTACGCTGTCATTCATCATTATTACCATCATCATTCTCAGCCTGTTTTATTCCACTGCAGAACAAAGGCCCTATGCTGTGCCAGATGATTCCGTTTCATCCCGGTGAGCTTCCTGATTGCGTCACTACATCTAGCTATTTGCCTTCCCAGGCAGTGTTTCCCATTCTTTGGTAGCCTTTCTGCTACTGCTTCTTTCTACCGTTTCTCTGCTCTAGCACTACGTCATCAGCATAGATCTATTTTTTTTTTTCGCTCTATGTCGACTAGAATATTTGCGAATCCAGTCTGTTCCGTTACGCACTCTGCCGTCCTCCGACCTTCCATGCTATTTTTATCACTTTACGTTTCATTGCATGCCGCATGATCCCCAGCTTTGGATCTAGTTGTTTTTTGTCATTACTTCTCTTTCTGTTTTGCTTCCGAGTAGTTAAAAGTTCTCATTACATTTACTGTAATTCCAGTTGCACGCAACGTTAGAGTTGGCCACATAAACATGAACATATGTGAAACGCAAACTATGCTGCAAAAAGCGTTATTTCTTCAACTCCGTAATATCGGAGCAAAAGAAAAAAAAACTTAATGCTGAAAAGAGTTCGCACATGAAATGAGAACAGTATTGGGGGATATTACTGTCTCGTATGTTCAAAGTCTTCGTGCTGTCGCTTTCAAAAGCATTCTCATGCACCGCGTGCCGTAAGAGTTATTAAAAGCTACTGCATCGCGGTTTCACTTCAATCTATTTAGTCTAAGAATGAAGTTTGGCACTGTTGAACAGCGAAACCTGCCTGTTTCTTTGTACCGTGCAGAACCGTGACTGTTTCTTTTATGATTTCACAGTTTGCAACGTGATATTCTGTCTCAGCTTCTCTATTGCTGAATGAATCCGAAAGCGCACATTGGTAAATTGTGACGCTCCGTTGGATCTTATGAGTTTCTGAGCTTCTTCGCAGGTATAACGTCCTCACATAAACACTGGCACCGTCAATTTTGTTCGCTTCACGATAAACTTGTCTGCAGGAAAAGTAGTGCTACAGGAACTACAGGAACTATAGATATCGCTTTTATGAAAGATTTTGTGTAGCCAGTTTTCAACAAAGCCATGGAATGCAGAAAGCAATCTCAAAGTTAAAACAAAAAAAAAAACAGGCAGTAACTCATAAAATAGTGAATGAAACTCGGTAAACTGAAGGGCGAATGCGTGCTTCCGTGGCCCATCATAGAGCACAGGAGACAAGCATTTCGTAGAGATTGCATGCAGTAAATGAAAAAAAAAAACATAATAGTGCTCCTCAAAACAATATATGAATAAATTTCATTAACTGACTGATTGATTGATTGTTCATTTTATTCATGTCAAGATACAGTATCATTACATGAATAAGTCCAGATACTGTGGGTAATAATGACATACTGACGAAACAATTTAACACGTTGAAATATAGTTATGGTTTTATAAACAAAAACTGCTGGATCCCTCTTTCATAAAAATCGCTTTGTAGGAGTATGTGCACTTTTATTAACGTAATGAAATATAAAAGACGAGAAAGAGCCGTAACAGGAAAAGGTATTGGTGGGTGAATGAAATCGAGAAATTCCCATGCATAACTTCAAATCAGCTCGAGCAAGGGTGTAAATTATTGGGAGAGCCCTTCGTAGGCCGACGACAGTGATGATGATGAATTTTGCGTAACATAAATCCTCAAAATGCAAGGTGATCTGTGTTTTCGACATTCATGCTTTCAAGTGAAACTAGTATTTCAATAAAACAGTAGTCATTTACAACCCAAAAACAAATGCAAGCTCCGCCCGCGATACTGCAGCGCGTTTGTCAATCACTTAGGTAAAATAAACGTGTAAGCTTGTTTCCTTCTGAACAAAAAGTTTTTTTTTGTGCTTAGGTAAACGCCGAGTTTTTCTGTTTTCTGCACAACTTGCTTTTATTGCGATAGCAATTATACGTACACTCTCGGCTAAATCTTGCCGCCGGCGTCGACGTCACTCACCGTATATGTATACGAATCTATATATATGAAAATGCAAGAAAGAAAAAGGAACCCCAGAAAAAGACTCCGGCGTGCAGAATCGAACTTCGGTCCTCTGAATCATGAATGCAAGGTGTTCACTACTGCGCCACCGAGGAGCACACCCTTTAACGTTCAAACGGAAGCTAGTTTTAGATACCACTTAGCGCAGCTTACGGGCATCCCGGGGGGAATTGTGTTTTTAGCGTTACCAGCAAGATGGCGCAATGAGCACGCGTCGCCACATTGCGCGGCCGCGCGTGCTCTAATCTCCCACGAGTCATTGCCCCGCTTGGAGGATGTGAGCGATGCTCCTTCGCGTGCCCTTATCTCGCGGTGGGGAAGAGGGAAGGATCGTACGTCTTGGCTGGTCGCGGGCGTTACCTGGAACGATTCTGTTCTAGTTACCGGGTGCACAAAGGTCACTGCATTCATTGCAGTCTCGGTTTGCAAAAAGCGCGCACTTTCCACACACAGCGAAGTAACAACTGTGACGCCTATTCACGTGAATCTGTACCTGTGAGTACGTTTCGTTCGTCATATGTGCATGAGAAACGCGGGGTACGTTTCGATCTGTTTTGCATTCTGCGCGTGACCTTCCAATTTGTTGCTATCGTGTTCATTGCTTGGCCTCGTTAATTTATCTTGACGTAAACTTTACGCGTATCTAAAAATGAATTTTAGTCATTACTACCAACAACAAAAGAACTTTAGTGAGGTGTTATGTTCTAATCTACGATAAAATTCGCCGGCGGCTGCATTTTTGATGGAGGCGGAAATGTTGTAGGCCCGTGTACTCAGATTTGGGTGCACGTTAAAGAACCCCAGGTGGTCAAAATTTCCGGAGCCCTCCACTACGGCGTCTGTCATAATCATATGGTGGTTTTGGGACGTTAAATCCCACAAATCTAATCTAATCGATAAAATTCGCCATGTGGTTCAAGTTTTTGGTGCATTACCAGACTTTAGTTCCGCCGTGGTGATCTAGTGGTTAACGCACTCGGATGATGACTCGCAGGTGGTCGCGGGATCAAATATGAGCTGCGACGACTGGATTTTCCATTGTAGGCTGTGTGTTCAAATTTGAGTGCACGCCTAAGGACTCCAGGTGGTCAAAATTTCTGAAGCACTCCACTACGGCGTCTCTCATAATCATACAGTGGTTTTGGGACGTTAAATTCCACATATCACTGAAATCATCAATGACCAAACTTTAGGACAAGTTGCTTTATTATGTTAAATCAGGCACACGCCCTGTCCTCCTGCTTTGTTTCCTGTCTTATAGCACTCATTTATAAGATATGTCATGATGTTGTGTGACGTAATGATGGCACCATGCGGTGACGTGTTCTGCGATGATGATGTTTGTGCCGGAGTCGTGTTGACGCCGCCGAAGCCATCAGTGGTCAGTTCTGGTATTTTAGGAAACGTCTAAGACATTCTTTCATTTATAAGTCAGTCAATACGAGCGTAGATTAGTTACTCACTGCACTTGTAGTTGTTGCAGCATGCCCCAGGAGTGGCGATTAGCTTCGTGCCGGTCGGGCAAGGAGGCTCGGGTGGACACTTTTCCGGGTAGCAGATGGCTTCGAGTGTGGCGCAGCATCCCTCCGGCGTCACCACAGCCTCCTGGCCGATCTCCAAGTCGGTGGGCCACACCACGGGAGGGCACAGTGCAGGGTCGCACTCTGTAGGAAGGAAGGTTATCAGAAAAACAGTTGTCCGAGGCTTCTTTCATAGGAATTAGTCATTTAAAAGAAGTTCAACAACCATTGGTAAAACTGTCTGTAGCTTCGTTGGGCGTTGAAATATAAATGAACAGGCATTCTCAGAGTGTACATCGCGTTTTCTTACGTTTTTTACGTTGTTACGTTTTTGACGTCTTGGTTTGACAGCAGAAATGTTATGGCCGAGGTTTTGTGTGTGTCGTAGATATAAAATTTTCGCTATCATTAACCGACGCGTGCTCAATAATGACCGCTCAATCATTCTGTACAGATGACTTAAAAAGATAGCAAAGCAACTGAACTGAAACGTGGCAACCAGCTCCGATGTTACCCAGCCTTACGCCAGTATTAAAAGCATGCTGGCTAAATTTATAATTTTTTAATTCACCACCAAACTTTCTCCCTACACACAATTTAAAATATCTATCTCAGTATTCTCGTCAAACAGGTTAACAAAAAAAAACACTACTGACGTAGAAAGCATTTCTGAAAATAGAAGACTCGCCTCCACCATCTTACACTAGATACCATTAAATATTAGTAGACAGCGAAGAAAAATCGGCGTTTGCCTGTCACGCTTTGCGCATTCTAAGTCGGCAATTTTCGCAGTCCGAGACTGCTTGACTGGTGCTTCAGCGTAACTAGTTTTGTTAAGAAGGCTGAAAGTGCTGGTAAATTTTAGTACATGTCAAGCTAGCATCACGCATCCAGATATGTCACTCATAGCATTAGAATAAAGTCATACAACACGATTAAAATTTTTAACTTACTACAATTACATCCCAATGAAGTAGTCATTAGACCCAAGGTGCTAACGTAATCAATCTCTGCAACTATCCTATTTCTGTAGGGTGTATAAAGTAATATCTGGAAAATGTGCAGCTTTAAACATGGCCCCAATAAAACTATGTGAGTGTATCATACGGCATACAACTTTCCCTCAGTGAATCACGCTCTACATCAACATTGTTTATTTGCAGGAAAAATACAGAATTTCCCCGCGAAAGTCAGAGACTGAAGGCTAAAAGCCTGACGAGTTCTCACTCCCTACTAACTATTTCTTGTAAACACCCTTCATTAACTCCACGTTACTTTCGCGAGGGAAAAAAATAAAGCCAGCTCCATGGCTGTGTAATCGAAGCAAGAAGTGGAGCTGGCATGTAAGTGCCACTTTCTGGTGAACACAGATATGAGTTATTTGGCCTTTCATGCACTATTCTTTATCTTTTTCAACACTGCCCTCTTCCTTATTTAAGATAGACTTCTTTGGTGCTCCTTCGTGGCTCAGTGGTTAACGCCTAGCACTCACGTAGATAGACTTCTTTTGCTTTTGTTCATCATTCTTCTTCATAAATTTCTACATCTCAATTTTTTCAAGTTCCTTCCCTTCATCTTTTCCTGCGTCTTCATCTTTATCTCCTCGTCTCTTCCTACACTGCTCCCTTCCCTCTTAATCACGCGAGCATCAGTCCTCTTCACCCTTACCTCGCGTTCCCAACCGCTTGCTGAACTATGCCATGCAAGGCTATGATACGCTCTTCCATCCTCCTTCTCTCTTCATCCTCACCTTCCTTTTTAACCTTCTTGCTATATTTTATTTGTGGCATTTCTATGCTGGAACTTCTTAGTACATACTTGTTTTTTATTCCGCTTAACCACTCTGCCCCCCCCCCCCTCTTTGTTCTCTTCCTTCAAGAGCAGATTGTCCTTATCAGAGAGGACAAAGACAGCAGGCGCCGGCCAAGCTACTGCGTCACATGAGATCGGCGCAACTCAGTTTTCTGGTCACTCAAAATGACAGAAGGAAGAGCGTAAACAGGTCTACTGTTAATAGAGGGTGATGAAGTTCAGATAAATTACAGGGGTGCGAATCTGTGCAGCAGACAGCACGAACTCGAGCTAATCTGGTCAGACCCAGAAGTGTTTTGCGAGCTTGTTCGGGAAATAAAACGAGTAAAATGCTTGGGCCACACTTCTCTACCATGAGGCGAGCAATGACCGCACACGAAAACACCTTTGTCGGAGGGTCGTGTAATGGTGGCGTTTCGTGGTGGCCTCGAGAGCGGGCCGATCCTGGTGATGACGCAATACTAAACTGCACCGCATTTGGGTGCGAGGGAGTAAGAAGATGATTCAAACCGCAAGCTCTCAGAAATAAAGCGTAAAGAGACCTATTTTTCGATAAGAAATGTGCTCCTTATCACATCTAGTTGTAGCGCCAAGAAAGCCAGGTATTGATTCTCGTGTAAATGCACAGCTTGTAGGACAGAGTAGGTAGCTGTTTAACAGACATGTGAAGGTGTGCTTCACATGTGGGTGAACATCTGGTGAAGATCTGGCTCTGAATTTTCTGAATATGATCACCTACTGCATGAGTGAAAACAAATAACGGTCAATTGCATTGCATGGCTTGTTTTCAACTGTACAGTTAGTTCACTGTAATAACGATCGAGAGAGGAGCTCTAAAGAAGCAAGCTGAAAGTTGGGAGAGTTAGGTGAGCCTGTCTTATCGCTTCATAGAATACATTAAAAGAAAAAAAAGCAGCCCTGATTGCAGAGCCCTGATTTGACACATTTTAACTCTCTTCAAACTCAGATTAACACCCTTCTGGGAATCGGGTTTCCAACGAGTCTTCGAAAAGAGCATAATAACCTCCAAAAAGTTATCGCGCAGAGCAGTCAGGATTCGCCAAAAAAGAAAAAAGGACTTTCTTTGTTTGTATGTATGTATCCCGTACACTAGACATCTCGTAGACTCATATAGAGACAGTAAAGAGACCGTCGAAGACCGAAACTTTCAGTCTGCTTGCTTTGTTGTATTGTGACCAATGTATACGTGCACCAGCTGGCCATGGTCAATATCTTTACGAGCAAAATCACACGAAAATTCCAAAATCGTAATTATATTTGTCGCCTATTCGTTTCATACAGGTGTATCACAGAAAGTACTCAGTGCTGTAAACTTGCACACACACGCACAAAAAAAAAAAAACATTGTTTGGTGGATGCCTCGCGAGTTCTATTTATGCTGCAGACCTTTGTAGAAACAGGAAAAAAGGCGTCTGGGCGAAACGCAGGGAGCTCCTATTTTTAATGATCGAGGTGTACCGGTTCGAGCATTTTTTATCGTATTTCTCATCGAACCCGTATGCTCGCACAGTAGCGATACTTCGCCTCTTTTTTTTTTTTCAAATATCGTGTACCTGTTAACATACCTGTTTACAAAAGAAAGGAAGGAAGCGCCATCTGCGCATGGTACCACTGCCCAGTGGAACTAGGGTTCCACATTATTTACTATATGAAGAGGCAGGAAGGATTAGTTTTCTATTGCGTTAGTCAACTCAAATCAACTGGCGCATGAAAATTACAAAACTAGGCCTTCTGTTTTACGTGGTTGTGAGCAGGGAACGGAAACCAAAATACAGAGGCTCGTTTCTCATGTCCAAAATATGCTTGACTATAATACACGCATCATAGCGTCTGCTCCCTTTGTACCTGGCGCCTGAAACCCAGCCGGTGAAGAGGCTGGCACAGAAAAAAAACTAACTGCGTGCGACAAATTCAATTTATGCCTGTGAGGAATGAAAGAACGAAATGAAAACAGATGCGCGCCTTCTCATGATTTCCACTGGGAGCTCCGCCGGCAAAGTGCACGGTCTCATTATTTATATAGCACCAAAGAACACTCAGTCGAGCTTGTATACCTGCAATAATAATGCCCAAGGGACCCACTCAGTTCGTTTCGGTCGTGTTTCGTCATCTTCACTTCAATGATGATGTCGGTGCTAATGATATCCTTTACGATGTGGCTGTGAGAACATGGCTTAGTGGTATATATTATGAAGTACAGCTATGAACATTAGCGCATTAGTACAAATTTTGGAAAAATCAAAATAGTACAAATGCACTAAATAAGATCTAGTGTCTGAAACTTATATTTAAACCAATGTATTTGGGTGACCATTTTTTGGGTGGCCACGAGACCCTGGCGGCGTGTGCCGCTCTCTTGACACCCTATAGCCTGCACATCAGGGTCAGGTCTGCGTATCCGACGGCACAGTTTCATTTCCTGATAGCCATGATCTACTGCTATAGGCACGACCATCACGGGTAATTAATCTGCTTTTTGACTACAATGGTTAAATATGTTTCAGTATTGGTCCGGGAAGTAGCAGTTATGGGCTACGAGGTTGGGGTGACTCCAGGCAAGCATTTGTCTGGAGTCTTCTCCCTGAAGCTTAAGTGGTTTCCTTCTTGGCAGGTGCACTGCTCATACTAACCGGCCGTTCTGCGTTAATTACTGAATACTAACCATGCGACCCCTCTCTTATCCTAGCATGATCCGAAAGTTACGCAAGATAAAGAAAATATGCTTGTACTGTTGGGTGTAAATGAGTAATTACCTATTTGATACAACAAAATCCTTTGAGGCTCCTTATATCTGCCAGGATTTCATTATATTTTTGTAATGCATATTTTGGGATGAATACAACTAAAATTTTCAAGTTGTCGATTATGGAAAGAAAAATGAAGGTACTTAAGTACATCTTCACTCATAAAATGTTGATGGCATTTGATGTTATGATGATATGTGAACATTTGTTATCGTTCTTCAAAAAGCAAGTTACGACTCGAACACCGTGATGAAGTGCCTGTGGCAAATTCGTAACGCAAAAGTTTGTCCTTGCTTCATTGGAAGAACAGTTAATTACCGCCGAGAAAAGTCGACAATTAATCTAAAATCCTGTTACATTCTGGACTATTTCACGAATCTGTTTAGCATTCCTTCACGAATGTTTCGGAAGTGTGTCGTCTTACCGCAGAAATACATGGGACAACCCCTTTCGTCCGTCCTGGTCTTGGCCACGTCGCCTTTCTTGCACTTGGGCAGGCTCAGTTCGGGACACTGTTCGACAACGTCCTCTGAAATGAAGAAATAAAATGGTCGACATTGAGTGCAGCACTGCGTAAAAAGTCCGCTTAAGAACTGTCAGACAATTGAACTGGTAGATGCACACAAAGACACTTTGTGGTACTTTGACCTTATCTTCATATCCCCCCCTCTCTCTCTGTCTCTTTTAACATATGTGCACGCGGGTACACACACACTCATACGCATACACTGGCTTCACACAGTACACAGGTATTTAGCCTTTTCACCTCACGAAGTGCAACCGCCGAGGTCGGCATGGAACTCGAATCTTCTAGAACCTGAGGAAAGTCAAGCAAGTTCTGTGCTCCACAGCAATACAAGAAGCATCTCTGTAGCGCGCAGCGAAGAAGCACCGCACGAGTACTGCAGTCATTTATTACTAATAACAGTGCCACCATCTAAATACTATTCAGCAAGACCACAGAGACAAACGGAAGTTGCTCGCAACATTCGTAAACTCGTGGTGGATAAAGTGGAGTAAGTGTTAAAGGCCGTCGTATAACGGTGCATTCGGCACGCTTAACGACCATCTCGTTCGATCGTAGCTCGCCTGGCGCGGAAAGCAGCGATATCATTGTGTAGGCTAGAGTCACTCGCTCTTATTTGCTGCAGAATGATTGCTACGCTAACACACTAAGTAGCGGGCACTTACGACTGTTCCCTTTTATGTGTTTGCTCGCTGTTGGCCAAGGACAGAGATGGTGGCGCTCAAGGATAGACGTTATACTGCTTGGCCTTCAGCTGCATATTTATTCGGGGATTTTATAGCTATGACGCATTGTCATGAATTTTAACAATTCCAGTGGAAACAAACAAACAAAAAAACGATACCGCGATAACGATAGTGAGAATTATTTGCGTCATGAGCATACTATTTTTCGACAAACTTTCTGTAAAACAGGTTTTTATTGCGATAGTAATTACACTATTGTGAATAAATATGGACACTCTCAGCTGATTTTCGCCGTTGCTGTCACCATAATGTCCCGGATAAGTTCTTATATGTGTAAAATATATATAAAGAAAAATGAATCAATAGAAAAAAATCCAAAGCAAAATGCTGCGGATGTGAACCAGTGGTCACTTTCTCAGCAGCCCGCTTCCCTGGCCAACACAACCACGCGTCTATTGAATTTCTTGCTCACGATGTCTCTCAATACACTTGCTATAGTCGCTCACAACATAGTTCAGTTCAGTTCAGTTCAGTTTTATTTCCTTAAAGGCCCCCATTCAGGGGGTGTTACATAAGGGGTGGGATTACAATTCAAACAGCGGAGATTCAATTAACATTGCAACATACATTCCTACATAGGAATGCGTGTAGGCTTCACTCACAACCACAACTCGCCCTCCACGAAAACATTTGCAATGGTGGCTCATGCAATCACATCTCTTTAATTCTGTGGCGCCAATGCTTGTGCCGGTCGTAGTGGTGGTTGTTGTTGAGAAGATAAAAAAGGCACCTAATTTCTGTCTACCTCTTGGGCGCTTGTTTGTGTCTCTTCTCTTCGTCCCGCGATTTGTGCGCTGGTACTGCCCACAACAAGAATAGAAGAAAATAGGTGAAGAGATAGAGAAGGCAAGAGACGGAAAAAGAAGGAGATAGGAAAGTTGGGAGTCGGTCGACAAATTACAAGGACGGGGCACCACAGCTTCACGGCGTTAAGAGACTGCGGAGGACGAAGCAGTCGGTGGGAGCAACGCTGTCGCCGGAGATCGCGGGGGCACAATCGTTCAGTTTGAAATCCTCCGAGGTGGGAGAGAACAGACACACGGTGCGATAAGAGAGCGTGTATCCATCCGGAGAACATTTTTACGGGCACGAAGTGAGTTTAGGGTCTGAGATGGAAGGGGAAAGGCTGGAAGGTCTAGTATCTAGAGAGCAGTGTGCCTGCTGATCATCAACAATGTTGTTCGCGCGTCCTTTTTTGTGCTTCAGCGACGTGCTGAAAGTATCAGGCGGCTCGTCCTCTTTTGTGTGATATTCTCTTTTTTTTTCTATCGCAATAATTGCTTCATCAAAACGCCCAGGAAGTAGCCTTTCACGTACATTTTTCGCCTTGCAACCTAATCCTGCGAGTCGACTCACACGGTGTACAGAAACCTGGCATGTAACACGTCTTCGCTCTAATTATGGACTTAAAACACTACATTACTGTCTTCCAAGTGTGCTGAATAAATGAAAGTTAATTATTGATAATCTACGTATATTGTCTAGAACTGATATGTTAACTTGGATGTGCTGATTGTGTTTCCCATGAATGCTGGGTGATTTTCGTTATTGTTACTTTGTTGCATTTGTTCTTACATTGCGTTGTTATGAATTGTCTTGTATGTATTTCGCAGTTGCTATCTGATTATTTGCTGTTGTGGGCCACATGCGCGTTCCTATCTGTAATGTCGCTTTTTGCTTTTTGCAATAGTTTTGCAAATTTGTAACTTAGGTATTTTTTGTTCACTGGGTGAAGGGGCCATTCAAGCTGTGACATGTAATTTTTTTCGTTTAACACCAAACCACTTATACAATGTGCTTTGTCACGTGCTTAAGAAAAGAAAATCAACTGAAATAAACCTTAGAGGTGAAACAGTGTTTTAACAAGTGTCAGGCCATGACAGATTTAAGACGGGGTCTCCGACTGTGACCACCAATTAATGACTACAGATGCATGAGAATTTTCGTATGAGCATGCGTGAGCTTTTAAGGTGAAACCTTACATGACTGATCTTTCAGTTGATTTAGAAAACAATTCCGTGGCATCGATGCGAATGGTGCAAAGATTCAGGTGGTTTCTAAAGCATGGGTGGAGAGTGCTGGCTGTGCGATCACTTTGTTGTTGTCAAAGCGTGAACATACATTCAGCGGGAAGATGGAGAAGGTGATAATGCTCGCCTACAAGTCAATTTGGGCGCCTGCACGGAGAAATAACGAGTGTTCGTTCTGTTGCTGAGGTTTTGTATTGGTGCTTCTTGTTGAATTGATTACTCGCGTTAATGTTTAGGGCTCCAATGTTTCGAATAAACGTCTACTTGTTCTTTTTATTATGTCACGCAGTAATGCGCAAAGCTAACCGAAAGGTGCTATAAACACGTATCAAGTACGCATGAGGATTTGAGGGAGTCAACACAACATTTAATCACCTAAAAAAAAGACATGCCCCACGTGATCTGGACACCCACCAGATGAACACATGCGACGGAAATTAGAAACAAAGTGGATGATAAAATAAGTTTCCTTGTGTTGCGTTCATTTTCTTCACATCTGGATCCCCGCTTACGTTTTGCTTTCAAGAATTATTTCAAGCACAGTTGAAGGCGGCTTTCTTTCGTCGAATCAACTGGACCTGACACTTAAACAGAATTTTTCGTTTATTTATTGTGTATTCCTTCCTTAGATAGAAGAACCTCCGTCCTTTTCGTTCGTGTTATTGTCATTCGAAGAACAAGGCGCCGTGAATTGCGGGACCAGCTTTCCCAGAAATCAATATTTGTTTTCAGTCACCGAGAAAAAAAGAAGCGTAATAAGACATTTTGGTTGGTCAGTTGCTATTTTATTAGGTTGTCCTGCAACGTTTTAACCGACTTGAGCTCAGTTCTTGTCATCCCAGTTTTTTTTTTCACGTGCTGGTCTTATACAAAAGAAGGAATCAAACAAAAACGCAGAAAGCGGAGGTATGAACTAAGAAAGTATGTGGTTTGCCAATCTGCGCTTGAAAAATGGGAAAGGAGGCTAATAGTAATTGTTGTGGCATTACGTACCAAAACCATGACAAGATAACGAGAGACGTGGTATGGAGCGGTATGGTAATATCGATTCCGAGAGGTTCTTTAACGTGGGCCTAAAGCTAAAAAAAAAGGTAATATCTGTGCGTACGTTAGAGCTTTTACCTAATTCTAAACACAGTAGCCTTTAGCTGAAAAAAAAGCAGTAGATAGATGATAAAAAAGAAAACGAGAGAGGGTAAATATGTCATCAATTTGTGCACGCGTACGGGGCTACATCATTTCTTCATATAGCAACACCCCCGGGCAAACTGTGATAAGGAAGCACAAAGGTACCTTCATTGCCCTGCCAGTCGACGAAAGAAGGAGACAGTTTTCGAGTAGCACCTGGATAAAAGCCGCCTACAGACAGTAATCTTAACGTGCCAGAAGGCGTTCGTTTTACTGAGTAAAATCGAAGACGGGGGCAGAATAAAGCTCGGTGTTTTCTTCTATGGAAACTTCGCACGTAACACTGTCAGGCGTTATCGAATCTCACAGTAGACTCTGAGCCGGGCTGGTTGATTTGCGTTTGTTAGGACGAAATAGTGTGACAGAGTGTGACAGAGAGTGTGAATAGTGTGACAGAGAGTAAGTGTGACAGAGAAACAGCCATTATGCTGCCCATTACTTTTGCCTGCATGCTCTTGTAACGCTGTAGCGTCAAAAAGCTCGTTCCGCAAGAAATCGTGGTGTCGGCGTTGTACTATACAACCAAGCACAATCTCAAAGCAAGAAACCCTGAACTTCTTGAGAAGAGATGAAATAATGCCTGCAGAAAGTTTCGTTCGTCGAGATCTAATAAACCGACTATGGCATCATGCAACTTGACTTAAAGGGCAATGCTAGCACTAGAAGCTATACTTTTTTTGCATACAGTTCATCAGTGAAGGCCATTGTTTGCAAACAGTAGTTAGCGTCAAATGACTATTTTCGACCCCACCGAGGGTCAGTTATATTGAGAACAACGCTTGTAAATCAGCAATTTCGAAATTGCGCAACGCGCGACGTGTTTTCTAGAGACGCATTGTCGAAAATTTTCACATGTATTCAAGACAAGGTACGCCTTGCTCTGTGCCAGTTTCAGTGCAGCATATACAACTCATTCCCAGAGCTACACATGAAGTGATGTGTTAAACCATATACTCTGGGTACAACTTGGGCACAAATGTGTGCGTGTGAGCGTTTCCTGCACGTGAACAGCCATTGTCATGCTAAATTGTTTATTTGTTTCACTTTTCTATGTGATTTTTGTCTTTTATGATTCATTTATGTTTCGGGTAATCATTGTTTTTTTGTTTTCACTGCAGACGTTATAGTAATGAAGTACAGTCGAGCTGATATAGACATCAACCTCTGAACAGCAAGTCGGATGAGCAGAAAACGGAACACCTACTCGGCTAATTTCACATTATTTAAGGTAAAGCTAAGATTGAATGCCTGGCTAAGAGAGACCATCCTTTCTGCAACATTACGACCACGACCGCTCATCTCAGCTGTGTCCTATCAGCACACAAGCCACCATCTTTCTTTATCTCCTCACATACATCAAAACGTATCAACATCCTTCATTGGACGACATGGTTGCGTTATCTCTTCTCGTCGCTCCATCAGCCCCCCCCCCCCCCCAAAAAAAAAAATGGCTGCCATAATGGAACGGGTACGCGTACGTTATTCCTCGGTGCTCAGAGGTCACCCGTCACACAACCGTATAAGCACTTCTCTGGGCAAACCACGCATCGTCACAAAGGCCAAGGTCGCGTCGGAAGGTAATCTGTGCCTACATCTGAAATATATCTGCTGCTCGCTAGCGTCGGTACGCCAGCGAATAGAAGCAAAAACACAAGGCGACTGCAGGGATGACTCAATCAACTCCAGGAAACTACCGTTGCTTGCTGCTCTCGGCTGTGCCAGCGAGCTGCTGATTAGCTCACATTTATTACTGCCCGCAATAACGTCGCTGTCATGCTACAAAAACTTTGTCGCCGAGCAGTAAGTGAAAACAGTTTCCTGAAATATTTACTTGAGAGAACTCTGGCATTGTGGTCGTTCAGCAACAATGGCTGTAATGGGTAGGGCACAGATTTTCCTAATATTCGTGCTTGTGGCATTCAACGTACATCTGGTTTTGCTTGTTTTTGTGTTTTGGCGTTTGTTCCGGATAAAATAATGGTGCTTTGCAAAACTTGGTGAGCCAATGTCAAGTGGTGAGCCTAAATAGGTCATGGTGGTGAAACGAAACTGACTGAACTCTTGCTGAACTTCGTCTTGCGACAATGTGGCTCTAGGCTACACGGAGACAAGCGGAGCCAAAAGAACGAAGCTTAGACAAATCCGTGCACTACCTACCACTTCCATGCTGGCTGAAACTTTATGAAAAACATTATTAGTGAAAAGGGTCGCAGACTTCACCAGAACATGCACCGTACGTCGTTATCAAAATCTTTTAGAAGTCGTAGGCTTGGATTTGAGAACGGTGGGTACAGGAAAAAATATATAAAACCGTGAAATGTTTGTTTTTTTTCACTGACAGTCTGTTGTATAGCTCTGTTCTGCGAATAGCGGTAAAATATCTCCCGTGCTGTGCAATGAGTGAGCGCTCCCCATCGTTTCGAGGAAACAGAAATTTGCCGTTATTCAATCTTTTCTTGTTTTCTTTTTATCCCTTACACTTTTTTCTTTTCTGTTTCAACCTTTTAGAAGCGGGACGCAGTAATATACTGATATCGTGAAACGTTCTCGGTATATCGGCTACTTGATGGCGCATATGGTAATCAAGGTCAGTATTTGCACAACAGGATGCAAGTGAATGCCGATGACACACATGTTATTAGAGAAGGCGGGCCTCCAATATAAAGCGACGTCTTACGAACTCGACGCCTTGCGAATCGGGCCACGAATTTTCACACGTTACAGAAAGACACGGGACCAGCCACGCCTTGACTGCACAGGAAGAAGAAGAACAAGACGTGTCGCGAGTCACCGATGCTCGCGACAGCGTTACTCTCCTGAATAATTATCCAGTTAAAGGGTGTCCGAGCTCCACAGCTTCCACAACACTGCTCACTTTTAACGACGAGCTCTGCCGATGGATGGCAATACCGTAATCACGTCATTACTTGGACGAACGCGCCCGTCGTATCGACGATCTGAAAGTACGCTTCATTTTTTTTTTGTGTGTGAAGAAAGACTCTCTTAGTACATCTTCCTTCTTCTACAACGTTGCACCCGAGCAATAGAGCCTGGTAATTTTCGAGAATATTCCTTATGCTCGATGAATGGGGTGCCCCGGTGAAGCTGCCCTGAAACGACCTCGACGATAAAGGGACCTGCGTCCGTTTGTTCGAAACAGCGACGTGTCTTGTCACCATCAAATACAGCCACTGCCACTGGTTCTCAGAAAAGTGTGGCGCCTTTCTCTATTCCTCTTTGTTTCTCAGAACGCGTACTTTGCTATATAAGTGTATGAAAACAGGACAAAAACGGATAACTCGAAACACAGTGCCAATGACTGTCGCGAATCTCTACATCGCGGCCTTTACTTGCATCATTATCTCTCTCTCTCTCTATCTACATCGAGGCTTCACTTATTTTTCGTTCTTTTTTGTCGTTCTGGCCAGTGCTCCTCTCTATGGTTTTTATGAGCGTCAACCATCATCGCGCTTTTCCACAGAACTGAATGCCGCATAGAGCATGATGGGAGGGCCTGCAAGGAAATTGTTATGAATATCACTGATCGAAGAACAGTAGAGCAGTTAGGGCGTGGAACTCTGATTTTCGAAAATTCATTCTGAAGAGAGAAGTTGGTTTTTTCATGCTGTTTCTTTGGGCCAATATATAAACGATAAAATGCAATGTGCGAAAGATGTATGCTATTTTCAAGAAGCTTTCTGTTCACTTTTTTGTAAAGCGTTGACTTCCCATCTTAATTGCTTAAAAAAAAACTTCTGTACACTTTTTAGCAGATGGCGCCGTAGGGTCTTGTCAGCTCCGTTATATGCTAGAATATATTGTAGTTAATGCCTACACGATTACGATTATACTTGATGCTGGTTACCTCTCTTACAAAAGCAGTACTATCTTTTCTCAATCTACATTTTGCCTCAAGAACAAGCAAAGGCTGACCTTGCAAAGGCTGAACTGAAAAGGCTGACCTAAATGTGCGATACATTCAGAAGCACAGCCGCAATTGAATGGGAAATCTTCGTCACAAATTGCCGAAACATTTGAAGACCATCTTTCCACTTTTGCCGCAACACCTTGAATTTCCCGCGAAGATTTCTTCCGTTCAGTAAAACCAGGGAATGCATGCGTACTCAATCAAGCATTTCATTAGAAGCGGAAGTTTGTATTTTTATTAGACGCTGTGCTGCCACCAGCTTGAATTTCAGTCTGTGACCGAACAAGGACACCACTCCGAATCTTGCCGTAATATCTGTCACCGTGCGTGTGTGTTGGGAGGGGGGGGGGGTCGCCTGGGTCTGTATGGTATGTCTAGCATTCTACGCAGGACACGACTATGAGTGTAGTTCAAGACATGCTGTCCAGGCTGCGGTGCACACCCGAGGTGCTCCTAGGTATGTAAGCTGCAGTAGCGTTACGACTAGTTCGCGCTCTCAACCCACCAAATAGTGTGATAGATCTTGACCCGAAATCGTTCTAGCCATGGCTGTAGTTACAGTCAGATAGAGGCAAAATGCCACAGGGCCGAGTACTATGCGACGCCAGTGCACATTAGGGACCCTTAGTTGGTCAAAATTTTCGGATTTGTACTCTACGGCGTCCCCCATAATCATACCTTGGTTTAGGCACGAGAAATACCCCATAATACTATCCAGCAAAGTACTGTCCATAAATAGTTTTGCTCATTCTTAAACTGCATTGGGGGTCCTACCAGCTCTCAATGTTATTCTCTAGATCGTGTTCCGTATGTAACCATACACTTGCTATTTGTCGAAAGCACACAGAACATCTCAATCGTTGCTGCCGAGCTCGTCGATTGTGCATGAAGTCACAACCGAGTGTAGTAAGAAGATGTGATTGAAGGGAGAACGAAACCGAAGAAGACGACGGAGTGTGCGTGAGGTATACCAACGTGAGCTGCGAAACGTGGTCGGTTAAAACCAGGGAGGTCGGCGAACATAGAGACGTAGTACGTTCGGCCTGAGGGGGACCAAACGGACCGAGCGTAGTGCCACCTTACCAGCCAAGACGAGCCTAGCGTTTCCTGCGGTGAACGCGTATTCCGGTCCGGGCATTGCTTGCTGTTCCAGCATGCGAGCCAGGACAAGCTGATCCCGTGGCCGGTGGTGGACCGAGCGCGAACAGCTACCGAAGTCGTGGATATGGTGCTGAGACGGCTTGGATCCAACAAAACCGCCTGCTGAGGGCATAGGACTTGGCGCTATGCCGCACGCATCGTCGTCCCATGCATTCCCGAGCGAGCAGTTTCGGGTGTGCACGAGGTCTCGCGAGCGAATGATCACGAAATCCCTGCTCCAAGCGTGCGTCGGCCACACTGTCGTTGGTACCGTGAGTGACGTCTACGGACCCATAGACTTCGTACTAGACAGGACACGTGGATACTCGCGTACGTGTACCAGGACTGTAAGGACTGAAGCATGGAGGAAGGGTATCTATAGTTGTATATAGTTGTATTGAGCAAGTCTATGTGAGTGTATTTGTATTTTGGTGAGTGTTTCTATAAATGCTTTCTGGTTCCTGTCTGAGGGTACCACAAGAGACATATTTGTAGAGCACAGACAATAAAAGAAATGCCAAAATTTCAGGCAAAGCTGGTTCTCACGGCAGTGCTTCTCGTCACAGCAGCGGTCTCCGTCGCTCTGTCGCACCAGCTTCTGGTCCTCGCGGCACACGGGGTCCGACGGGCACACCTCGTGCTGGCAGTCGGCGCGGCCCCCCTTCTTGCAGGTGCAGCGTGTGCACCTGTCGCGCTGCCACTCGTCGCCCACCTGCACCACGTGGACAAACGAAAAGAAAGTACGTAGTTTAGAAGAGCACAGCATCCATTTAGCTGTATGCCAACCATCTGGCATTGTCGAAACATTTATTAAGGGCAAAAAAAAAGCTAAAGTTTGACAAAAACTCATTCGGTCAGGAATAATCAAAATGAAAAAACTAAAAGGAAGACGACGAGCACACACACACACACAAAGAAAACTGAATATAACAGACGTCTCGGCTCCCGTACTCGGGCCTTGTTCACTACGAAGCAACGAATTCTTGCTCCATTGCGTACACGGCACCCGGATGGGAGTCCAAACGTCCGCTATTTTTAAGTTTTTTTTTATGTCGTCCTCTTTCTTTTACTTTGTGACGAAGAAAAGAGAAAATCGAAAAAAAAAAATTGTCTAGTGAGTGAGCGAGTGGGGCCCCTATTCTAGGGCCTGCTGTGTCTGGTCGAAGAGCGGAAGTTTCCTGTATTTAATGTAAAATGGCGTAAATCATAACAATATGCCCCGCCGCGGTGGTCTAGTGGCTAAGGTACTCGGCTGCTGACCCGCAGGTTGCGGGTTCGAATCCCGGCTGCGGCGGCTGCATTTCCGATGGAGGCGGAAATGTTGTAGGCCCGTGTGCTCAGATTTGGGTGCACGTTAAAGAACCCCAGGTGGTCTAAATTTCCGGAGCCCTCCACTACGGCGTCTCTCATAATCATATAGTGGTTTTGGGACGTTAAACCCCACATATCAATCAATCAATCAATCAATCAATCAATCAATCAATCAATCAATCAATCAATCAATCAATCAATCAATCAATCAATCAGTCATAACAAGGCTGCGTGATTTTAGCGAACACCGCTGATTGTGAGCAGATGTTTTCTGTATTAGGTGCGCAGCACTTTAAGGGGACTAGGCTGTCATAGCTGTCGTAACGCTGGCGAAACCACATAAAGCAAAGGCTCACGCCAAAAAGAAGTCTTTTTTTCTCTTGTTCTTAGGAGTTCCTTGATTACGATGATGAAATAAATAGACATGAGTAGAAAAAATAAAAAAAAAAGCCAGCAAAGAAAAAGAAAAAGAGAGAGTAGACAAAAGACAGAGAGAGCCGAAGAGAAACACTAGCTCCACACTTCCACAGGCTTGGCACCGCTAATGCGAAATTGCCTTAATTTTTCTTTTGCAGCGCCGTCCAACTAAAACATGCTGGCGTTCTTAAACTAAAGGTGCGCCATGTCACCAAGAAGAGGAGGAGGGGGAGGGGGAAGGGAAGGCAGGGTCAGCCAGACATGCGTCCGGTTTGCTTTCCTTTATGGGGGGAAGGGGCGAGAATGGTTATAGAAAAGGAGATGAAAAGAAAGTGACTTGAACGTGCAGCGAGACTTCTGGATGAAAAGGTCATGTTTACCGAGAGGCTTATATACCGGGCGCTACGCTTCGGATGGCCGGTTTTTCTTGAACGACACGGCGCGAGTAAAGTTTTTCAGCTTTTAAGCAGTCCTTAATATCGCAACTTTAAAACTAACGCTTGATGAAGCAGTACCTTTCGGGCTATTTCAAGGAAGGCTGGTGTGGCGACGAGCAAAGGAATATTGATAAGTTTAGCTTTAGAGACAGGACAAGCGCTTGCTCTGTCTACGTTCGCTTGCTATGTTGCTTTCTGCGCTACTGAGAGAGTGTGCTAAGACCCTTGATTAAAACAAGAACTTCCTTAATTTTCTAATGAATTCTTAGGTTGCTTATTTAAGGTTAACTTGCTCATAGTTTTTAGAAGTGGACGGAAATGAAAGCGTCTCATCGGGACGTTTCTTCGGGTATTAGAGCACAAAGAATAATAATAAGAGAACTATTTCAAGTATGTGGTGTAAAGACTCTCAAAATAATATTTGACGTTATTGTTTGCAAGGAGCTTAAGCCAGCTTAAAGGGGACTTAGTGAATCATGCTTTGGTTTGGTACATTTTATTTTCTGAATTAGCAATTTTTTGTCTGAGTATTAGCCTGTGCTAGCTTACACAGTGTATAATGTATCGCAGTTGAAATAAAAAAAAGTTTTTCAGCTAAGAACAGGTAGTTGGCAAGTGATAAAAGAAACAGAAAAAAAGAAAGGACCCTTTGATGCTAGAGTACAAATCGAATAATGTGTGTCATAAGTGATGAATATAAGTCATATAGCCAGTTGGAAGACGGCATCTGTTATTCAGAGTAATAATTGAGACCAATTCAGATGGGTTTGAAGGTTAGAAAGAAAGGAACAGAAGATGTTTCTCAACTTGCAATGCTTCGAGAAAAATTTCAAAAATAGATTTTGGTTGTTAATAGGAAGCCTGCATATGTAATATTTCTACTAACTATGTACTTAATAATTCTCTCCTTACTAAAGTTAGCTCATACAAGTACCTTGGCATTACAATTTCTGACAACCTTTCCTGGCAGTCTCACATTGACATTATTAAAAACAATGCTAACCGCACACTTGGTTATTTACGCCGTAACTTCTCCCTTGCCCCGATGCAACTGAAACTTCTGCTCTATAAAACATTAGTCCGACCAAAGCTAGAATATTCATCATCTGTATGGGATCCCCACGTAAACATCCATATCAGTAGCATCGAAGCAATTCAAAATCGCGCCGCTCGTTTCATTTTGTCGAACTATTCCCGTACAGCAAGCGTAACCCATATGAAGTCAACCTTAAATCTACCCAGCCTATCATTTCGCCGCAAAATCTCGCGCTTGTGCCTCTTCCACAAGTTGTACCATACCATGCACTCACTGAGTAACTCGCTTTTTTTGCCGCCATCCTACATTTCATCCCGCAGCGATCACCACTTCAAAGTTGGAATTCCAAGCAGCCGTACAAACCTCCATTTTAATTCATTCGTGCCCAAAACAAGCACGGACTGGAATCACCTTCCCGCTTCCATTGCATCCATCACTGACCCGACCAACTTCAAGAATACCATAAACGCATACCCTTTTTAAACATGCTCCATTTGTTTGTACAGTTTGTTTGTTTGTTTTTCACCACTCCTCTCTGTAACGCCTTGTGCATTGAGAGAAAATAAATGAAATGAAATGAAAAGGCTACATAGATGGCTAGCAAGATCCTGCAGTATTCTGTTCAACTAATTGAGATTTGTGGCGTCAGTGGGAACGCTTGTGGAAGATTTGTCTGCCTGTGTTTCACTTGGTATGAAAGCATTGTAGCTGCAGATGATGAAACCTCAAGAGCAGGCAGACTGACTCAACTTGGGTAGCTTGGCACTTAAACCTAAGTGTGTGTAACGGCTGCAGAAAATTTACGTGTCACAAAGAATATTTTGTACCGTAATGGGTATGAAAAGATGGTGCAGACTTACACATATGTCACGTACTGTCAACCGCCGTATAATAAGTGACACTATAATTCCCAAGGGTGTCTATGAAAGCTAGGTAGTATTTCGTTGCGATAATTGAGTGTAGAACCGCGCATAAAATTTTAGAAAAAAGTAGTTGACAGGAAAGAGGCGAGTGTGTATCTTTCCTGTAAATTACTTATTCTTACAATTTTGTACGTGGCGCTACACTGAATTATTACAATGACTATACTCCACCTGTGCCAACATCGACTGCCATTCGTAATGGTCAGCTGAGAAAAACAAAAGCCCACATAGCGAGCAATTTCAGGTGGCCTTTGCAAGCACTTGCTATCACTAACCAAACAATATACAAGCTTCACACGCTGTACGGCCGCGTTTCCAATTGGGCTCAGGAAAATATCTACTCTGTATTTGTATTCAATTTTATGGCGGCCTCACAATATTTCTGAGGCAAGAGATTTGAGGTGATTGCTTTTCTTGACACCCGCTCACAGGCTGAGCTGAGCAGAGTGTTTCACCGCGTCGTGGGGGGTTCTTCATGACTCTGTGTACTCTAAAGCATCTGCTCAACACAGTTTTTGTTTTTGCGGGTGACTATTTCATTAGAAAGCATAACACCAAGCAATAAAACATGGTTCATGTGTTCTTGAAGAAGTACACCATAAAAATAAAACATGTGGCATATGGTTATCTAAACTTTTTATCCGATAGAATGAGAAAAAAAATCGTAGGCTTACCTTATGTCCTTCCTCATCACAAAGGTCTGTGAAAAAAAATAGTGACAGAGCCACTATTACTTGACTACTTCACGACTTGTGGCTACACGATACATGGTTCAACGTGACTCTCGTACGATAGTTACATGCCGAGAAAATAATGCACGATTTCGCGTTAGCAAAGTTGTGACGGTAACAAGCGATATTAATGACTACGAAGTGACCATTGAGTGTTGAAAGACGTCACCCCCCTTTTTGGATGAAAAGTAAGAGCCTAGCCGGGTTGAAAGCAATACGTGGCAAGACATTACTCTGAGACCAAATCTTTTTCAGACACAGGAAAGCGCTGGTGGAGCACATCTAACAGTGACAATGCACGAGTGTTCTTTCTTCCGTCATGTACCGTGCTGCTTTAACACGCTCTGTGAGGAGGCATAAAAACTACTGGCAGCCATGCGATTTCTGTATAGCGTTTCACTCACATAGCTCTGTATGTTAGAATAGTTTGCACCTGGGCAAGTCGGTGATCTTGCATGTCGAGTGGTTACAGCTGAACTTAAACGTACGCACAAAAAAAGAAGCGACTGTTCACCACTGTCTTGGTGCTTATCGCCTTCGTGCGTACATTCAAATTTAGCTGCGACCACTCGACAAAATCTGTACGTGTTTACCCAGTGAATCGGTGACAATAGATGGCTGAAAACTAATTACGTCATCGCTAGTAGCATGCATTTAGACTCAAGCAGCAGAACACGAGAAATTCACGCACCGCAGACTTCTCGTGGCCTGCAAATGCCGTCGAGGAAGACCGACCCTTCGGGAACAGAAGCATCCATCGACCAGAAGCTTCTTGCAGTCGGCCTTGTGGTAGTGGCTCTTGGCCACGGAGCCACCCTTGACTCCCTTCTCTTGACGATACTCGGCATCGCAGGTCTGTGGGCAGCCGTCGTGGCAGCTCATGTAGGCTGTGTCACCGGGGCACGTTATGTCTGTGGAGTAAGATTTTCACAACTTCTGCAGTCTTCATTATAAGCCGTATTGCAGAACTTTCCACAAACATAGTAATGGCGGTACTAGTCGAGTCATGGTGCCTATTGAAGGCTTACAAGTGCAGGACATGGAAAATGCACTGCCTGCTGTACGGATTGAACGTACGGTGTTTTGAGCTAGCTGACAAAAGGGAAAAGCGTTTAACCATTATTGATAGCCTATCAGCCTCAGGATTTAACCAATCCTGATAGGCTCAACGCTCAGTGTTGACATTGTACATGTGCTCTAGGAATTGAAGAGGGAGGAGGAGATATTGCCTGCAGAGAGAGTAGCAAAGACGAGAAAAAAACTGCCTCCCTGGTCTTTGGACTCAAAATAGTGTAGCGGTCATTTAAAGTCATAGTGATTTCTGAATAGTACAGTGTATTCGCCTCGTGCGTGCCTCACCGAATGGTACTTTCATACCTCGTTCTAAACAGGTTCACTAATTGCGAGAAAATTGTAGGTACAGATGGCGCCTGAGTGCTAGAATAGCGAGAAAACTGATTTGTATGACATCAGTCAAAGGCAGATATACATTAAGGTGTTGCAGCATGGAGCAATATGAGGGAGACAGAAACAATGGCGAGGTTTCTGCTTCCTGCTGAACCACCTTCAGAACTACAGTCGGATACAACTTTAAATGTCCGTGGTGTTTTATACCGAAAGGCGGACACATACAAGCCTACGGCAATCGACGTGCAATTCAGACTGAAGTCACGAGCTGTATGACAGTTGCCTCCCCCCTCCCCCCCCTCTTCAGAAGGCATTTCCATGTGCATGATCAGCTACCATGCTTTGATCCAGTGGGCAAGGCTTCAACGGACTTCTTGAGTTGCACCCAACCACAGGCGAAACCACTTAACTACCAAGGAGGCATAAGGTTCTCACTGCAAAACCGCTGTATGTAGGCATCGTCGACGTGCACTCCTGCACGGCAGCAGGCGTGCGCATACTCGATGAGAGAAGCACACGTTGCTGCATTCTCCGTGAAGCTCAGGGCGGCGTCGTGACGACACTGGTCCAGGTACTTGGACACGTCCACCAGGTTGGGGCACTCGCCGAAAACTGATCGGTCCAGCATCTCCGAGCAGGCTCCCGGTGGAGGTGGGGCCGTCGGCTCCTGAAAACAAACAAAGGGTCATTTAAAATTCCAAAAAAAAAAAGTTTCAATACTGAGGTAGCCTATGGCCTTCGATTTAAGCCTGTTTATGTAGTGTTTCAGCACCTATCACCGCCGACACATACTCCTGGCTTGCGTTATTTTGATTGCCAGTGAGACCTATGCAGTAAATATTCTTCCAGCTTATCTCGTTCTTGCGTGATTCTCACTTTCTATTACCTTACACAATGGCTAGCATTACCTTTCGCTCCATTCAACCAGCAAACATTCAAGGGTAGAATGCTTTAATTCCACGATACTTTTCTTTCAAAGACCTTTGCCTCGTAACCTTTGTTACTGGGTGGCTATCATAAAAGCCAAGAAGTAAATTATTGTAAGAAAAGCTTGCTTGCAAGTCTGTTGTAGTACTACATCATTCGTATCTGCAACTGCAACAGAATCCTTACCCCTATTTCGATTGATTGACTTTTGTTAGTTATTTGGTTTGTCGATTATTTGGGTCCTTTCAGACGACACTATTACGTGGCTCGAGGAATTCGATTGTGCTCTTTTGTGTTACCCCCATTATTAGTCACAGAAAAAAGGATCACTAATAGAATATCTTACTTTTTGTATCTTCATGATGACAGTAGGTTTTTATTATCTCTAACTCTGTAGATACTAACGAAAGCGTTCTTCACTGATGCTGATATATTATTTAGTCTACATTTGTAGCAACCATTATTAACCATATAACGTTTTTGGCGCGTAAAGTGCCAGATATCGTTAACGAATGTTGCAAAATAGATCATGAAAGGGGCATAGCCAAGGGTTGTTTGGATTTTTACACGCCTCCTCCTCCCCTCTGCTTTTAGATTTATGATGTTTAGTTATACGTGCACACATACATACACGCACTCCAGTCTACGTAAATGAGACCACCAAAGAACTTGGCACGCTGAAAACAAAACTGCACTTTTTGCGAAACTTACTGCACGCGTTGCCTCTCTGTCATCTCAAGGCAACATAGATTAGTCAATATCCTGGACCTGACTTTGCTGTCTAAAAAAATTCAATAACACTATCAACATATATACACAGCAGGGTAACGTTTTGAACAGGTTCCGTAAGATTCAAGTATTACCAGATCAGTCGAAAACGCCCAATGTCACATGGTTGCCCTGCTTTTCATTGTAATGTCAATTATATGCATGCTCTCGAGGGATGTTTGGCATCAGCGTAGTCATCTATGTCATGTACAAATTGATAAAATCCCCCCTCTCCCAACATAGCATACATTTTACCCATGGACAATGGCTTGCGAGCGGGAGGAGGATGAACGTGGCTGCAACAGATAACCGAGCTGGCTAATCTCCGTCACACGGAGAACGCATGTGATAACATCCGCCCTCTCAAAAGGCCTGCCTTCGAAGCAGAGAGGAAACGCCCTTCCCGTCTCTAACGAGCATGAGAATACGTAAAAATCAAGGGGATGGGGGGTCTGCTCAAGCAGAAGCTGTGGGCGCACGAGCTATCTCGCTATTTCGGCAACTACCAGGGTGCGTCTCGTTACTGTTCCACGTGCTACGCTCTCAACGCGAACAGACTGCGAAAAGTGTCTCTGAAGCGGCCGTATTCTCTATCACCAGCGTTTTGAGGGGTTGCGTGAAATTTGATTTAAGAGGGCTAGCTGCCAGTCTCATTTCGATTACCCATACAATCTATTGCTATCGCATTCATTGCTTCACTCTTGCGGTGAAGCTGACTTCTTTCAGCGCTACATGGGCGGCTCGCACAAGAATAGATTTCCTGACAAGGAAACACGCTGTTAGAACACTCACGACGCCAGTGAAATTCATGACGCATTGTTCGGGTGAAAGCTGCGTCTCCCAACTGCAGATGAAATCGATGAGGTCATCCGAGATAGTGCCGTCCTTCTTCTTTTTGTCATCATCTGGCTGTCCGTTGCAGTTACCTGCGAAACAAAGCGTGGGGGAAGGAAATGAAAATTTAAGGACTCGTTTTTCTTTGTTAAGCACAATATCAATGATGAGTAACAGACAATGATACACTAAGAGTAGAAGACGACGAAAAGATAACTTCCCGCTGGCAGGGATTGAGCACGCGACCATCAAATAACGAGTCTGATGATCTACCGATGAAGTGGAGCAGAACAGGTAGAACATGGGACGCGTCATTCGAAGGTCGCAGGTTAAGCTCCTGCCAGCGGGAAGTTATCTTTTCGTCGACTTATTCTTCTTCGTAGTTTACTTTTACAATTAGTACTAATATATCCTCTATTCCTCGTTTAGCATTATTGCCTGTTAGTTTTCAATAATGAAATGTCGAGGAGTATGTCAAGGTGATGTTTAAAGTATTTTTTGCTACATGGAAAATGCGATGCTGAAACAAAACGTGAGCTGATATGCTTGATGTAGCAAGAAAACAGCGCAAATGACCCGGACACAAACACAAGCAAGCACTAGCTGATCATAATAGGGCAATCATTTTTAGGATTATCCCCGTAGAGAAATCAGTTGTGTTACAGCAATGGCTGCTCGTTTTTATGTCTACTGTGACGAATCACGATAATACCTTGCTGCTCTGCCAATTGGCCAAGACTAAAGTTGTTAGAACATATTGTTCATTTGCGCGTTTATGCCACAGTGAGATATGTTGCTGTTTTATTTCACAGCCACTTCACAGATTTTCAGGGCATTAAAATCCTGTGCACGGAAAGAATGTTGCCACTACCAGCTTCTATATTTAAGCTGGGCCCACGTTTCGCAGTACAGTAGAATGCAATATCCTAAATGACGCGAGCAGTAAAATAAGAAAATCAAATAAACAAGAGACACGTGTCTCCATTTCAGCACAAGGGAGTTCTACCTTGACATTAATGAACTTTTTTTTATCGTACGAAAAGTAATTACTGTGCACTTCCGATTGTTTACTCCATACATTAGTGCACAAAATCGTGCAAAAACTTTTGTACCTGTTGTCAACGTCAATTGATCATTATATCGCTATAAGCGCAGTAAAATAACCAAGCAGTACTTAAACGAGCTGCATCTTTACCCAATTTAGGTTCATATTTCTTGACGTCCGTGTACTTTTGATTTCTTCATGGAAATGTTCACGTTGGAGTGCCACCATAAGCGATTATTTTTCTATGTCACTGTAGCTATGTTCATATGGGACAGATAAATTAATGTGTGCAGAATGTAGACCAAACTGCCTTCCTGCGATAGCATATCTCTTGAATTTTAAAAGATCAGGCAAGTGGTTACAAGGTTCATTATCGTTAGTGGTTACATTATCGTTCCATGGTCGCGGGATGCAAACGTGTGAACATGCCTTCAGCGGACGTGATCATTTTTTACCGTACTGGGGACAGTTGAACAACTTTCTTCCCCTGAAACTGAACGAATTACTTGCTAAAGAGAGTGATGGCTCATAACCTCTTTTTCTGGGGTGAGGGCTGGTGGGAGATTAGGAGAGTATATTTCGAAATTGAAGATAAAAATTGGGAGAAACAAAGACAAATAGATCCACTGAGATAAATGGCAGCATAAAAAAACGGTAATGACAATTTATTCACCTTAAGAATGAACACATGCATGAGAACGCCACCTAGGTTTACGTGATATGATAGTGATATGTATTAGGACAACTGATAGCTGAGCTTGTTGATAAGCGTTCATTCTGAGAGACTGGGCGTGCTAACATGGACACAGTGTTTGTGGTGTATTGACTTCTTTCTTGTGCTTGGCGTTCGTGATGTCATGTTTCTTTGTGTCAGTTTTTTGCACATACCATCCTTTAGATAAAATACGTAGTAGCTGTCCATGCAACAGAAATCGCATTGTCCACAGCTCTACGCACAAGAACATTATCATATAATGCTAAGTGATTGACATTGTCGCCATCTCAACGCTTACCGCAGAGACCCTCAGTCCTGTTGAAGAAGTTCTTGGAAGGCACGTGGATGGAGAAAGCAGCGCTTATCTCGTTGTAGCGCACCTGTACGCCCAACTCCCGGAAAAGAACGACGGTCACCTGTCCAGGCATCGCGAATACGGTGAGACCGTCACCGTTCCACGGCAGGTCCTTCGCTTCGTACTCGTTGCCATCAATTACCGCCTGAAAGTTCACCAGTTAATTATCAGATAAAGGCAGTGTGAACAAATGGATGAAATGTCCGACCACGTACACATAGGTAAAGTGTGAAAAAAAAGCGGAATACATTAAGGAGATTTTCTTAGGTGCTTCATCAAAACATAAAATTCCCCACTAATGTCCGCGTCAACACTATAATAACTCACTGTTGAGTAGCACAAATGCAGACAAGACACAAAGAAAAATAACTGGACAAGTGCTGGTTTAACATCTGAAAGATTTTAGCAAGATGGCAAGTTGGGCCAGTTGGCAAGCGCTGTCCTTGTCAGCCTCTTCTGTTCGTCTGTTTTTTTGGTGTGCTTTTAATTTTTAATTATGAAAGACTGTATTTGAAAAATTCTTATATATATTCAGTTTCAGTTTCAGTTTCAGTTTATTTAACAATCTTTTTCAGCAATCATGTTAAAGTACAGTGATTAAATGTTTTCGTACAATGGCAATAGTCAACACAAAACAAAATGTAAATCAGATTAAAAAGTGAAAAAGGTGCAAGGACAGGAATTAAAAGCTGCGAAAAAGCAGCTTGACGGGATTCTTCACCCTGAGCAGATTAGCCGCAGACACGAGGTGATGTAACAAAAAGAACTAAAATACAAGCAAGTAAAACAGAAAAAGTACAAGAACGCATGACACAAGCAAGTAAAATATCAACAAATTTGGCAAACTTCAACTGCAGACATAGTGTAATATCGCAAACACTGAAAGAATGCGGCATAATAAGGGAGAACAAAGCGAGAAGGAATACAAAAGAACATAATTTATATATATAAGAAACACTACCTTGAAACAGTAGGCATAAGGAAAACACAAATACATGAAACAGTTCATGTTTGTACGTGTGCAGATGAAAAGGCAAAAATGCACTTCTATTCAAACGAATTATCAAATTGAATATGATAGTATAAAATAATACATAGTGAAAATGAACTCGAGTTTAATTGATCACATTCGCAGACTCTCTGGGGTTGCTAATTAAATATTCTTTCCACTGCTTCTTTGTCAGCGTATCAGACGTAATGCCTCTGTTGTTTAGGTGATTAAAAAAGTTTGGCATGATATGCTTAAGACTGTTAAGGCCGTAGTTCGTTAGCGAAAGCGGTATTTGCCATGTGTCTCTTTTCCTTATGTTGTAAGGTGTTGCGGGGGAGTCTTTGAGCTGACACAGTGTCAGAAATTTGGTTTTACTTTTCAAACCATGTTTGTATTTAGCAAAGAGATTGAAATGGTACAGATGTTCTACTTGGAGCACGGTATATGTTGTAAATATTGTTGATGTATGAGCGTCGTATGGAACATTTGCGATACGTCGTATTGCCTTCTTCTGTAGCCTGATCAATTTTAATTAGTTCTTTTACTTGGTGTTTCCCCAGACGAGGGTACAGTAATTGATGTGCGCGTGAAATAAAGCATTATAAATGAGGAGTTTAACTTTTGGAGAAACTATATCCCGAAATTTTGAAAGCACTCCACATGCCTTGGCAAGCTTTTTTACAATACAAAACGAGAACGAAACACAAGCTTATGACTGACCATTGAGAAGTATCTTTTGTTCCGATAGTGACACTGACAGCTGACTTATACAGGGGCTATTATACTTTGCCATGTGGTATGCCTCCGCTATCTCACGTGTGTTGCTGCGGTATAGTTGCTGGAGTTTAACGTCCTGAAACCCCGAAATGAGTATGAAAGGCGTCATGGTGGAGCATTCCGAAAATGTTGACCATCTGGTGTTATTTATTCAACATGTGCCCAAATCTAACCAAACAGGCCACATTTAGCCTGCATTGAATGCAGCCCCTGTGGCCAGAATACGGTCCCGCGACCTTCCGATCAGCCATAGAGCACCACAAGAACAGAACAACCATGGTGGGCGCCCGTGCCAACTCGAGTAATGAAGCAAAATCAGCAGCACCTAATTCACATCGAGCCTAATCAGCATCGGCCCTAATCGCATTAGAAATATCCACGTATTGGACCGCTGTTTATAACCCCGTCGGGGTGGTCTAGGGGCTAAGGTACTCGGCTGCTGACCCGCAGGTCGCGGGCTCGAATCCCGGCTGCGACAGCTGCGTTTCCGATGGAGGCGGAAGTGTTGTAGGCCCGTGCGCTCAGATTTGGGTGAACGTTAAAGAACACCAGCTGGTCAAAATTTCCGGAGCCCTCCACTGCGGCGTCTCTCATAATCATATGGTGGTTTTGGGACGTTAAACCCCACATATTAATCAATCAGCCGCTATTTATATACGCCTGTGTCAGAAGGGGAAGCGTATGCAAAACTACCATAGTATCACATACATAAAGAAGCTGGACGAACACATATAAGTACGCGTTTAATGTGCTTGTAACGTGACGGTCCAAGAAATTGCTCAAGAAGAATGTTTGGGAGCAATAAAATGCTGAATGTGTGCCTTACATGGTCAATTTCCACAAGTAGGCATTGAAAAAGCTTGAACTTGCTTTGTGTTTTTTCGATTGGTTCTACATATTTGTTTTTTGTAAACATATCTTTTTTTTGCGCTGTGGAAGTTATAGAGAAAAATCTATCTGAAGGAAAATTCTATCAGAATTCAAATGAACTGAACTTTAATAGGGAATATACATGGTAGTAAGAAAAATTAATCGAACAATAAACATACTGGTTACACTGAGGAAAATATACAGTGAAAATGGTTTTAAGCATTTTCATTCGGCTGTCAATTTTTACGTTTTCCAGCCATTTTTTCGTAGGTTTCAGCCAATAATTTTGCATTTATCTCCCAGAAGCATTTTTTACTGCTGTCTGTTTCCTCAACATTACGTATCTCAGCTTTCTAGTCATTACGAAATCGTGCTCTACTTACATAATACGCTATTTCCACAGCGCTCGTGCTCTAGCTTCAGACCGGCACTCGCTGTCCTGAACTAAACATGCTGTATAAAACCAGAGCGACATACTCCGCTAACAGAGGAGAGGTCATCGCATTAAGCTTTGTGGCACTGACGCTACTTTGAAGAGGTTACGTGGAGCTGCTACAAACGACCGTTTGTTTAGACGTGGCCCAGACCACAATAAAACGCGTGCACTGCCTTGCGGCAAACTAATGGCCAAGCCCATCACGCGCGAGTGAAGAGTTGCTGACGCATTTCTTCTGACCTCCCTTTTCATACATTTGCTCTTACCTTTCTGTATATTCCCAGGTAGTTTTATAATAATCATTACACATTTGAAAAAAAAATATTTACCGATACATTCGTGGAATACCTCTAGCCACCTGTTCAACCTTCTGTCTCACAGTGCCCATTTCGGAGTGTCGACGTATTACGTAACTAGTGTTGAAACAGCGTCGTCGTTTTCTTGTGAGATTAGAGACGTAAGTTCATGCTGCTGCTTTTACGTGGTCACACACTCCTTTATTAGCTTTCCAGGCTTGAGTATTGCACAGCGCAATTAACTAGCCACTCAAAATTGCTTCAAATCTGCACCACAATGATCATAGGAGACACCTGGCCACTCCCACAAACTCTTTTTGTGAGTGCCTTCGAGGGAAATTTGTAATCAATGTACGGGTCTTTCAAGTCCTTGTTATGTCATCGAAAATGTGATACAGCCGAACCAGTATTGTCATTGGCCGTATTCTTGTTGCCTTGTCATATATGTCAATTAGCATCATATCGTATCTCAATCCGGCCCTGTACTTGTGCACGACGACTGTGCCGTCGTCGTGCACATTGATACGATCATAGCAGAGTACGTAACGCTTTTCGATCATGGTGCCAAATAATACAGTTAGGAGTCCGTTGCGTTAGTGTGCAAAAGATGACTGGGCTCAAATATGGAAGCAGCTATCAAAAAGCCTTGAATTTTTTAGGGCTATCACACTATGACTAAGCGACTCCCGTTTCTGTGTGCTTTTTGCCTCTCATATAGTGTTGTTTCTATTAATTTATAAAGAAATTTCAAAAAAAAGAAAAAGATACTTCTCTGTAAAGCGTGCTTGGCCACAACAAGTATAGTTTTGGGGAAAAACATCGTAGTCGCCAGGTGTGATTGCTCGAAGAAATAAACAAGAGCATCAAGAACTCAGTGCAGGAAAATATATTTTGCGAGTAGTTTGAGCCAATAAGAAGTCAACTAGAGAGTGAGATTTGGTTTAAAACGATGGAGGTATACTTTTCTTTGCTTCCAGTCTTTTTGCTGCTCTTTTGTTGGAGCAGCTCCATGGCTTTGTGACATTACCAGTGGTCAAAAGGATTTATAGGCACTCACAAGTAATTCATGATGATCGCGACGTGAGGCAAGCTGCATAATGCGCTGTGTTAAACTTGGTAAAACAGTATAAAAGTCGTGCGTGGATGTTTGTGTTTCTGCAAGGCAGAAACCCAATCAATAGCATAAATATATATATGCGTCATTGAGACGCTAAAACGCGTTCTACATACATGATAGGTTATGCCAGTATTTTTTTATGAGTGATAATGTTTGCTTAGCAATGCTGAATTACTGAGTCCACGCACTCGTTAACTACGAATAAATACGCGTCTACGAATAAATACGCGGAATAAATACGCGTCTAAAGGTTCATTTCGTATCCACTTAATGAAAAGCGATTATCTACCACAATGGGAACCACTATTCACTGTTTTTCCCAAATCTACTCAAAAGTTTTGTTACAAAGTTCGCTGAATGTGTTATGTAACAGGAATAGCCTGGTGACTTACGTGGTTTAGCTCAGCTTCTGTAAACCTTGAAGTAGCACAAAAAAAAAAAGGACGAGGAGAGGGATTGAGAAGACAGTATCAATTTTGTTGTAACTTTGTTGTACCTTTATTTTACCTTTGAACTGGCTGTACCTTTCCTGCTTGGACCTTAAATGGTTCGCAGTATATGATAAATAAATAAAATAAAAATAAAGAAGTGCAGAAAGTACGCGTGCCGTTTGCGTAGGCGTGCGGCAAGTAACTGAATGAAGGACGTCTGGGTCGTTCCTTATGTACATCACGTGGCTCTTGTGAAGCACCAGAACACCTACTTTTAAAGCCTCCCGCGTTTGTTATGCAATGAGAACTGCTCATAAAGGAATACGAAGTTACTGGGCTTACGTGCACGGCCATTGATCATTGCCTGTTCCCGGGAGGATGTGCTACTAGGTGGAAGAAGGCCCACAGGGCCCTACTAACTTTCTTAAAGACAGCCAGTTTGGCCCCGCGTTTGTAGACATTTTTCTATGTGACAATTTTGACGCCTGGTTTCTTTTTCTTTGTTTCCTCTTTCTTTCCTCATATGTCCCCCGTTTTTTTTCTCTTTCCAAAGGAACCATTGTGCCCATCTATGTGGTGGTTGTCAGACAGTTCCTCTCCCCAATTCCCGTGTGTTCTTGCTTTCTATGTATCCTGATCGATAAAAAATAAATAACAACAACAACAACAACAACAACAACGACGACGACGACGACGACGACGACGACGACAACGACAACGACAATATTAATAATAATAATAATAATAATAATAATAATAATAATAATAATAATAATAATAATAATAATAATAATAATAATAATAATAATAATAATAATAATAATAAATGAAACTTTTGTGCTTTACCGGTTTCTGCCTTCTGATGCGTGCCACGTGACTTTTGTGTTCCACGTTGAGTCCCACGATGCAGGTGAGCCGCTCTTCGCACTTTCCGGTCACACCATCCACGGTGAATCGTCCCTCGGAGTCCGAGACCAAGTCGAAGTGGCCACTCGACTGTAGCTGGAATTTCCAACCGTCGAACGTTTCGATGGTCGGGTCACCGTAGCCCGTGCATACCTCTGCAGGGATGTGGGTGAACGTGCGAGAGAACGAGAGTGAGTGAGTGAGAGAGAGTTAGTGAGCGAGCAAGAGGGAGAGATAGAAGCTAGCTAGGTTTTTTCATGCACAATATATTAATAAAAATGTAAAAAAAAAACAAGACACTAGGCATGAGCTTAACCTTTCTTACGAGGAGGAGGTAAATAGGAACGGAAGGACAGGAATGTTGGCCAGTTTTTGAGCAGCGGGCTACGCTATGCGGGGGAAAGGGGAATAAATGTTATATGAAAGATGCTACAAAAATGAATAGAGAGGAAAAAAATAACAAAAATGCGATGAAAAACACAGCCTAAAGTCTGTCTTTGAGACTTGTGTGAGAGAAACGCAACAACGCTCTCATAGCTTTCCGTGAAGAGGATAGTTTCGGGGAGTGTCTTTAAGCGTTTTCTTTTGACAATGAGCAATGGTCAAGTCTATCCAACACATTTGTCATTTTTCTCTTGGTGCTGTGAAGGAAGGACAGTTTTCTGTGGTGTTCCCACTAAACATAGTATGTTCTATTATTGAGTTCGTGTAGGCGACATAGAACATTGTCAATGAGGGGCGTCGTTCCTCACCAACAAGTTTCTTTTGAAATATGAACTAACTGGAAAAAAATGCATGAGTACAGATGCGAAGAGCCATTCGTGCGCTTTACTTTTAAATACACAAGTCTGATTGCCGATAACCGGACACGTTGCTTGTACAATGGTCGATTTTCAGCGACTCAAGGGCTGCCCTACAATCTGTGCTCTCAGCACTGCGTCGCGGGCCATACGAACAGCTTGTTTTCGAAATTCGATGCCTTCTCCACACTTCACACGAGAAAGGGCATCATGTGACGCTTCAATGGCTGCCACGTCACTGCGGCATCATAGGGAACGAACATGCCGATACTGCCGCGCGGGTAGCCCTTGAAGGAACACGAGAAGAAGCCATACCACTTTCGCGGACCGATGCTGCCAGTAATTTTCGACGACTTGCGCGTGAAATCACGTTTTCACTATGGTGCCCACCAAGCATAGATACGAATCGTCAACACCACCTGTCCTCTTTGATGGCTCTCCGCATGCCCACTGGACTCGACCGAAGAGAAGCCACCCTTCTTCATCGCTTATGGCTAGGAGTGGCATTTAAAAAATCTTATTCCTTTGTCATAGGAATGGCCGACAACGCTCTTTGCGATGCCTGTCATTGCGAAGAGACGCTACACCACATCCTGTGTGACTGTCCGTTGTCTGAAATCCAGAGACAGTCACTGGCGTCCACTTTTGCGCGCATCGACAACAGCCAAATGTCTGTGGACACTATTCTGTCTAGTGCCCGAGAGAAGACATTGCAACAGAAGGCGACGAAAGCTCTGTTGAAATTCCTACGCGACACAGATTTGAACAAGCGACTGTAACAGCAATGTCACTCACCGCGAAAGACAAGACTGGACTATGACTGAGTGTGCGCGCGTGTGCTGCCGAATGTGCTGTTTCTCTCTTCCCTCTCTGCTCTCCATCTTTCATCTCCCCCACCCCCCTCCCATGCGCAGGGTAGCAAACCAGCTGCCTATAGGCTGGTTAACCTCCCTGCCTTTCTTTTCCCTCTATTTTCCTTCCTTGTACGATTGATGGTGGAGCTCACGCAAGCGTAAAACACACACGCGTGGAACAAGCGTAAAGTTTTTTTTTGTGACAAGACATTCAGCGAGGTTAATGCTTTAAGTTTGTTTTGACTAGGAAAGAACAAAGGAAGCAGAAAATGAGCGGGCGGGGAGGTGAAAAATTATTTCAAATATGATCCTGCTTACGAGATGGAGTGCACTAATCTTACTGGAAAGTATAACTGTGACGCTTTACCACGTAGTTTCAGTACAAAGTTGCAATTTTTAAAACAAACTCTTATTTTTTATTTTGTATTAGTCACTAGAACATGTCATGCGTTCACGAAGGGTATTACAGTTTTTTTTATTTCGTTGTAAGCGTTATGGGGCGTTTGGATGTAGGGCTGCACAGAGAAACATGACAATTCGAAATAAATATGACTGACTGAATTCTTTTATGCCATTGATGTCTGGTGCGGAAGGCTGTTGTGCTCCTTCAGGACATTGTTTGCAAAAATTGGGAAGATGGAGATTGTCTGATGGCTTGTAATAAAATCACGTGGTATGTTACACCAACAGGCAGCAAAAAGAGAGTTCAATACTCGCCATCAACAGAGGTTAACACTCGCACACCAGTTTACCTCCTGATTAGAGTCTGACGAACTTGCTTCGTTTGTGAATGAATAAGCTATTATAGACGTGCTGCTACCAATAAGCAGTTCTGGTGATAGCAAACGAAATAGGCTGCGCAACAAACATCCATAGGTTACTCTTTTATGAGAGCTTGCGCGCCGATGATATCAGAAAATTAACTATAATAATACTAATAACATTTAATTTAACCGGAGACACAAAACAAGATTGGGCCACATACTGTCAGCGCATTCATCGGGATTCCTGCATATGTCGCCGTCAAGCACAGTTCCTGGTGGACAGAAGCAGCCGGGATTGCAGGACTTCTTGCTGGCACAGCCAACTTCACCACTCAAAAAGTTCTGGCACGTCAGCTGGCATTCAGGTCCACAGTCAAGCCACTGCATCTCTGGTGGACAATCGGGCACTGTACGATGTGAAAAAAAAAAGCCATAATAATCAACATTTTCCCACCACGTCACTAAAACCTAAACAAAAATCAGTCTGGCAACTGGAGACGAATACACATCATAACTACATTTTTCCTTCATTTAAACTGTATCTCAAGCCGTGCATGTTCCACCGATGGTTACACTTCTCATCAAGACAGTGTGTGAATAAATAATTCACATGTTGATTATATTATACGTTAAAACACTGTTCATTGCTTATTTCGGGGCATCACTTGTTCTCAGAAACAACTAGTCACTGCTCTTTGAAATGTTAGTTTAATGGTGCTTTTGGAAGCGAAGAGTTACCTTGGAAAAAACAAACATCGTTTCTATCAAGTATTTTGGAGTAGACACATAAACCTCTTGTAGACAAAGTCTTGGGTCACTGTTGGCTGACTGCTGTCAGCTATGTAAAGAGTGTAGTTATATGGGTACGTTTGTTAATTAGTCAGCGAGCGCTGTGTGTGTTCCTTCTGCAGTGTTCCGTCTCTCTTTGCGCTAATCAATCTAGTGTATCCTGATCGGGATGGCTCACTGCTCTCCCATAGTTGAGTGCAAAGTACTCAAAATCGTTAAACACATTTTATAAACACATTTCAATGGATCTTACGTAACGGGGGATGACTTTATGCTCTCCCATAGTAGAGTATCAAGCACTCTAAATCGCCAAACACCTTTTCCACAAACCGAACATTTTAATCATGAACCAACCCACCCAAGCAATAGATTTAGCGGAGTAGAAACCTTTCAATCTAGTGGTGTCTATGAAGGTGTGGAGGTGGATGCTTTGATACGCTGTCTCCTAGTTAGAAAATGATGAAGGACTTTCTTTGTTCAATTTTCTGAGACTTGTTTTTTGCAAAAAAAAAAAAAAAAACGCGAGAACCATCAAGAAACAACAATATGGATGGGTTTCAGCTTTTTCCATTTTGTGTTGTTTGTCGAGTCTGCTTCGGGCATGTTTTCCTAATGGCTGTAGCCGGCTCTTCCAGCTTTGGGTGATGGTGTCGCGCTTCTATGATTAAGAAAAAAAAATAGAAGCAATAGCGAGGCTGTTTGCCCACCACATCCGTGTCGCAGGCGCCATCCCTTCAGCGTCTCGTCGCGGTTCTCAATGTCGCAGTGGGTGACCGCATCCAGGTAGGCCTCGCAGGCGCACTCAGACTCGCTGCTGGAGTTCCCACGCTGAAGACACTCGCACGTGGCGCTGAGGCAGTTGGAAAGCTGCGTGTCCAGCCCAGGACACACGGACAAGGGCTCCTCCCTGCATGAACGAGCGATAATAATAATCGATGGGGTTTATTGTCCCAAAACCCCGATGTGGTTATTAGAGAGCATAATGAAGGGCTCCAAACGTTCTTAACGTTTAACGTAAAATGATTTCAGTTACCTAAGCTTGTTGCAGATGGCGGCAGCTGCAATCAGGGCTTCTTTTGGGCATTCCAAAGGGCGGCACTCCTCCCCAGCACCGGGAGTGGACCAACTGTTGCCAAATTCTGCAACACTCGGTGCTTGACTTCCGGATGGCGTCAGAAAGTCGTCGGAGGGTTCCCCGTTGAAAAATCCGCAGAGGCCAGCCAGGGTGCCGTTCAACGATGTGTTCACCTGATTTAAGAAAGGTGGAAATGAATGAAATAGTCACATAGCGAGGGGCTTGACGAATGCGCCTCTATAACTGTGAAATATGAGAAACTAAGACATACATAAACTGAACGTATGCACTTGTATTAACTGTCAAACCAGAAATATATGCATCTTAAATTAATGACTTAGCGGTTTTATTACGGCATGATCTTACATTTGCCGTGCAGTGGCAGTTAGCCAAATGCAACTGTTTTACCAAATGCAATCATCTGTTGATTTCTTCGCACTTGTGTGTTTGAATTTCTGGCACCAAAATAGTTAACCCTTTCGTGGCTAAAAAAAAAAAAAAAACTAGCCAAAATCTCATTTTTTTTTCACGCACTTCGCATACTTTTCTTTTTTTATTTATAAAACGATATCATTCTATTGGTTCAGTCGCACTGCTTTATTTCTCTAATCACGTACAAAAAGAGAAGTTGAAGATGGTTTCACCGCAAGGCAATAGATTTAAAAGTGACAAATAAAAGCTGACACAAAAATGTCTTACCGCGAACAACTGGGTCATCTATTGTCAAGAAACACAATATGTCGAGTATAGTTTTCATTGGTTTTGTGCGGAACCAATTTTTGTTGATGACGAGCATAGTCGTCATCGGTCGCCAAAGAGTTAACATTTTCAGCTTGGTGCTACCCGATCCGTGGCTGCAGATATGGAAGTAGTAGAAAACACCCACTCGTCACTACTTCAACACTACAAACTGGAGAGATGGATGTACCATCCACCCCATCCAAGCCTAACCAAAGAAGAGAGCGTGATTTTCAAACGCCTACAAAGCAATAATTACATACATGCATATTAATGTACCACCTTTATTCAACGACACATATCTACATGTGCCCGCTCTGCAGCGTACCAGACACCCTGGCACACTTGCTCCTGGAATGCCAGGGCCATGCAAACCACGACGTGCAACTGGAGCGGGACCAAGCCCCAAGAACAAACGACGACCACCTAATGGAAACGTGGGAGGCCAAGCTCGTCCTCGAGGACCTGGAAGACCAGCGACAACTCGTCGCCAGGGTCAAGAGGACAGTCAAAGCCAGAGCGTTTCTGGACTAGGGGACCCTCTCACCTTAGGGTGCACAATACCGGGCCTTACTCGGAACACTGTTTATAAATAAACGTTTATTTCTCTCTCTCTTGGTGCTAGAACACCAATATAACAAAATATATTGATATCGCAATTACGTGAAGGTTACGTTAACACGCGCCTGACACGTGTTACCAGTCAAAATGCGTCATCTTTTGGAATCGAGATGCCGAAAGCACTCTGGGGGAGAGGGCATCTACGGCTAAGCAAGGGCACCTTTCAACGCTGCCGCTCATGCAAAGCGGGTGAGCATGTCGGTTGGGCCATGCATGCTATTGGCCCCACCAAGTCAGAACCCGCAACTGCCACAAGGTGTCACCCCGCAGAGCAAAGACACGGACGTGGCTGTAGTACATCAGAAGAAGCGCGCTTTTTCGACATAGGTCATGATCGGCACGGGGCTTACCTTTACGCCAACTCGTCCCCGAACATCCAGCTTCAGTTCGATGCTGTACACTCTAGAGCGGAAGTAGATCTGCTCGCCGATGTTCATGATCTCGAACTCCGGAATGCGCTCAGCCAGCAGGGGCAGCTGGTTGGCGGTGTACTCGAACTCATCCACTCGAACCGACAAGTCCGTACCCAGCACAATGCGATGGCTCAGCTGCTCAATCGTCACTCGCTTGGGACACGTCGTCTCGTCTCCAAGCGCGCAGCTTCTCTGCACTGTTAAACAAGAGCGGAGTATAAGGACAGCCGAAGATATCGCTGAAGTGTTCTTTAATTAACTGATTATTCAGCTTTGGCAATGTTACCCTGCCTTAAGCTACACGATTTTCATATGAGGAACACTAAAATATCAATAAATTGATTGATCAAATAATTATTTAGTCAATCAATCAATCAATTAATTTCATCTTGATAAGAAGACACAGCCCTAAATGCTTGAGAGGTTGACGACGTCCCGACCCCGTTGCAAGTTTGCAAAGCAGCAGGAATGAAAGACAATCATGCATAAAATATACCGAATCGATATATATCAGTCCCTGCCTGAAAGATAAAAATTATGAGAACCGCAAGGACACTATAGTTAAGGTGACAAGCCACTTTGTAGGCTCGTTTTGCAGTGTTTCCCTGACCTGTCAAATTAAATGCTGTCTTTACAAAAGAGCAATTCGCTGACTCTTAATCGCTTAGGAGATGTGCGCGAACAAAAGACATAAAACGAGGTTATCTTACACCCACACCTTTTCAATTTTATCTTGTAACACATTAGTGCAACGAGATCAAGCGTGTACGGAAGAATGAGTTCTATTTAACTGACATACATACTTTTTCACGGGTCACTCACGTTTTACGCAAGTTGATACTGTATACAGTCAGCAATGAACCTACTGGCGAAATTAAAATTAAAACACAAGTGTGTGTTCAGAAGCGAAATGATGCTATTTCGTGACATATTGATGTTTTTGCGAAGCAATATGACTGCCAGAGTGGCGTAAGACTGGCGGCGAGCTCGCCTGATTGGCGCCAACTGTTTTGTATTCGATATCTTTGAAATTATATGTCGTTTAGGGCATGTTAGCGCTGTTATATAGCACCGGCTACTCATTTTCAATGGTAGTAGACTACGTGAAGCCCAAAAAAGGGAAACCAATCACATAAATGTGCGCCCAAAGAGAGTTTATTTAAATCAGTCAAGGCATATAAATTACCGGATATTCACAAAGTTCGTTCACATAGCGAAACAAAAAAACAACAGAAAGATGGCCGTCACTAATCTTGACGCATTTACGTGAAACGTAAGTGCGAACTCAGGGCTCAATGCTGCATTTTAAGCAAAAACGTAGCGAGAAAAAACACGCCACTTGAGATTTACCAGAAATGCTGATGTTTCCGGTGTCGCGGACGATCACGTGGTTGCAGTAGCTGTAGTCGAAGTGGCTACCGTCGAAAGTCTTGAAGTGGTGACCAACCAGCTCGCACTCAGACTCGACTGAAAACGTGCGCGAACAGTACATGACCATTTCATACCAGTAGTTAATAACATAGTCTTACAAGTAATTCATCTTCTTATTCTGGTTAAACGGAAGCAGTTTCTTCTCAAGCGACAACAAATTCAACAAGAAGTGACTTGACGGTCTTATTCGCAGTTAGCCAACTACTTCTCATGTAAGCATCATTCACATGCATGCTCCCATTTCGTATTCACTCTGGGACATGGTTAATTAAGAGAAGAGGAAGCATTGTGGCTCATTACCAGCTCTAGCGAGGCCCTGGTTTTTCACTAATGCACAAAACCACCTGTAAATTTCGTGGCTACTTCATCGGCAGGCACAGGTTTGGTTACTATGGCAACTGAAGCTCTGTCGCTCATTTTTTACATGTCGTACTCATACCATGTGGTCGGTAGTGCGCCTTTGCAAAATAATTTCGTATATGTTTTAGTCAAATCACGTCCCCGCTGGTATAGAAAATGGAATGTCAGTACGTTGTATAACTTTATAATAGTGAACGCTGCTCCTATGGTCCTACGGTCCTCGTAGGACTATCATCGTTGTTCTCCAAGCTGCCTGGAATAATAATTATATATCCTCATTTTTTGTATTAAACCACATACAAAAATGTAAATTTGGAAACAACGTATTGGTGAGAAACTCTTCGCGAAAGGTCTGCTTCAGCGGCATCCCTCGTCACTCGATTCGTCAATGTCTAACCAGACGTCACGGAAAGCAAACACTGCACTTATATACCACATTATTCGTAACTGCTTGTCTTAAGAGTTGGTAAGTGCGTAATGACATATGTGCACTTCCTTACTTATTCTCCTTCGATGAGAACACTTACGCGGCGAAAAGTAGTTCAGATTGTAGTTGGAGAAATTATCACGAGAAGCCACCACCAGCTTCGTTACTGCTGTACGCAGCTATGGTTAACAAGTAATCTCTAAACGATGGGTCGTTACGGGCAAGCTATAATTCTCCAAGATTAGTAGCCAGGAGGCCTATTCGGTGCATGGCGAAGGGGACACTTACCGACTGGGGGCGCAGCGATTGCAGGCGGCGGGACACCGGACTCTGAAACATAGAGATTACCGTCTTCGTCTGTTTGAGCAAGTGAGACTGCTGCCGAGATAGGGGGCGACGATCGCAAGCAACGCTGAAGTGATTATATGGGCCGGTTGCTACATGCTCGAGGAAACAGGGCAAAACACAGAATAATGACAAGGGACCAAGCGCTGACATACAACCAAAGCCTTATCCCGTACGAAGGAAGTACACACGCACACTGATCATGAAAGGATGTGAAAGAGAGCAGAACATTTACAAGGCATCTACTAATGAAGGAACGCTATGTACATTTAAGGGACTGCTTCATTTGTCAGAAACAGTAATAGTGAGAAGTAACAGATAATAATTCCAAGGGAAGTATTGGAAATGTTAATAAATACCGTTTCAATTCGAAGAAAGAAAAGTGAACAAAAGCATAACGGAGGTATTCAGTAACAATTTTACGTAATCATAAAAAAAATAAAAAAGAACCTACCACTTACATGAAACATACGCGAATTGTTTGGTGAAAAGCGCTGTGACAAAAAACAAGCGAATATTCGTTTGTTGAATGCTGCTACAACGGGGTGTACAAAACTCTGCTCTCAAATAGTCGTTGCTATATCGGCCAAACTGAGTGTTTTGTAAGTAACCGCCCCATAGAATACCGCAATTTAATGCGAAATTCCGTTGGCACGTCGTCGCGAAGCTTAGTGTGCGGTTGTAATGATATATTTGATCAGTGCAGAGTGATAAACCACTATAGTGACCAATGAGCACGCGAAACATAGAGCGCATATAGCATTTACAAAGAAATGCGGTGTTTAACGTCCCAAAACCACCACATGATTATGAGAGATGCCGTAGAGGAGGGCTTCGGAAATGTCGACCACCCGGTGTTCTTTACCATGCACCCAAATCTGAGCACGTGGACTTACAGCATCTTCGCTTCCATCAAAAATGCGGCCGCCGCAGCCAGTATTTGATCCCACGACCTGCAGGTCAGCAGCCTAGTACATTAACCAGTACACCACAATGGCGGGGCCATTTACGAAGAAGAGGAAATTGGTGTGAGTGTGCCATCGATGGCGCTCCTCACCAAGTAACTTGCGTATCTTTCATGTGGGTGATAGTTCTTTCATTTTCCTTATGATTACTCTTAGCATACATCTTGCAAGAGTGGAAACTTATGCTAGTTGTTGCGTAGTCATATTTACACGTTGTTTTAGCGTGTGGACATACACTGCGAACCTTTTTTTCAGCGCGCTTTCTTTCTTTCTTTCTTTCTTTCTTTCTTTCTTTCTTTCTTTCTTTCTTTCTTTCTTTCTTTCTTTCTTTCTTTCTTTCTTTCTTTCTTTCTTTCTTTCTTTCTTTCTTTCTTTCTTTCTTTCTTTCTTTCTTTCTTTCTTTCTTTCTTTCTTTCTTTCTTTCTTTCTTTCTTTCTTTCTTTCTTTCTTTCTTTCTTTCTTTTCTCCTATGTTATACGCTGAAAAAAGTTGCAAGTAAGATATCTTGTCGCTTTTCTCCTCTCCCGCACATCATTTCATGATCCGTGTGCCTATACATACCCCATTGCACAGAATATAGCTTTCGTTGTTAGTCAACACTGGGTCCACCTCTTCTGTGTTCCGCCCTGTTTCCTGTTTAATCTTGGTCAGAGCTTTTTCAATATTAGTGTAGTGCGCACGTATTTCTATCGCTATGGCTTCAGAATGCTTCAAAGCAGCCTGTGAGAAGGCTAATATGAATAGCCTTTTTGTTTTTTTGCAAGAGTTCATTCATTTACGGCAAAAGCACGTTTCTTTCAAACTGTGAACTATGACTCTCACTTTTTATGCAACAACAACAACAACAACAACAACAACAACAACAACAACAACAACAACAACAACAACAACAACAACAACAACAACAACAACAACAACAACAACAACAACAACAACAACAACAACAATAATAATAATAATAATAATAATAATAATAATAATAATAATAATAATAATAATAATAATAATAATAATAATAATAATAATAATAATAATAATAATAATAATAATAATAATAATAATAATAATAATGATAATAATAATAATAAATTTGAGGGTGCGTTTAACGTCCCGAAACCACGATATAATTAGTAGAGACGCCGTAGGAAAGGGTTCCAGAAATTTCGACCAGCCAGGCTTCTTTAGCGTGTACCGAAATTGAAGTACACAGCTCTCAAGCATTCTATGTTCCATCAAAGAATGCGGCCGCCAAGAGCGGGATTCGATCCCGCGACCTTCGGGTCAGCAGCTGGGCATCACAACAGCTAGACCACCGCGGCAAGTACAAGACTACCTAAATTACAGCATTCAAGCAGCACAGATCATGGTACTGCGATAATTGCAGGAAAAAAGCTGCATTTTACGAGTATTTGTGCTTATCAAGTTTGAACACAGACATTGAGTTGAGTTTTAATCTGCCACCGTAGTCCAGTGGTCATGGTGCTCGACTGTTGAGCCGCAGGGGTCGAATCCCGGCTATGCGGCTGGAGTTTCGATGAAGGTGAAAATGCAGGAGACCAATATACTTAGATTTAGGTGCTGTTTAAGGAAAGAACATTTGGGGGGCCGTTCACTACGGCCTTTCTCATAACCATGTCATAGTTCTGGGACGTTAAACTTTCTCAAATAATAATAATAGTACTAGTGAAATTTTCTATAGGTAAAGATATGTACAAAGACGAGTGGTATAACACTGGTTTGAGGGCTGCAAAAGAATAAACAAAAAACGCATACGGCAGAGGAAGGCCGTGAAACAACAAAGGTGTCTCGTTTGTTTCGTGATAGAAAATAAGTAGCTAGCGCAAAAAGAAAACGCGGTGACTGTAAATTAGTGGTCTTTTAGCTTACCGAAACGCATTCCCGCTCACACAAATGGAAGCACCTACGGCGCCATTTAGTTATAAAAAAAAAACTATATGCACTGTATAAACCTCAAGTTCGCCACTAAATCGAATCGACCTGAAGTCAGCATTTGTACGTCTCCATGCCACGTTTGGTTTTGTGTGGCGTCTGACGGTCCGAAACACATCCCGCACCCTTCGATAAATGCCTTAAGTGAGCATTTTTCATGACCCCTGCTACCTGGCTCTGCTTGTCTTGTGACCGCATATGCCTTGTCTTGGAAGCAAGCTAATGAGTACATCGTCGCCACCTCTGCTTTGCTACCGAAAATTAGTGAATCTTGTAGACAATTTTTTTAGCCTTTTGCACTCTAAATCAAGTGTGTATCCCGAAAACGCAGCTCTATTATTGGCAGTATAGAGCTGGCGAATCCTCATCACTCAAATGTAAATCAAATACAACCAATATTTGGCAGTGAAGGAATTTAACAATGCAGGTTGATTACTGCAAACCTTCGAAGTGGACGGCTCTCGCTTCAACAGGCACCGTCATCTTGCCCTACGTACGGAATTTCTTGCTTGCGTTAGCGTTGAACACTATACGCCAGAAATAGCATTCGTACGTAAAAGTTCGTGCTGCGTTAGCGTTCTGCACGTGCTCAGTTTGGAGCATGCAACGCTAACGCTAAATTCTTACGTTTACTGTTACCGGTGTACTAAAGCTCTCTCATTAAGTTTGCGTATACATGATATTAGCGTGAGCAGTGGCCTTACCGCATGCATACTGCTCGCAGCCGAGTTCATCCCTGACGACGACTAAGGTTTCACCCTTGGCACAGAACTTCTTTAGAAGAGGAGGACACGGAGCTGTAGTCGTGGTCACTGCGGAAAGAGAGAGAGTGTTGTACAAAGCTTGCCCATATGCAGCAGTGCATGTTAAAGGTTTCCTATCACCTTTCGATCTCTCCGACCGAGATGACTAGGCCACGCCGGTGGACAAGGGATACGATTCTTTTTTCCTCCTGCCACTTCGGACAGGTGATGCAGGTGTAAAAATCGGGAGGGCGAAGAAGGAGTATGTGCTTCTCGAACACTTTACTGCGTCTCGCTGGGGTAGCCAGAAGACGGCACGCTGAACCTGGGCTCCCGCCTATATATATATATATATATATATATATATATATATATATATATTGCCATGACATACCGAGTGCAAAAAGACACACAACCACATCCGCCTGCCCAGCCCCCCTCGTTCCCCCTTAAATAGTGGAGGTGCCCCCCCCCCCTCCTCGTCCGAGAAAAGAAAGAAAAATGTCTGATTGATTGATATGCGGGGTTTAACGTCCCAAATTCCCCATATAGGTATGCGAGACGCCGTATCAGAGGGCTCGGGAAATTTAGATCACCTGGGGTTCTTTAACATGCACCCAAATTTGAGGGCACGGGCGTACAGCATTTCCGTCTCCATCGAAAATGCAGCCGCCGCAGCCGGGATGTGATCCCGCGGCCTGCGGGTCAACCCATGACCTGCAGGTCAATCCGCACGCCAACAGAGCAAGACGTTGAGCAGCTAGTTGGTGTTGCATAGCTTCAAGTAAACTCGCCAAACAAGCGCTGGTGTTGTTCGTTCTGTCTTCGTGCCTGTCTTACGCGATGTCGTTTACTCCGCATAAAAAAAAAAAAAACTTTGCCTGGCACAGAAAAAAAAAACCATTCGAAAAAATATTTATCTGGTTCGAATTTGTGGGACAGCATACTTTCGCAGTCCGTCTCGTCGTCGTTGCAGTGGATGACCCCGTCGCACCAGAACTCTTTGGCGATGCACTCTCCCGAGGTCGGGCAGAGCCGATGGTCCTGTGGACAACTTCCGCACTCGCACGAGCAATCCGCGCTCATCGTCTGAGGTCGGCCCTGCACATTGAAGGAGGACCGAGTTCGGGGGGTAAACTTAAGTCTGTTTGTGTCCTCGTTCACCAGCAGAATAAAGTTTCACATTGTTTAACAGAACCAATTAGCCCAAATGCCAACGCTCCAACAGAAATGATGGCTTAAAAAGGTCTAATTATTGTCTAATCTTTATGAAGGTTGAAGTACTACATGTGCATCGTTCAATCGAAACTTCATATCTGCAAATAGACGTCAAGTATTCTATTGTTACGGGGCCGTGACGTAAACGAAAGGAGCAGACTGTAGGTCCAAGATGAAAGTGTTGATTAGACCGAACTTGCGGCTGGTGAAAGGAAAGTTAAATTACAGTGATAAGCAAGGGCCGAGATAGCAACGAACTGACCATCGGCCACCAATCGGCTGTCAAGCGGTGATGGGTGTCGGTATTCATACATGTTCCGTCGAATGATCCAGCGTTATCGCTAGTGGTCGTATATATTCGAGAACAATATGTAATGCTCACGTTGTGCGCGTAATTGTGTACCGGGAGGTTCTACAATTACCTCGACGGTTTTTATTCCAACGGCGCGGTTTGCGCAAAGCAGCACTCACATGTGTCATCAGTCGATGAGAAAACTTGACAAACGAGTGTGGCACTATATACAGTGAAGAAGTGATGACTATTTTGCCAACTGTAACAAGCTCATTCTTGCGGGATATGATGCTTCTTTAATAGAGAAAATGTCATTATTTAGAACCACGTGGTTCTTCTAAAAGGTCCATACTACAGGGTAAATCAAATCAGATGTCAAAACAACTTTTCCTTCCCCTCAGAAAATAAATTTCATACTTGGAAAGGAAAAATTAGACTGCAGCATAAAGGTTATAAAATATTATAAAATATAAAAAAATAACAAAGCAGAGAAAATTGCTTCATGTTAAAAACATTTTAAATTTAATCTGCTGATAGTTAAGACATCGAAAGGTTATTTTGCCATAACATATTATTTTTTTCATAGCAGAATGCGGGCTAAAAATATTGCGCAATTGCGAGTACTGCAAATAAAAACTTTTACAATGTTTTGCTATTTAAGACCCTCTTCACCTCATAAAGCTAGTGCTGCAACGAAAAATTCAAAGGGTCTCTTATGGATTCACCTGAGACGACTTGAAGGAGAATGCCATCTTTTTCTTCTCATACGACTTTATTTATTCTTCCGCGCCCCCTTCGGAAAGCTTTCAGCACCTAACATACTTTATGTTGCATGGCCTGCGGGGTCGGGTGTACTGCACTGCCTCCGGAATCGGTCTGTCTTTGATCAAGCGGCGTCAGGCGAAGATTTTATTGTGACGTCGGGAAGGCATCATAATAAAGTCATGAATTTCGGCCATATGCAAATTGAAGTTAACGTCATATAGTAGCGTTGTCACGACATGATTACGTTTCGCATCACTCGCCAATGGTCAATTTTCGTGTTTGGTGGGATACCCAAAACTTCATCCTTAAGAGAAACTGTTTTTTTTTTTTTTGCTGTCAAGCATTGACATTTGCATCATCGATGACTGGCTTTCACTGCTCCTGTGTGGTTAGACAACAGTGCTAAAAAAAAAACACCCTTGAAACATGCAGTAAAACATGCACGATTTTCTTCTTCATTATCGAAACTCCTGCAGCTGACATTCCTCACGTTTTGCTACGCGACTGAAAAAAAAAGTGAAGTGTGCCAACACGTATTGCAAAGAGGAGAACCTGACGCAGCGTTTGTATTGTCTTTCTCTCTTTTTGCTTCATTCCTATTTACGCGCTTCTGTTCAGCGAAAGGAAGGAAGAAGGAAAGAAGGAAGGAAAGGCAAGAAGAAATGGCAGATCGCTAACATACTCACCATCTTGAATCTCTTTTGCGATCTCACTCACTCGCAGTTTTTTTTACTTGGTTTCAAGGGATACTGACACCATTTTTCGAAAGTGAGTTCACTTTGTCGCACAAATGCTCTGTATAAAGAGCCGGCTAAGCAAGTGAGAAGCTCTGCAGAGGCTGATACGATATATATTTTTTTATTTTAATATGAAAGTCACTGTGTCTCACATCTACCAACATCGACACTAGTCTGGCTCAGTACATATTATGGTGACTTCACGCAGCAGTCTGGCTAATTGCCGTGACGTCAGGCACCATGCGTCATGGAAACATTCTGAATTACCACTTGTTCATCACCAATAGAAACATGCTGTGGTGTGGCCGTAAAAACATACAATTAATCTTCAATGAACACGTAACCAGAAAACTCTACGTGTTTTGACGTCAGGGTACTGAGGAAACCGAAACTAGCTTTCGAAGACGTGCCGTAATTATTTTTTTTTTCAGATTGCTTTCATGCTTAGCGACACACTTTCTATGCTCTTCTGGGCTTGGCTTGCTTGGCATTTCATTTGAGATGCAGGAAAACTAGAACTGAAAATTTTCTTAGTCAGTACCTCTTTAGAAGACTTTGAGAGTGTTGTTGACTGACAACTTTTGGCAGATGCTACGTACTAATAAGTGAAGCATGCATTAAAAAGCTCGCTATGAGTCAATTTTAGAATAAGCATGATTAATTGATTGATTGATTGATTAATATGTGCGGTTTAACGTCCAAAAACCACCATATAATTATGAGAGACGCCGTAGTGAAGGGCTCCGGAAATTTCGACCACCTCAGGTTTTTTTAACGTACACCCAAATCTGAGCACTTGGGCCTGCAGCATTTCCGCCTCCATCGAAAATGCAGCCGCCGTAGCCGGGATTCGATCCCGTGACCTGCGGGTTCTAAAATGAGCATAATGGTTTGAGGCGTATGAATGCAGTACTCAGTAAACATATGTCTTCTGCTGTGTCCTTCCACGTGCTCAATAGTATGTGGTCTTCAGTTGAACTGTTGGATGGTAATCACCCTCCACATTCGTGAATGGTTGCAGGGCGGTTAACATTGACGACGAGCAATATATGATGCTGAGTAATGAGTCCTCAAATGTTCGAGCTTCGCATTCAGTGGACTACTGTTGCATTTAATTGTTTAGTGTACAGTTCATATTGTTGTAGTCAGAAAAAAGCGGAGGCGGGAAGGCCTGTAATAAATATAATCAAATTTGAAAATATTCCGGTGCTCATTGTAGATTATGGTAGTACAGAGCAACTAAATAATGTTATGGAATGCCTTAGCGCAGCAGTGATCATATCTGCTCTGCTGCCACCGCTGATGATGATAGTGATCAGGAATAACAATTTCATGCGTTATATCACTGCTAAAACCATGGTGCTCTCTGAGGACTTTAAAAACATGTTGCAAAAGCTCATACCGACGGCGGCCTTTTCTAATCGCGAATACATATCGTCTCATAGATGTATGCCTACATTTTTCTCTTACGAAACCAATGAAACCAATAAGTGACTAGCTGGAAACCGGAAAAACAGAGTTTAAGGATTCACACGACACTTGTAGGTGAATTATTCTTCTGCAGCGTGCACCTGCACGTGCCTGTACGATAAACAACTCTAAATTGGCTGATCGGGTAAGCACGTTCAAATATTTCTCGAGCAGTTCGTAGGCAATACCTTTGAAACAGTTGCCAGCTTCTTTGATAGGGTAACTCGCTGGCAGAAAAGCCACAGTAGCACGATAGAAGTACCTCAATAGCATTTATCAAGCAAAAAATGGGGACTAGAAATCTTGAACCCGCATATTTTAACACTGTCGCGTTAAAATATGTGAGTTAATGATTTATTGTTCAGATGATTATCAGAATCGCTGCGTGGCATTCAGGTAATGCGATAGGAAGGTACAATATAATTGTATGCAATTTTCTTTAAAAATGTAGTGCGTGTTAGCGAAATCAATCAACAAATTATTCAATAAAGTGTTAATTATTTATATATAAAACTAAGTAATTATTTAATGCTTAAATACTTTCTTTTCCTGCATCCGCCAACTCTAGAAATCACAATCGGCTCCAGTGACATGCCGCGTTGAGCGATGTCTCCTCACGTTCGGTGCACGTATTGCTTGTGTAGCATTCTTCTGTGGCATCCTGATAGTCTCAATAAAAATAGTGTTATGTAAATTTATAGTTATAACATTACGTCCTACCTTGGGGCAGGGTGGGCAGGTCTTAGGAAGGCAGCTGGACCGGCCGCCAAGGTGGCATTGACACTCATGGCATGTCCTCGTCTCCAGTATGCCACCCACCTGCACGATTCGATGCGTCGTAGATTCATACCGTGACACAGCTTGGAAAATGTGACATGTGCTACTGCAGAATGACCGACGGAAAGATGTGTTTCCGGGACCCTACTTTTCAAGGGTTATCTTTTTACAAAGTATAGTCACAGCTACCCTTGGAGCTGCGCCCTGAACGCTTTGCCACCTGAACAATGTACAATTTAAACAGTGTAGTACATATAAGTGTCTAGACATGCTACTATCATCTGAATGTTCTTGGAATCCTCCGCTGAAAACTGTCATCGCCAAAGCTGGCAAATCTTTGAACTTCATTCAATGAAACCTGTGATGTTCGCACAGGAATTCAAAACGTATGACATACACTGCTTGCCAGACCAATCTTAGAATACCGTTGCGCAGTGAGAGACCCCGCCGAAGTAACCTAGCTTCATTGCTGTTCTTGAACAATTAGAAAATAGGGCTGCAAGGTTCATTTTGGAATGGTACAAAAGGAGAAAGACCTGGGCTGCGATGAAAGCTGAGTTTGGATAGGAGTATGTTCCTTACCATTGTTCTACACAGTGGTTAAAATTTCTATATAGGCTTTCTATAATTAAAACGGGAATCAACAAGAAAACTTACACAAATATCCTAACACTTCAAAACTTCTTGATCATAGATGTGAAATCCTGCAATACCAAGCAAAAACGAAGATGTCTGCCTAACTAGTTTTTTTTTCTAGGATAATCAAATAGTGGAAGAAGCTTACTGAAAAGAAAGTACATAGTGGGAACGAAGATGTATTTTATTCAATGCTGTAGCCCCCTGCTCAAAAGCCTTTGACATCTGAGGGGTATCTGATAAATAAACAAGAAATAAAGAACAAGGTGCACGAGAACATTTTTTTTCTTTTCATGAACCTCGTTCTGTCTTGCGGGTTTAAACAGAACTATTTTACCATATCCATCGTTCTAGTGACGGAAATTAAGCCTACAGCTTTCTTTAGCACGCACAAAACACTGAACAAGAAAGAGACAGACGACGGCTATCTCTTAACGAATTAATGTTGAAAAAAAAACATATAGGTGTACCTGGGAACCAGCATAGCGCATGTGCAAGTGATCTGACACGCGAACATAAAAAAGATAGGGCTAAACAAGCCTTGAAAAACTGTAATGCAAATTTGTCAGAGCCACCTAAGGTTGACTTATGCATTTCTTTGTACACCTATTTACATGAAAGGCTTCCGTAAGTTCGCGTGTTAGTTTATCTTTATCTGTATCATGAAACACGGGATCACAATGGCATAATTCACCATGACCAGACAAGCGTGAAAATGTTTCATTTCCCGTGAGTTAGCGTGCTCTTTTAGACGTGTATTGATCCGGTAGTCAGGCTGTGCTATTTCCGCAGGTTAGTGGTATCCGATATACGACCCCTTCATGGCATTTCATCAACTCCTTTTTTTTTAAGCGACAGCTACGTTTTCTTGCCCCTGTTGTGCCCGCTAATGTAAGTTATAATACAGATACATACAAAGTCACGCAACTATCAGTTTTAGGCGTATTTTTTTATTGTTCTGGCAGCATGCATCGGTTGAACTATATCGGCATCCTTAAGGAAACCGAAGAGGCCAAAGAAGTATCTTTTATTATTTGATTGCGCGCTTTACGTAGTATTGTGACGGCTGATGAGACGAACGAAAAGAACTTGATGTTTTTTTGGAAGACAGAGCTGTTTTATCATTCTTTTGTAGGCGTGTAATTGCGCCCTTAATAAGTTGCAGCGATGGTCGCATTTTTGTATACTGGTCCGAGCTTCTTTCAACGAAAGAAGATGCCAATGTCGTCCACACGAAACAATTCTGAGTATAAATATTTACCGTAATCAGAGCTTGAAGGAAACCCCCTTTCATTTGTACTTTTTTTAAACGTGTAGTTAGGTGATGCTTGAGTGTTTGTTATTTTCCCCACAGATCAATGCTTTCATTTTAATATTTATAAAGTCTCACTACTATAGTATCCACAAAGAAATAATTATGATTCATTGAGGAGACCAGGGTGCGTCAGTGAAACAAAAACGTAGTTATCGATTAAACTTTGCTCACCGGAAATGTCTTGCCATCGCGGACACATGGGCAGTCCGCCACGTGCACACACTGGTCTCCGTCGCAGGCGAATCCGCTGGCGCATCCTTGAGGGCAGAAAGTGGCGTTGTCTGCAATCTCCACCTCCGGACAAGGAACGGCCGGCGGAATGGTTGGAAGTTCGGTCGTCGTAGGAGGTGCTGAGCAACACCGAATGTCGTTAACGAATATTAGTGATCGTAATCTAAGTGAAAGTAAATAGGACGGGGCATATATACGGGTGTTGCGAAAAAATTATGCGTATACGTGTATGCGCAGTTAAGTACAATGAAGTCAGTGTCATCTTACCGCTAGAGCCAAGTCTTCATCAGAGTGAACAGCCAGTCCGAATATTAATAACTTCTGGGATCTCGCGTGGTCTAAACCACAATATGCTAATTAGGTATGTTTTAATGGAAGGCTCTGGAAGTTTCCAGCAACCGGGGTTCTTAACAAACACATAAATCTAACTACAGCGGGTTTCTAGCATTTTCGCCTCCATCAAAATACAAATCACTGTACCTCCGCGATCACAGATTGTCAGTCAGAAGTGTTGCACTACGTTTTTTTCTCCGTCACAGCAACATTGCTATTACGTCTCGGTTATTACGTTACATCTATAGTTGCTAGAGGTCATTGATAACTGGGTAGACTTGTTTGTAGAGTGACCGAAACGAATATGTACCAGGCAAAATATTTCATCGAATACATAGAAATTTGCACTGAATTGAACGCAAAGTTGACGTAGCGGGAAGTGTATGAGCTACGAGCTGTTCTTATTTTTTACACGTTTCTGCGTTCCGGATTTTCACGTAGTTTTGAATAAGAAAAAAAAAATCTGGCTCGTGAAGATTGTGGATATCGCACCCATGTTTACAGCGTGATCGGAGCACTCACCGCAAGTCCAGCACTTGACGCGCACTTTGTAGTTCAGACAAGTGCGGCCGTCTGCCTGGTCACTGTCGACGCAGCGCAGACCCCGCTCCAAGTCGCAGCTGACCACCTGCCCCGTCTTGCTGTAATCGGCGTCGGTGGCGTACTCCCGACACTCGATGCCAATAGGGTAAAAGCAGAGCCCGGACTCGGCCACCACCCTGGCCACGTCCTCCACGTCACCTCCGGTCTCCGGCGTCGGGTCACTCGTGCTCACCCACGGACCATACGCCACGCATGGCTCCTCGGTAGCTGCGGGTAGCATAGGCAATCGAAGCTCGAGTATATACGGGTCAACTTCATCTTGCCATGAGGGTGACGGAGACCCCGACGGCAAGAACCCACCGCGAGAGTTCCATATATTGGTGGTGCAATAATTTCATTGCAAATGAGATTTCTTAGCTGGAAAAGTGCGGCTACATAAGGAAAACAGCTGCTTCTTTCGTGTTTTGAACGCTGCAGATGCAATGAAACACTGTTTGTCTGTTTGCCTATTGCCACACAGAGTAAAACTGGTGGCGTCAGACATTGAAGAATGTCTAATTACATGTATTCAACCTAGAGGTCGATATCGAACTCCTCTTATATTTAACACCGCAATGTTCGAAATTGCCGAAGGAACAGAATTGCCTTAAAATCTGAGTATACACTTGAGTGCACCATCCTTTCTTTTTCTGCTTTTTGTTCGGTAATTTTCATAATTGAGTTTTATCGATGAAAAACACTTGTTTTAGATATTTTCACGTGCAAAAAGAAAAGGTCCTCGGGCAAGAAATACTACGAAGTCTGAGGGAAAGACTACTTAATACCGACACAGGTCTCACAATATCACTGCGACAAAACTACAAGAACTAAACGAGAGCAAGTTTGTGTTCTCGTTGGTAGTCACCACTGGTCATGACCAGGTGATATTATTCCCCCCCCCCCCCCCCCGTAAGAAAAGCTCCGCCACTGTGCTCGTGCAAGTGGACGTACGTAGAAAGAAATGACCAAGCGAGCACATATACAAGGTAGGATCCAATGTAATGTGGCACCCATTTTTTTCTCTACGCTACGTGGCCTCAAATGGAATATGTGCCTCCGTTACCTCGACGATGTCGTGGTTTTCTCCCATGACTTTCCTACGCACCTCCTTCGCCTCAGGCACGTTTTGAGTTGTCTGACCAACGCTGGTCTGCAGCTTGACCTGAAAAAATGCCGCTTCGCTGCACGCGAGCTCGTCATTTTAGACCACATCGTGTCCAAGCACGGCGTATTACCAGACCCAGCAAAGCTTCGAGCAGTTGCAGAATTTCCCAAGCCGACGACCATGAAAGAACTTCGCAGTTTTGTAGGCCTATGCTCCTATTTCCGGCGCTTTGTTCGCACTTTCGCATCTATCATGTCACCGTTAACCCAGCTTCTTCGCGGTGACGTGAACCTCACCTCCTGGTCCCCTGCATGTGACGTTGCCTTCACTACTCTGCGCCGTCTGCTCACTTCCCCACCTATTCTTCGCCACTTCGACCCGACGGCTCCTACCGAAGTGCACACCGACGCCAGCGGCGTCGGGCTAGGCGCGGTCCTCGCTCAACGAAAGCCCGGCTATTCAGAATACGTTGTAGCCTACGCTAGCCGCACTCTGACGAAAGCCGAAACTAACTACAGCGTGACAGAAAAAGAGTGTTTGGCTCTGGTGTGGGCGCTTGGAAAGTTCCGGCCGTACTTATACGGCCGCCCGTTCGATCTAGTAACTGATCACCACGCGCTTTGCTGGCTCTCCACGTTGAAAGACCCTTCTGGCCGCCTTGCGCGATGGGCACTTCGCATCCAGGAGTACGACATTCACGTCGTATACCGCTGCGGACGCAAACACTCTGACGCTGATGCCCTGTTTCGCTCACCTTTACCACCAGATCAGACGTGCGGAAACACTTGCCTCCAGACCTTGTCATCGCTAAATCTAGGCTCGATTGCCACCGAACAACGTCGTGACCCGTGGATCGCCTCTCTTATCGAATATTTATCTGGCACGCCCAACCTTCCAATATCTCGATCCCCCCGACATCAAGCTTTCCATTTCGCCATCCGCGATCAACTTCTTCATCGACGCAACTACGCTCCCGATGGCCGCCGGTGGTTGCTGGTCATTCCACGCACTTTACGATCGCAAGTATGCGCCTCCCTTTACGACGATCCACAATGTGGCCCCGCCGGAGTGTTCAAAACATATGAACGCCTTCGCCATCGCTATTACTGGCGCGGCATGTACAATTTTGTACGTAAATTCGTGCAGTGCTGTCCTGACTGCCAGCGACGTAAATCAACACTGCCACGTGCGACTGGCGCATTGCAGCCACTTCTATGCCCTGCCAAGCCATTTGATCGCGTCGGCGTTGACCTCTACGGTCCCCTTCCATTGACACCAGATGGTAATCGGTGGATTATAGTGGCGGTCGACCATCTAACACGCTACGCCGAAACAGCCGCTTTGCCGAGCGCTACAGCTCAGGATGTCGCCTCTTTCATTTTGCAACGCTTTATCCTTCGACATGGTGCACCTCGAGAGCTCCTTAGTGACAAAGCCGCGGTTTCCTTTCCGAGGTCGTCGAAACTCTGCTTTCGGAATGCCACGTCATTCATCGGAAAACGACAGCATACCACCCGCAGACTAACGGACTAACGGAACGGTTCAACCGCACGCTAGGTGATATGCTCTCAATGTACGTGGCATCTGATCATAGCAACTGGGACCGTGTTCCCCCATACGTCACGTTCGCATGTAACACCGCAATACAAACCACCACGGGATTCTCACCTTTCTTTCTTCTTTACGGACGTGAGCCTTCCCATACAATTGATACCCTACTTCCTTACTGTCCTGATGCTTCCGAGTGTCCACCTATCTCCGATGCTGCTAGACAAGCCGAAGAGTGCCGCCAGCTCGCCCGTGCGTTCACCTCGGAAGAGCAACAACGCCAGAAAGAAACCCGTAGCACCTCTCTTCCGGATCCCAGCTATGCCCCAGGGTCTCTTGTGTGGCTTTCCATCCCATATCAAACACCGGGACTCTCCTCGAAACTTGTCCCCCGGTACGAGGGGCCTTACACCGTTTTGGAGAAAACCTCTCCGGTTAATTTCCTAATTGAACCAGTTTCCCGATCGGACGACATGCGCCGGCGTGCACGTGACATCGTCCATGTTTCCCGACTAAAACCGTACGATGAGCCTTTGCCTGAAACTTCTTAAGTCGCCAGGATGGCTCCTTTTTCAGCGGGGGCGATTGTGAAGAAGAAGATGTGCCTGCAGCGAGCAGCATCGCCAACGCCCGGCTCTCTCGGCTCGTGCTTCGGTTCGTTGCTGTGCCGATTGCTGGACGGTTCTTCACGCTGTCTCGTCGCTGTCTTTAACGGCTAATAAACCTCCTCACACTTCCTACACTTGGCAACACCGATTTCAGAGTGCGTCATTCAAGGCCCTCGCTATAGCATTTTAATGAACCGAGGCTGGTCCGTCACTGCGAGCGCAGATAATGTTGTTTGCATTAACGCGACACTGATAGTGCTGGTGTCTGTGGACTCTGCATATTCCGTTGTTCTGAACCATGCTGTCCTGCAGTTACTGTGAGAACACGAAAAGGTTTCACCAGAGTCTCTCTCCGACTGAGGAGTTCCTAGTGTAGATCTCTCGCACGCACTGCACCAACTCCAAGCTCGTCAACCAATGGCGCGGGTGGGTGTTGTGCTACACTGTGCCGCACTCCTTTTCTCTCTCGCTATCACTTATGCAAGAGGCAACGTGAATGGGTGGCGTTCTTTAAAGCATACTATTCTGATTATGATAATGCTTCTCAGCAATTACACAAATCCACGACAGGTGATCGACAAGTGCTAACTGGAGACATACAATAGCTCCAATTCATTCTCCGTTTTTTATGTGCGAAATAAATCAGTTATGAGAGACTGACCGAAAGACACAGTAGAAAAGGATTAGGGCTTAAGTACCAACAGTAGTTTCCCACTTGTCCTGTTGTACTGTGTATTTCGTCTCGACGTCTTTCATGCTGCTTAGCTCCGCAAATGTCGCCCAAGCTTGCCCAGGCAAAAGCACTGCTAAGCCTTATTTCTTAAGTCGATAGCCTTGCATGTCTCCCTGCTCAGTCGACTTTGAATAAAATCTTAGTGGGCGTCAACGATACGGGTTCGTAAAGCCACGTGATCTATGAAGTGGGGATGAAGGTACCACAGGTGCTTGCTCACTTCTGTGCTGTGAGACCGTGAAGCTTAAACGAGAAAAAGTGCCAGAACGTCTTAGAGAAAGACAGTCGAGCTTAGAAATGAATTCATATGTGAACTCAAGTTCCAAACAAACTAAAATAAGTAAAACACGAATGTTCATGCATTATGAAAACATTTCGATGGGATGATGAAAACAACTTTTTTAAACCAATAAAAGGGACTTTATACATGCCTCCAGGCCCGTAAAAATAACAGACAAAGCATTGAGTTTTAAAGGGACACTATGAATTGAGACAACGGCTTAGTTTAGATTGATAAACTGTACTCTAAAAATTCTATATAGTGCCGTACGTTTCACCAAATTGAGGTCAAAGTTTCATTTTTAAATTTCGCGCTGAAATGTGCGCACGTGATGTCGTCTATTTCAATATACATTGTTTTGTATTTTCGCAACATTGACTCGATGAAATTTTTTGAAACTTCGTACGTTAATTATATGGCCCCCCACAGATGACTGCGCACTTTATTTTTTCCCATTATGAACGATGTTAGACCTAATAGGCACCGTCAATATCCTCTACGTCACGGCATTTGGTGCGGGAGTACCAAGGTGGCGTCTCAACCCACATTTTGTTTTCGCGTGTTTTCTCGCTTACCAAGAGTCATCTCGCGGTAAGAGCACACAAAAGAAAAACAGAACGAGTAAAAAGGTTGCATTTTTGTCCCACAACAATAATCATCATCTGACTTTGTAGCACTTCCTTTTTTAAAAACTCGGCTCTGTCCACTCTCCTGCAACAAATGTTATGTCACGCTGATAATTCGCATGTCGTTCGCGACCGGATTGTGCCGTGTGCGCGGCGATAAATCAAGAAAAAAAAGCACAAGACAGAGGGCGATTATTGTTGGGGGACAAAAGATGCCTTTTTTAAGTTATATTTTTTCAGAGTGCAGTGTTTTTATGGTTGTGAAATTCTACTTTACTAATACACAAAAAAATGCTTTTCTCTTTTGTGTCTTTTTAAAAGGCGATATTCAATCTAGAGTCTTTTCGAGACTTACTGCTTCTCTTCGTCCCATTGCATGTGCACTGCTAGCTGAAAACACCAACTACAGCACTTTTCTGTTTCCTAGACTAGTAAACTGCATAGCTTGCTTCCTTCTCAGAGTTCACCCTCAGAGTGAACAGTCAATAGGTTTTTATTGGAGAGACAAAGTTCCGGGGCTGCATACTAAATGAGAGCTTCATTTACTCTCAGCCACTAAAATTCGCAGATTTCTGTTTGTGTTGTTCACTTTAAAACTTCGGTCTCAGCTATGCTGGCACTCCTACCCTCCAGTTTACAAGCTACTATCACTGGTTACGTTTTTCACATGCTTTAGTTAATGTTATTTAAAATGAGTATAGTTCAACTTTCGCATTATTAAAAATAATAAACTCCACAGGAATGAAAACGACGGGATATTTTTTCCCATTATGTAGCATAATCATGCCCGAAATATTGTTGAAATATAATATATTATCGTAAATGTAAGTATACCTACTTATTCCACCTATAGTTAATAATTATCAGTACCTTGCTGCACAATATATTTTATTACGATTTTAAGAAGCGTAATGTTATTTCTAAATATTCTAATGCGTCTAATGGCCAAACTGCTGTAGGGAGGGGAGCCTTATTAATACTAGTTAAGCAGCATTTGTTTTAGTGTACCCCGAATATTAATCGCAAAGGCCCTATTGTGTTGCTTAATTAGCATTCTTCGATTTTCATGCCCATAAAAAGAGCTAACCAAATTTATACATTTAATCTGACCACTGTGCACGACTGTATGAGTGTATGCCACCTTATTACTTTTTTGTTTGCTTTTTTATTGTATGTATTCCTGGCTTTTGTCGTGCGGCTAAATGGCTACACCCATGAGGCTGCAGTTATGAGGAAGAAAACTTGCTAGAGGCAATATTAGTGAAAAGTAAAAAAAAACAATGATGCTGGCTATTAGTTCCCCTAAGTATTGGGGTGAAAAAAAAAAAGAAAGAGGAAGACAAGCCCGTAAATGTACAATTGTTTCCTTCAAGAAAGCATGCGTTGCCCTCAACTGTAATGGTAGCAGGGAACTCACGTGTTGGTGTCGTTATCTCCAGCTTTCCTCCTTGTTCTGAGGAAAGAAAGAAAAACATACATATATATGAGCTTAGGTACCACCGAATAAATAAAAGCATCGGTCCTCTAGAAAGCGGCTACTACCGCTTTCTATAGGACCGATGCTGCATGGAAGCTTTGCCAGCTCGCTCGTCAACAAGCCACTTCACAATGTAATCAACCACACTTCAGATGCTGCATGGAAGCTTTGCCAGCTCGCTTGTCAACGAGCCACTTCACAATGTAATCAACCACATTTCAAGCATGCCCGACAGTATTCACTTGATCCTACATTAAGTCTCAAGTCCCGTCGAGAGCTTCGCCGAGCAGACGCGATTTATTTATGTCGCGACCTTTTATGTAGGCTGTGGTTGGCCGCTGTGTTTACCAACGCCTACGCTTTCCACATTGAGATGACCAACACCGCAGCCTGGGACCACTGTGACAACGAACTAACCACCCGTCAAATCTTTTGTGACAGCCTACACTATAGTGGACAGCGACAATGCCTTCGCAATGAGGTCAGTAAATTTGATAATCAACCTCTGTCGAAGAAACAAAATACAATATCACCAAGATGCAACGTCCCAGAAGAAGGCCCAGCAAGAGCTACTGTTCTTTTTGTGATTGACCGGCTTTTTGCGATTGACCGGCCCGGCAGGCCTGAACGCCCTTCTTGGGAGCATTTTCGTTTTCTCCTGAGTGCACGCGCGTCCCCCCCCCCCTTCTCTCTCTCCCTATACCTTAATTTTTAGCCCTTGTTCGCCCACTCCCAGTGCTGGGTAGCAAACCGGATGCCAATATCTCGTTAACCTCCCGGCATATCTCTTCTTTTTCTCTAACGAGCTTCTGAGCCAACTGTTTTCTGTCGCGAAAATTCTGCCACATGTTCCTCGAAGGAGCAGAAGGAACGAATGCGTTACGGATGCTCTTCAGGACAGTTGGTCTGTGCGACCATCTGTTGACATAGAGATTCCAGCAAGTGTGCCATGGTTCTGTTCATCCCACTTCCTCTTTTCGCCTTTTTATTCTTTGCGCCATTGCAGGGCAGCGAATCGCCCCTACTTCTGGTTAACTACACTAGTTTCCTTTAATTTCTCTTCTCTCTCTTTCTCTCTTTGGCTTACATCAAATTTTCATATGCAGTTTACCAGTGCTTCTGCTTTTTCCCACATAATGAGAGTTATAGATGTCAGCTAATCAAATATGCTCTAATCTCGAGGTAAACGACGAAAAAAGTAAATCGGGTGTATATAGGATTAACTGATATTAAATGTTAGTTCGCTGAGTCAGCAGTCGTACTTGTAAGAGCGTGCTGCCTCTCCGTACTCACCGCATCCGGCGTTGTGAGGCCAGTCGCACACGAGCAGTGTCGGATTGAAGTGGAGCTCTCCGGGGCACCATTTGTGGTGAGGCTGGTCGTTCGAGCAGTGGTAGAAGCGGCGACAGTCCTGCTGCGTCCGGGAACAAGCCGTTCGGTTCCGGACAGCGAAACTCTACTTCCACCACGACTGGCCCCTCGCTAACCGTCGTAGTTGGCGTTGGTGTAGTCACTGCGAGAAGGAACGGAAGGGGTACTCTTGGAATCGGGAATACTTATCGAATATACGGGCACATAATTCCTGCGAAAAACCTCACGCTATATTCAGGTTTATTTTGACGATAACGAAATGCAGTAGCCCAGGCCCCAAGAAATAGGATCGTTCGGCTGTGATCGTATAAACGGTAGCATAAAACAGTCACTTTAAATTGCCTTGAAAAATTCTTCTGGGAAAAGCTTTAGATGCTTCACAAAAATGTGAGAATGAACCATCTGCTCAAGTAATAAAAGACACAAAATATTTATCACGTGATGACGTCTCCATTCAAGGTCATCATGACGTCGCGAATCGCTAGAACTTGCACGTTACTGTGACGTCACCTTGGTGTCATCATGACGTCATAACACGACATTATCGCATGGTCAAAGACAGCTGAGGCGGCGCAAAACCAGGTGCTGGACAGAGGTCTTGCAACGCATTCGATCCTGGAAGCACTGCGATACCACTTTAGTAACAACGAGCTATCGGGCAGTGGTAATTAAGGGGAGGATGGGTACATTGGCTGAGAAGAAGAAATAAAAAAAAAGAAGCTGGCGAACGTGCGAGAAAGCTTGCGAGTTTTTATTGATTGATTGATGATTGATTGATACGTGGGGTTGAACGTCCCAAAACCACCATATGATTATGAGAGACGCCGTAGTGGAGGGCTCCGGAAATTTCGACCACCTGGGGTTCTTTTAACGTGCGCCCAAATCTGAGCACACGGGCCTACGACATTTCCGCCTCCCTCGGAAATGCAGCCGCCGCAGCCGGGATTCGATCTCGCGACGTGCGGGTCAGCAGCCGAGTGCCTTAGCCACTAGACCACCGCGGCGGAGCCCTGCGAGTTTTTATTACTTATACCTTGACAGCAGTATGAGCAGCCATTGCACCTTTTCAATGAATGGAACCGCAGTATAACTAAAATCAGACCGCCTCGCACAGTGGGTCATGTTATATGTTTCTCACAGTAATATATCGTTATGGAGCTCACAACGTCGACATGTCTAGGTGCTTGATTAGGCGCTCATATTATCAAGTACCTGATCACTGCAACTTAATAACCACATTTATTCTTGCAAATTAAAGTTGCGCCATACAAATTACTGCTCTAATCGAGCTGTCTATGCTGGCTGTGATTAGGTTGCACACTCTCACACTGCTTACATCTTCCAAGTACGTATACTCACAGGGTTTCTTTCTTTGTTTTTTAAGGCTTAAAATGAAAGCTGTGAACAACAGATACTAGAAGTACATAAAATTAAAGAACATGAGGCTCCCACGAAATTGTGAAGCTCCCACAAAACACCGGTTCAGAACTCGACGGGCGGCAATTCGTTTTGATTAAGCCACCAAAATTATGAACAACGATAAAGTCCCACGCCGTCGATCTTGAGTTCCAGCCGTGATAAATAAAAAAATTAAAAAAAATATATTGTGTGAGCCATCATTCGCGATGAGCGTACCTTTTCTGGAATCGTGCGTTTAATTTTACTACTTTCAGTATTTTCGCTGGAGCAGAATTACTCACGGTATGATGATCGGGCTAGGACCTCAATTCACGCTGTTTTTTTTAGTTCTTGTTATTCAAACGTTCTGTAGAGAATAATGAGCTCACACATGAACACCAGTGCTGGCGCTTCGCCTAAAGCCTAAATAGTGTTTTTTATCGAAAAGAGGCTAATTATCGATTGCATGCGTAGCCTTAATTACACGCGCGGAAAATTTGGAATGAGCGCTATTTTCATAAAACTCTAACGGAGGACGAAACTACAAAAAAATGCCAGAGAAAGTTGGCATATAGAAAGCGATAAATACCAAGGCAGAAAGCGATAAATACCAAGGCTGGTATTTATAACTCGACTGGTGGTTTGAATGATATTTTGCTTGTAAAGGGACTGCCGCGGGTCACGATAAAAGAGCCCTGCGCCCTGAAGTCACCTGATTCGCGCATTTTGGGGCGCTCTTGTTGCAAACTATACGCAATATGCAATACCTGGAACACCTGGACAGTATCTATAACGCAGACACATCATTTTTTCTTCTAAACGTTCACTACAGTAACTTGCTCATTATTCAGATTGAAGCCGCTGTAGTTACTGGGCGATTCTCGGGACGCTGTAGTATAATTGCGCTTCTGCTTATAACATGAGAAAATACACCTATCAGTGCACCATATAACAGCTTTTGTTGGAGATTCCTTCAGTTAAGGGGGAAATTTTGCCCACTGTGTACACCTCAGTTAAAGAAGAATAAATTTGACGCTACCATTATGTTTATTGCTCTAATCACCAGCCATAATGTTCGCTTTAGAGAAACAAGACACGTTTAGCGATATTGTAAAGATGCGTTGCGGTTGACTTAAAGTTAACATGGGCTAGTGGTCGTCATTCGTGTTTCTCGATTAAGGTATTATTAAAAGTTTTTTCGTACAGAATCCACGCGTTGTAGAGCGACTAGTTGCTTAGATTTATCGAGCATATAGTTAACGGGACACTGACACAACATTTTGAGGCCGAGATAGCCTGAGGGATCGATTCCGGTGAGCATGCTTATATGATAGGCCAAAAAACACCAGGTCTGCGCGTAAGGCACAGCAGAGTCCCAGCGAAAGCTAGAAGAGTGGCCTTTCGGAGCCTTTTCTAAACACTCATTGGGTAACTGCTGCAAGGTTATTTGCTTGATGACCACTACGGCATTAAAATAAAAAAGTCAGGCTTGTAGGTTGTCACACGCTATGCTATTTTTCGCCATTCCTCTGAGAAGCGTGGTATCCGCTAAACTAACGCGAGGAACTTTGTGCCAGTTGTCCATGCAGTGTCTGACGACGATGAGAAATTATTCCTGAAGTGGCTATGCACCACAGGTAATAGCTGAACGAAAAACAAGCTTTTGTAATGGGTTCGAGCATTGGACGACCTACTCATTCCGCTATTCGCATTGTGCGACGGACTGCTTGTTCTATCACTGTTTTAAAAGGCTTTATAGGTCGTATTACCAAACTCTCTTTGCCTTTTTTAAGCACTCATTGGGTAACTGCTGCAAGGTTATTTGCTTGATGACCACTACGGCCATTAAAATAAAAATTTTCGGCTATATGTCATTCGCTACGCTATTTTTTCGTCATTCTTTTGAGAAGCGTGATATCCGCTAAACTATTGCGAGGAACTTTGTGCCAGTTGTCATGCAGTGTCTGACGACGATGAGGAATCGTGCCTGAAGTGGGTTCAGCACAGTTAATAGCTGAAAAAAAAAAACAAGCTTTTGTAATGGGTTCGAACCTACTCGTTACGCTATTCGCATTGTGTGACGACTGCTTGTTTTTTCGCTGTTTTAAAGCGCTTTATAAGTCGTATCACCGTGATTGCTTTCCCTACATATAGCCTGCCTAAGGAATGTTTGCCAACAAGTTCCAAGCACCGGCGTAGCTCAGTGGCAGAATACTGGGCTGGCACCCAGCGGACCCGGGTTTAAGCACCACTTGTGTGATTGGTACAATTTTTTTTCTAATTTCGCGCGATGTGGTTATGGACACCGGCGCCAACGGCGGTGGTGGCGGACAACTACGGCGCTGCGCGAGCCCCGAGTTGTGATATCATAACCGCTTTCGCTGTAATATCAGCAGCGAATATACTTTGAAAGATATTTTAAAAATGTTTTGAAGTTTGCGAGAGCCATTGACTCTATGGTGCTACTGACACCCCGAAAGGGAACCGACGGAGACCCCATATAACGTGACCACGCTGCAGCAAGTTATGACGACATCGTGACCGCCATTTTTCTTTGATCGCGTTTGCTTAAACAGGCAATTACTGGGCAGCTGCTGGAGAGTCTGTGGCCGCGATGCAAGATTTGAAAGTTTTGTGTTTGACGACCGTGCTGTCCCGTTTATTGTTCGAAAAAAAAAAAAAAAACCTTCATGCGCGGAAGTGCGTCGCAGTTCTACGTGCTCACACGGTCGAGTGTTACATCCGCTATAGGTGGTGATTATTGCATCCGATGACTTGTTATTTATTAAACCGAAACAGACACCGGGCGATAATAATGAGCCTGTAATCAACTGTCACGTGCTGCGCAAAACAATGTGTCATGTTATGACCAACAGCCCCCCTTCCAAAAAAAAACATCGCAGCAAAAAAAAAAAAAAAAAAACACGTGGCCAAAATGTTTGTCAGTGCCCCTTGAAGCTGGAACAATGGCTATTCTTTTTAAATGGACTTAGTCCTCAAAATTTAAGTGCAAAATATTTTTCTAGTAGCGCTTCAAGTTGGGCAAGTTAGTTTTCTTGCAGATTGACAGGCACTAAGCGGGAAAAGTAAATTGTGGGTTATATTTAGTGGCTGAACAGAGTGAGTGCACGAGGCCAGAGGTATACGTTTATATGTGAAATATCTGAAAATCGACGTCAGTTGAAGGTTAGCGCCTGAATAAATATATCTTGTGTACACGTATACTTTACCTAAACCACTCTTGGTCATGAATATATATATATATATATATATATATATATATATATATATATATATATATATATATTTATATTTATATTTATATATATTGTAAGAATTCACTGAACGTCATCTTCCTCATCTGTCAACAACCATCATCAGTCTTCGCCCCGTTCTTCTTCATCATCGGCGCCATCTTGCTGTTGCTTGAATAAAGCGTCAGCTGAACCGTTGTATTTTAAGTGGTGGAAAGTGCTTCCCGATCTCTTCGACCTCTCTCCATCCAAAGCCAACTCCTGGAGCTCCCCGCTCGGGACGTCGCTTACGCCAGCAGAGCACCATGGCACAAGAGCAAGCCCAAGCGAACCACCCACCGGCGCAACCACCAGCCGCCAACCCTAGTCCGGTCAACAACCCCCCTCGGGAGCCCCCAATCTTCTCCGGTCTGCCTGGCGAAGATGTCGAAGACTGGCTCGACCACTATGACCGCGTGGGCGTCTACAACAACTGGAACGAGGCATCTAAATTAGCAGGCGTCCAGTTTTACGTCTCTCAGGTTGCCAAGACGTGGTTCCTGAATCATGAGAGCGACTTCCGCGATTGGTCTTCCTTCAAAGACGAGCTCCAACGCATTTTCGGCACACCGACCGTCCGTTCAGAAGTTGCTCGCAAGAAACTGGCAGAACGCGTTCAACATTGCGGTGAGTCCTACACTTCCTATATTGAGGATGTGCTTGCACTTTGCCGCCGTATCGACGACACCATGCCAGAAGGTGATTGTGTCCGGCACCTTCTGAAGGGTATCGGACCTACCGATTTCAACGCCCTCGTCGCGTACAGCCCTTCGACGGTTTCCGACGTCGTCTCTGTATGCCAGCGTCTTGATACCTTGCAGTCAATCCGCCTGCGACCCGACTACTCTGAGAACCCCCTGGCAAACAGCATGGAGCTCCGATCCATCATTCGAACCATAATTCGTGAGGAATTGCAAGCCTACAGTTTACCTCCTTCTAACAACGTTCCCGCTCAACCCGCCTCTAGCGATCTGCGTGGCATTATTAGGGAAGAAATGTCAGCGTTTCAAAGCACCCACCGCGCTCCACCAAGCCCCCAACCCGCTTCGTATGCACAGATCGCTTCAATGCAACCCTCGCCGTCTCAAGTACCACCACTTGTGCCGGATCACGAACATCTCGCACCTCTAGTCGCCCATCCACCGAACCCAACCTACCATTCTTCCTGGTGGGTTCCACGGCCTATTTGCTACTACTGTGGAATTCGAGGACACATTTCCCGGGTCTGTCGACGTCGGCAGCAAGATGAACGTCGTGGGTATGCCGCTTTTGAACGAGACGACACATGTGCTCGAGGTTACTACCGTTATGCCGACAGTCGTTCCAACCACCGATCACCGTCTCCTGTGCGCATTTCCGACACGACCAACAATACACGTGCATCCCGACCATGCTCCCCTTCGCCACTCCGACGCTCTGTTTCACCACTTCGGCCTGTCTCTCAACTGGCTGCCCAGCGATCGGAAAACTAAACAGTGCCGTTTTTGGAGGGAAAACTGCATCGCGGCGAAATGACCCAAGTCCTCCTAAACGACCGTCAAACATGTTATTGGTAACTGTGCAAGGTGTGCGGGTGTTGGCTTTGGTGGACACGGGAGCAACCATTTCAGTTATGCGTGCTGACTTGTGTTCTCGATTGCGGAAAGTGAAGACACCCTCTCTTGGATTATCTTTGATTGGGGCCAATGGAGCAATTGGTCATCTCATCACCTTCGCTGTCTTAATTTCATGTGCTCATGAACTAATTTTAGGTTGGGACTTTCTCTCATCGGCATCTGCATTAATTTCTTGCCGTCAACGTGTAGTCGAAATGACCGAGACCGATCACTGCAGCGAACGCGTTGACGAAAAACCATTGCGTTTCTTCACAGCTTCCGAATCCATACTGCTCCCGGGTCAGGAGCAACTCATCACCATAACTTCTCTGAATATTGCCAATGGTGACGTCCTTATCACCCCTTCCAGCAGTTGTCTAGCTCACGGCGTAGTAGTCCCCTCCAGCCTGGTGCAGTTCAAAAACAGTGCTGCGATAATCCTTGGCCTGAACCCTACCCCAGAGCCTTTCCTCCTGCCCCAAGGTTGTGCAGTGTCATGTTATGTGGATACCCAACCGGTATTTTTGGTCTCTCTCGACGCGTTGACAGCTCAGCCACAACAAGACCAGTCTGTTACTTCCTCCTCCTTTGCTCCCGGGATAAATCCTGACCTTTCTGCTTCTCAACGTGAGGCGTTGCTAAATTTGCTAACAAAACACCAGGCCTCCTTCGACGCCAATGCTTCGGCACTAGGACAGACCACAGTTGCGCATCATCGCATCGACACTGACGGTCAGACTGTTGTACGCCATCGTCCCTACCGAGTCTCCTTGGCCGAGCGCAAAATCATCGAGGAGAACGTGACCGATATGCTAAAAAGAAACATCATACGACCCTCTACCAGTTCTTGGTCATCACCCGTTGTGTTGGTACAAAAGAAGGATGGATCGGTACGATTTTGTGTTGATTACCGCGCGCTCAACATGATTACCCGAAAGGATGTATATCCGATGCCCCGTATAGATGATGCACTTGACTCATTGCAAGGCGCCCAATACTTCTCCACCCTTGACCTTCGGTCTGGGTATTGGCAAATACCGATGGACGAAGCAGACAAAGAAAAGACCGCCTTTTCTACGCCGAACGGTCTTTACGAGTTTAACGTAATGCCATTCGGCCTATGTAATGCTCCCGCCACCTATGAAAAGATGATCGACACTGTTCTTCGTGGCCTCAAGTGGAAAACTTGTCTATGCTACCTCGATGATATAGTCGTGTTTTCTTCCACTTTTGCTGATCATCTGCAACGCCTAGATCAAGTGCTCACATGTCTCTCTAATGCTGGACTTCAACTAAACACAGAAAAGTGCCATTTTGGCAACACAGCCATAAAAGTTCTAGGACATCTCGTTAGTAAAGATGGCATCCAGCCTGATCCTGACAAAATTTCCGCAGTCCTCAACTTTCCGCAACCCTTTCGCACCAAAGAACTACGCAGTTTCCTTGGACTCGCATCGTACTTTCGCCGCTTCATTCGCTACTTTGCCACTATTGCCGCTCCTCTCCACAAGCTCCTTGCCAGTACCGGTTCCTTCGATTGGAATGATCAATGCGAAGCCTCATTTCAAAAACTCAAGCAGGCACTGACATCCCCACCGGTGCTTGGTTATTTCGATGACAGGGCACCTACGATATTACACACTGACGCTAGTGGACAAAGAATCGGCGCCGTACTCCTCCAGCGCGACCATGCCTTTCGCGAGAAAGTTATCGCGTATGCAAGCCGCACTCTGACCTCTGCAGAGAAGAGGTACTCGATAACCGAACAAGAGGGCTTGGCTGTTGTCTGGTCCATCCAAAAATTTCGTCCGTACTTACATGGTCGACATTTTACTGTTGTGACAGACCACCATGCTCTTTGCTGGTTGTCCACAATCAAAAACTTGTCGGGACGACTTGCTGAATTTCCCGATTAAATCTTATGACTTTGACGTCATCTACAAGACCGGAAGACAACATCAAGATGCCGACGCTTTGTCACGGTGCCCTTTGCCGCAGTTTTCGGCGCACGTCACATCCCCTTGTCAAATTGGCTATACGGAGGACGCCTCGTCGATATCAGCCATTTATTCCCTAACTTCAACCTCCCGTCCGTCAGTACTTACTACTCACCAGCGAGCCGATTCTTACTGCACTGACATCATCGGTCGACTTACCGGCGCTTCATCTTCCCCTAATGCCAGGCTCCGGAAACAACTCCGATTATTTAAGTTGGAGGACGATGTGCTATATCGATACATTTTCCGGAAGGCCACCAATGGGTTCCCGTCGTACCACGCGCACTACGCACTGAAGTTCTGCGCGCTTCCCACGACGACCCGACGTCAGGACACTTGGGTTATTACAAAACATAAGAGCGCATCCGCAGTCGATTCTTCTAGCCTGGTCTTTCCACGACCGTAGCGAAATATATCGCCTCGTGCGCACTTTGCCAACACCGCAAGCGGCCCCCGACTGCTCCAGTCGGGACCCTACAACCACTTCCTTGTCCATCAGAGCCGTTCTCTGTCGTCGGAATTGACCTCTTCGGGCCCCTCCCACTACATCAGACAGCAAGAGATGGATCGTCACCGCCGTTGATCACTTGACCCGGTACGCTGAGACGGCCTCGATCACTTCAGGAACTGCTTCGGAAGTAGCAACTTTCTTCTTGAATGCTATTTACCTACGTCACGGAGCTTCCGTGTTCTTTTGAGCGACCGGGGCAAGGCATTTCTTTGAAGCACGCTCAGAGAAGTTCTTCAAGCATCAAAAACAGTTCATAAAACAACATCTAGCTATCACCCGCAAACCAATGGCTTAACGGAAAGATTTCATCGCACGCTGTGTGACATGCTGTCCATGTACATCCGACCGGACCATCGCAATTGGGATGCCATACTTCCCTTTGTCACGTATGCATATAATACGTCAGTTCAACGAACCACAGGCTATTCTCCATTTTTCCTAGTATACGGACGCCAACCGACATCACCACTCGACGTTTCATTCTTTTCTAGCCCCGTCAACTCTTCACCATTGGTTTCCGACCAGTTTCTGTCCCGTGTTGCTCGATGCCGTCGTCTTGCCCGTGTAAACACCGAAGCTAGCCAAGAAGATCACAAACATCGTTACGATGCCACTCACCGCGTCGTTCTCTACCGCCCTGGTGACGATGTACTTTTGTGGACTCCTGCGCGAACGCCTGGCTTATGCGAGAAGCTTGAGTCACGCTATCTTGGCCCCTACAAAGTTGTCGAACAGACCTCACCGGTGAACTACCTTGTCACACCTGTTCATGTCCCCACTGACCAACGCTGCCGCGGGACAGAGATTGTGCACGTTTCGCGTCTCAAGCCCTATCGTATGAGTTCTCCAGCGTAATTCGCGGCCAGGCTGGCCGCTTCCGTCGACGGGGAAAATTAGTGTAAGAATTCATTGAACGTCATCTTCCTCATCTGTCAACAACCATCATCAGTCTTCGCCGCGTTCTTCTTCATCATCGGCGCCATCTTGCTGTTGCTTGAATAAAGCGTCAGCTGAACCGTTGTATTTCAATATATATATATATATATATATATATATATATATATATATATATATATATATATATATATATATATATATATATATATATATATATATATATATATATATATATATATATATATATATAAGGAAGAAGAAGCAATGACAGCTTACCGGGAGGTCTAGGCGTGGGCTCGCATCCCAGTACTTCAAGCTGTAGGGCGATCCAGTTCTTCCAGGTGACGGGCACAATCCTCAAGTAACGAGCGCTAACAGCTCTCGGGAACGCTCTTGTCACTGCTGTACTGGCGTCGAAGTTGCCCGTAAACACCTGCGTAACGGAAGTCGTAAGATCACTAACAGACTTCGAAATAATCTTGTTAATTGATGGTTAATTAGAACTAAACGACCATGATGGCAGAGAAAAGTGCCGGGGATACTATTAACAGAAATTATAATCTAAGTGTCTCAAAAGAAAACGTGGACGAAAAGATAACTTGCCAACGTCAAGAACCAAACCTGTAGCCTTCGAATAACGCGCCTGATTCTCAACAGCGGCGGCTGTCCCCCCATCCACTTTATAGGTTATAATCGTCATTATCATCATATTCATCATCATCAGCCTGACTCCATCCACTGCAGGACAAAGGCCTCTCCCATGTTTCGCCAGTCGACTCCTGTACTTGCTGCTGCCACTTTATACCCGCAAACGTCCTAATCTCATCTGCCCCCTAACTTTCTGTCTCCGCCCAACCCCCTTGCATTCTCTGGGAATCAGGTAAGTTATCCTTAATGACCAGTGGTTATCCTACCTACGTGCTACATGCCCGGCGCATGTCTATTTTTTCTTCTTGATTTCAACTATGATATACTGAGCCCCAATTTGTTTCCTGATCCACTCTGTTCTCTTCTTGTTTTCTAAGTTTACACTTATCATTTTGTTTTCCATCGCTTGCTGCGTTGTCCGCAATTCAAGCTGAACCCTTTTTGTAAGCCCCTAGGTTTCTGCTCCGTAATTAAGTACCGGCAAGTTGCAGCTGTTATATACCTTCTTTTCGAGGGATAGAGGCAATCTATCAGTCATGATTTGAGAGTGCTGGCCGGATGTGCTCCCCCCATTCCTATTCTTCTAGTTACTTCAATATCGTGGTTCCGCTCCGCGGTTATTGCCTGTTTGAAGTAGACGTAGTCCTTTACAACTTCAAGTGCACAATTACCTATGTCAAAGCGCTGTTCTCCGAAGAAGATGTTGTACATTAAAGGTTATAGGATGTTTAGTTATTGGAGTGCCCGGAACACTCTTTTGCTGCCTGTTGGCGTCACATGGCACACGATTATTACGTGCTGGCAACAAACCAATAGCTCATATAGAGATACGCGTCCAATTCACAATGTTTCCACCTAGGTCGAGCCCAAGTCACAAAACCCAAGACAATTAAAAGGTAATTGACTGTGAACGTCAAAGCAATATATACAAACCATGCCATTCAGCGTTGCTAATTGGTACTCAAGAATAGTGAACAGCTTTACAATCAGCCTTTCACCTGAGCTCTTCCAACGCCTGGTTACTGTGGCACAAACTGTTCTAAACGAATATTTAGTGATGTGTTTGCACTTTGAAGCAATGGGAAGAAGACACTGTTGCTTTAACTACTCTAAATGTGATTTTAGAGCATCGTTTTATAAATCCACTGTACCGAAAAAAATGAAAACAAAGATCTATGAACAGATTTCGACTACAAGTGGTAGAAGTACTGAAAATAGCCCGTCCCTGGTCAGTTTGTTTATATTGAGGAGCCTATGTTCAATTATTGAACAAGATGTGGCATTGTGAAAAAAATTAGAGGTGTATAGAGTAGGAGTGGAGTTGTAAGCTTCTGTAATATTTACATTAGTTTCTTTTGCTATTACTCCATCGTTGTTGATGTTATCTTACTGGATAATTATTCTGTTTTAAGTGTAATGAGTATATTATACCCCATTATTCTAAGTACGATATCTAAAATATAATCAGATATTTCTGCTTGCTTCCTTTTGCTATTACTCTACTATAGGAGCCGTTATCTTACTGGAATAGTTTTTGCCTGTACTTATTTTTAGTAAAAAGTTTAGAGCGTAATAGGTTTGCTAAGTACATGGTGCACTTTCATTTCGACAAATGATTTTTATTGCTTTTTTAAGTAATGAATATTTTGGGAACACGTGTTTGTGCATTGTTACGAGTACGTGGCTTTAGTATAAGCGATGCTTGACCAACTACCGAGTGCGGTAAAGAGCGAAGTGTGTTTTGGCTCGTCATAAACTTAGATGTGAGATTATGGAGGCAACAAAAGTAAAATGAATGGTAATTCTTTTAATGCTCCAGATAAACATAGAATAAAGTGAGGATTGGAATGCCACTTACAAGATTGTTTCCATCAACGTCCTTGATAGTATTCCATCTGTGGGCATTGTTGCTGTGCTGTACGGTGTAAGAAGTGACCCACTGTGCGGCCTCTTCCCGACCCTTGGTCACAACTGCAGTTAGTTCGCGGGGCTCACCAAAGTCAACCTGTGGTGCGAAAAAGAGAAAAAAAAAGAGTGGGTCATAAAAAATGAATCCTCTTCTTAAAGTAGCTTACTGCGCTTTCAGAATTACCATTGAGATATGTGCGCCACCTTATCATGCACTATCCTCTTCAGGATTTCATCAAGGTGCATTGAAATGAAACACGGAGATGAGTATACTTTCAGAAAACTTTACTGTTCTAAATTTAGTCGTCACAGGTTTTTTTATTAGGACAAATGAAGGTCAAAGCTCCATGTTTGAATTTGGCGCCAACACATCTGGAGTTGAACGTAGGCAAAAATATGTATAGATATAGTAAAAAAGGAAGCAAGTGCAAAATAGAACGATAGAAAAAAAAGAAAAAAATCTGAAAAAAAGTACAAAGAGCAATAAATTGAGAGGAAGAAATAAATAGAAAGGAAGAGATAAATATACAGAAAGTAAGGAAGGAGGAAAAACAGGGACACTGAAAAGAAGATTGCACAGCTGCGCACTTCTTTCAGGCTCGACGAAATGGCCTAGTGCGAAATGGCCTAATTTTTTTTTTTTTGCACCGATGTCAGCGACAGACGATTTAAAGCCTTTAACCTCTGTGTGCTTAGGGAATAATTTAAATAAAGCTGAGTTGAATTGAACTTGGGCTTTCAGGTATCTCCAAAGTCCCAATATCACTACCACATCATCGTTGATTTCACAATGTGAGTGATCATGTCCCTTGCTTCCAAGATGTTTGATTGAGAAGCGAACTCACCTGGAGGTATTGGTGCTTGTCGGAGACAGCGGCGACCCAGCCGTGGCCACCGAGCCTTCCCTCGTTGGCTTCGTGCTCTTCATCCCTCTCGGACGAAGCGTGCAATGCCTGCTGGTCCAGCAGCCCGCTCTCGAGTCCCATTGGCTCTTGGCAGACTGTTATTCACAAAGAAACAACGCCAAACTCGGTGTTATCACCATTAATAGTAGTTGCTTTGTTTCAATGTTCCAACAACGTAATATAATACGAAGGACGTGGCGCTATCACTATTTAAACCCAGCTGAACGCTTTTTTTTTACCCGCTATGGTGGCCTAGTGCTAAAGCTGGCCATGGTGGCCGCATTTATGTTGGAGGCGCAAACGCTTGAGGCCCGTGTGCTTATTTTTGGGTACGCGTTAAAGAACCTCAAGTGGTCGAAGTTACCCGAGTTCTTTAGTACGATGTCCTTCAATCATACGGTCATTTCAGTATGTGAACCACGTGTAATAATAATAATAATAATAATAATAATAATAATAATAATAATAATAATAATAATAATAATAATAATAATAATAATAATAATAATAATAATAATAATAATAATGAAACGGGTTGTTGAACAAGCAGGCGAACTCGGCGAAGGAGAGCTTTATTTAGCGCAAGGGCTAACTGAACGCAAGCCTGCGATCGCAGCAAGTCTTCTTCTTTTTTTATCCTCGAGCTCCATGCCCACTACCCTCGTTACAATCACCCCGGTCGATGAGGGAGCCATCCTGGCGACCTAAGGACAGGTGTAGACAGAAGGGTCATGGTATGGCTTGAGCCGAGAGATGTGTACGATTTCTTTTCCCCGACGGCGCTTGTCCGGAGATGCATCCAGCGGCTCGACAAGGTAGTTGACAGGGGATGTTTGGCGCACAACTCGATAAGGGCCATGGTACCTGGATGAAAGCTTGTGGGAGAGTCCTGGAGTAGTAGAAGGAATCCATAGCCACACCAGTGAGTTCGGAGAAAAGCTCATATGCGTGGTTGACGCGTCGTGGCGATGTTTTTGGCGCGTCTGGTCATGTGACGTGAACGCACGAGCAAGCTTCCGACATTCTTCAGCGTGTGCTGCTGCTCGAGAAACGGTAGTCATCTCTGAAGGGTCCGGTCGATAAGGAAGAATGGTATCCATTGTTGATGATGGCTCGCGTCCATAAAGAAGGAAGAAAGGCGAAAATCCAGTGGTGCTTTGCGTTGCAGTGTTGTAAGCATATATCAAAAAAGGGAGTATGCTATCCCAATTTGACTGGTCGGATGAAGCGTACTTGGCCAGCATATCCCCAAGTGTACGATTAAAACGCTCTGTCATCCCATTAGTTTGCGGGTGATAGGCTGTGGTAGTGCGGTGTATGATGCGACACTCGCTCAACAACGCTTTGATGGCATCGGAGAAAAAAACGCGGCCACGGTCGCTTAGTAACTCCCAAGGTGCTCCATGCCTTAAAACCAGGTTTTGCAGTATAAAACACGCAACGTCTTTTGCGGTAGCAGAAGGTAACGCAGCTGTTTCAGCGTACCGCGTTAGGTGGTCGATAGCGACAATGACCCAGCGGTTGCTACTCGAAGTATAGGAAAGCGGACCGTAAAGGTCAATTCCGACACGATCGAAAGCTCGTGCTGGACATGGCAACGGCTGCAAGGGACCTGTGGCATGTTGAGTGGGCATTCTGCGTCGCTGGCACGTAAGGCAAGACCTTACGTAACGGCGAACGAAACGGTACATACCGCGCCAGTAGTACCGCAGCTGCAAGCGGGTGTATGTTTTTAACACACCAGCGTGGCCACATTGCGGATCATCGTGGAACGTGGCACAGATGTCAGAGCGCAGATGTCGGGGGATCACGAGCAACCACTTACGGCCGATCGAGCTGTAGTTTCGGCGGTGAAGCAGGTTATCCCGAATAGCGAAGTGTCCTGCTTGACGGCGAAGCGTCCTGGAAACTGGAGCGGGCGTCCGGTTTGAGAGAAAGTCCAAGAGAGATGAAATCCAAGCATCTTTGCGTTGCTCGGAAGGCATATCCGAGATGCTGATGGCCAAGGCAGCACTAGTGGAGATAGGCGAGCCGACAGGCTCTGAAGCCAATGGCGAACGTGACAGGGCATCGGCGTCGGAATGCTTCCAGCCAGAACGGTAGATAACACGGATATCGAACTCCTGTAACCGCAATGCCCAACGAGCGAGCCGACCATTAGGATCTTTTAGTGAAGATAACCAGCAAAGCGCATGGTGGTCTGTTACAATATCAAACGGACGTCCATATAAATAAGGCCGAAATTTTCCGATTGCCCAAATAATGGCGAGGCACTCCTTTTCAGTTACACTGTAATTCTTCTCGGCTTTACTGAGGGTGCGGCTGGCATAGGCAACGACGTACTCGTCAAAGCCCTCCTTGCGTTGGGCCAGTATGGCCCCTAGCCCGACACCACTAGCGTCCGTATGAAGCTCCGTTGGAGCAGACGGATCGAAATGTCGGAGTATGGGAGGCGTGGTGAGGAGCCGTCGGAGTTCCTGAAATGCATCATCACACGCCTGCGACCACGCTGACAAGTCAGAACTTCTGGCAAGAAGATTGGTCAAGGGGGCGATAATGGAGGCGAAATTGCGGACGTAGCGCCGGAAGTAAGAACATAGGCCGATGAAGCTTCGAAGCTCTTTGATGGTGGTTGGCTTTGGGAACGCTGTGACTGCATTAAGTTTCGTAGGGTCCGGGAGAATGCCGTCCTTAGAAACCACATGGCCGAGAATTACAAGCTTGCGAGCGCCGAAGTGGCATTTCTTCAAGTTAAGTTGAAGTCTCGCCGTGGAAAGGCACGTAAGAACTCGCTCGAGGCGGCTGAGGTGGGTCGCAAAGTCGCTTGAAAATACCACAATGTCATCCAAATAACAGAGGCAAGTTTTCCATTTCAGACCTCGCAAGACGGTATCCATCATCCTTTCGAAAGTGGCAGGCGCATTGCAGAGGCCAAAGGTCATAACGGTGAATTCATATAGTCCATCCGGTGTTACAAAGGCTGTCTTCGGGCGGTCATCCTCTGTCATGGGCACCTGCCAGTAGCCAGAGCGTAAATCTAACGAAGAAAAGAACTCTGCTCCTTGTAGGCAGTCCAAAGCATCATCGATGCGCGGCAGAGGGTATACGTCTTTGCGCGTTATCTTGTTGAGTCGGCGGTAGTCAACGCAGAACCGGACGGATCCGTCTTTTTTTCTGACGAGAACAACCGGTGAAGCCCAGGGACTGTTGGAGGACTCGATGATGCCACGTTTCAACATGTCGTCCACTTGTTCGTCAATGACACGGCGTTCAGCAGATGACACACGGTACGGACGCTGTCTTAGCGGGGCTTGTTGACCGGTGTCAATACGGTGAACGACCGCAGAGGTTCGGCTTAAGCCTGACTGGTCACGATCGAATGAAGAACGAAAGCGGAGAAGAAGATTTATAATCTCTTCGCGCTGAGTTGGTGCGAGCTCAGAGTCGATGGCATCCGAGAATACGTCCAGAGCATCATTAGGCGCGTTGGTAGGAGTGACAGCACCAATTGGGAGCGAAACCGCAGAATCGGGTATAGTAGCCGGAAGAATGCACTCGTAAAGTTCGTAGCTTCCCAGGCATTCTCCACGTAGTATGGATGACGGGCTGTGCGACGGATTGCACACATAAATGGCAGCGTGACCATTGCGAAAAATGACGACGGCAAACGGAAGCATGATATTTCGACGGCACGCAGATGGGACCGATGGCATAAACAACACAGGCGATTTCGGAGGGGAGGCACACGACACCGAGACAACAACAGCTGAGAAAGGCGCAATGTCAACGTCAGAAGCAGCAAACACTCTACACGAAGCACCATCGTCGGGGTCATAGCACGGCACAGACAACGCGAGTTCAGAACGAGCACAGTCGACCAAAGCAGAATTTGACGAAAGAAAGTCCCACCCAAGGATAACGTCATGCGAAGAACGGAATAAAACTACAAATGTGACGACGTACATCGCACCTTGAATGACGACTCGTGCGGTGCACAAAGCTGAAGGCTGAATATGATGGGACGTAGCTGTCTGCAAAGATAGGTCGGTAAGTTGTGTGGTCACTTTCTTCAAGTTTCGGCACAGTTTCTCGCTAATTACAGATACGGCAGCTCCAGTGTCAACAAGTCCGTGCACCTTAATGCCATCAATATAGAGTTCGATTTCGTTCGGGGGACAGCAGTTAGGTCTTGAAATTTTCGCTGCCAACGCAGTTCTTGCCTCCGGAACTGCGCCCGTCAGTTTTCCCCTCGCGGTGGGCTGTTGCGACGTAACATCGGAGAAATAGATCGACGACGAGGAGAAGGTGAACGGCTTGCGCCGGATGGTCGGCGACCGGGACGTACGTCTAGAGGTGGATTGGCAGGAACGGGATATCGCGGCTGAGTGGGCATGGTGGGCATGTAAGCCGCGGGCATGGTGGGCATGTAATGTGAGGCCCCTGCAATGTCGTGAGAAGGGAAACTGCGACGACGGCAGTGAAGAGCTACGTGGCCTGGGATGCCACATGAAAAACATATCGGCCGATTATCTGGAGTGCGCCATTGGCTGACGATAGGGGCACTGTTCGCTGAATAAGGTACCGTAAATGGTCGTGCAGGCGGCGGCGTCATATAAACGATCTGACCTGTTTCATATACAGCCGGAGACGGGACGGTCAGCGAGCGGGAAGGTGGGGTCGACGAATGAACGTGGCGAGTAGCTTCGTAGATGGCCGGAGACGCTGGCGCACGTGGTTGAGCAACTGCGGCTGCATACGTTAGTGGTGCGGTAACAGTTGGGGGAGCCTGAGCTGGCGGCAATGCTTCGGCAACTTGCGATCGAATGACCTGGCGAAGCGAAGGCGACAAGGGTGCCATCGGCTCGGTAGTTCTTGTGAATATAGATAGCTGCCGGGCGACCTCCTCGCGTATGAATTGCTTTATGACTGGCATCAACGCAGAGTGGTCGGCGGTGTCATGGCGATAGTCGAGGGATGAGATGTCCGCGGTGTCTTGAGCAGCGCAACGTGTAGAAGCGCGCTGCCTACGCAGCTCATCATAGCTTTGGCAGAGCTGAATCACCTCGGCGACCGTCTGGGGACTCTTCGCAGCCAGCATTTGGAATGCACCGTCGTCGATTCCTTTCATGATGTTCTTGATCTTGCCTGCCTCGTCCAGAGTCGAATCGACGAGCTTGCAGAGAAATAGCACATCTTCGATGTAGCTCGTGAAAGTTTCATATGCTCTCTGTACTCTGCCCCGCAAGCGCTGTTCAGCAAGAAGGCGGCGGACAGCAGGACGGCCAAAGACTTCCGCGAGGGTTTTCGCCAATTCCGACCAGGTACTGAAATCACTTTGATGATTTCTGTACCAAAGTTTTGCCACGTCGGTCAGGTAAAAACTCACATTTGTGAGCTTATCGGCCGCGTTCCACTTATTGACGACGCTCACCAGTTCATACTCGGCAATCCAGTTGTCCACATCTTGGTCCTCTGTGCCCCCAAATATGGGGGGGTCGCGCTGCCGGATAGCGCCAGCGCAGAAGACAGGCACAGGTGCGAGATCTGGAGTAGCAGCATGAGATGGCCCCGGATCAGTCATTGTAGAAGGTCGTCGGAGTGTGCGGCTGCGAAGTTCCAGGGTGAGGACCAGATGTACCCAGCAACTCCACCACTTGAAACGGGTTGTTGAACAAGCAGGCGAACTCGGCGAAGGAGAGCTTTATTTAGCGCAAGGGCTAACTGAACGCAAGCCTGCGATCACAGCAAGTCTTCTTCATTTTTTATCCTCGAGCTCCATGCCCACTACCCTCGTTACAATAATAATAATAATAATAATAATAATAATAATAATAATAATAATAATAATAATAATAATAATAATAATAATAATAATAATAATAATAATAATAATAATAATAATAATAATAATAATAATAATAATAATAATATTAATAATAATAATAATAATAATAATAATAATAATAATAATAAATCATAAAACACCATTATAGTGGTGTTTACAAAAATCCGCATCATATAGAGAGTTTTTAAAAAAATCTGCCGGCTTTCACATTCCGTGGATGGCGTGCTCCATTGCAGTCTGTTTAATATCAAGGCTCCATGAAGTGCTGTGTAACTATGCTTTTGCAAGTACTGACTGCGTTATACAACTCTCTGAAAGAGTCCAAATTCCATGGAAGAAAATAAGATGCACTTTTCACAAACAGTACCACTTACTTAAATTTCTTCAGCACGTGTCGGCAACTTGTGGTCCAAAGGGCACTATAATGCCCCCCCCCCCCCCCCCCCGTATTTCAGTTTCTATCTCGACCGCAACTTCTGATTTCGCCTGTTAAGTTCTTTGGCATTACACAGACATGATTTTCCTTCCAGTTTGTGTAAATATATTTACTATTCCAATTTTTTTAGCGTATTGTCAATTAACCGAACTTTTTGTCTCTGCCTACAAAGCCTCCACGCCCAGTCCCCCTTTCCCATCAGGATAGCTTTCTGGCCTCCGCCATGTCGGCTTGATGCAATTGCGGCTCTCCACCTCAAAAGGATGACAACCCCTGCACTATAGCATCAAATTGGTCAGAAGAGAAGCCATACTCACCAAGATGTGCTCCCGGTTCCCGTGGTGGCTTGACAGTAAACGTCTCTGTAAGAAGTATGTATGCAACTTTGCTGTAAATGTGCTGAGTAAAGGTATGTGTTATTCCAAGAAAAATTCGGAAACACAGGCTGTCCCTTGAGAAGAAAAATCCACATGTCTTAACATGGGCCCCAGACGTCATGTGTTTACCAACTTTTGATCACTTCAAGCTTTCACCTTCTCCAAAACTTCTGCGCTTTTTGTTTCCCCAAAAGTGTTTCAAAATGTAAGACATACTTTGTCTTTATTAGAAAAGTTGCAGTTACATCATCTAATGTGCACGTATATGTATAATTTTGGGGAAAACCATTTTTGACGAGAAAATGAAGAAGCCACCCCTCCAGGGCACACAATGCGCTCAGAATAAGGTTTTACCTTCTCCTCCCCCTCTGACTCAGGTACAACTTTAACATGCTTTATAATATTTCAGACGCACTGAGAATGCGTCTATGAGAGGCTCGTTTATGTAAGAAAGAATATCTTTCTTTATGCAAGTAGATGCCTATAGCGACTCATAATGCTGTATCATTGAAATACATTATTTCAATTCCTTTATTGCAGTGAGTTCTGTTTTTGAAGCAATCTATCACTGTAAATTTTCAATCAACCCATTGAAATTTGAGTATAAAATTTGTTTTATGGTTAACTAGACAATGCATTTAACACTATATACAAACAAAAATAATATGTGTTTAATTAAAAATAATGGTATCCTAGTAAACGAGTACTTAAAAATAAGCAGCTGAATGTGAGTTCATGAATTCATGGGATCTAATGCTTCCGCACTTTTAACAACCTCGAATGTCAATATCTGAGCATTAATCCTAAAGCTGTTCAGCACCGAAAAAGGAGAGAATGATTTCTTACCGATGGCGCAGACTAGAAGCTCGAGTTTAAGTGCCACTTGGTTTTCCCAGCTGCGCGGCTGAATGCGTATGAACCGGGCCTCAATAGGTTCTTTGAAGTATTGTTTGTGAATCGAGCTGGCGTCATGGTTCGCGCCAAGCATCTGTACATTAAGTAAGAGAGTGAAAGAGGGAGTGACAGAAACGAAGAGAATGAATGGAAGGCAATGTTCATACACCACCAGACGTAAATGTGCACAAACAGTGAATTCTGTCAACTGCTCATATACACCAGTAGATAGAACAACAGAAACATCTTTAACCAATAGCGAAGTACGGTGTTCAAAATGCTGATTGTTACTACATTCATACAAAATACTTGAGTCTTGTTCATGAAAAAGGAAATGCTACTACTATCGGCTAAATTTGATTCAAAGGTTACGCAGTGGTTTGCTTCAGTAGTCATGAGAGCATCTCCTCTTTCTGGCCACATTATCATCTTCGTCACAATTTTTTCTATTTTCTCTATGTAGAAGAGTACACTAGAGCGCACAAGCACGGGCCTTCTAACAAATTCTCTCTCTCATGGGAAAGGTTACCCAGCTGCGAGATTTATGTTAACGTAAAGCTTCCGATTATTGAGAAGGATACACTCGGTGCAGCTAATGTAAACAGCGACGGACACAGAAATGTGAAAAATCTACCCTTCGGTTGGAGCCTTCAAGCTGCAGTCTCGTCTGTCTTTACTACTAGCGAAGCAGAAATATTTTTAAAAAAGGATTGTGTAGAAAGCTTTTTCAGCGATTTGAGTGATAGATCTCAGCTCCACGTCAGCGTGAACTGAATTGGGACAAGTAAATACGATGTAAAAAAAAAATACCTTCCTTCGTCTGCCCAGCTGAGATATCCATAACGCCGTACCATTCTGTTCAGAAATTTTTTTTGTTGTTGCGCATGCAGACAAGAACACGCTTCTCACTCATACATTACCAAACATGCATTTTTGGCTTTTTTTTCGCAACTCACGAGCCGTACTTCGCTCCAATATATATATTTTTTTCATTAGAAGGCGGGATGTTTGTTCAAAAACTGTGGCAGTGACAGAAATATATATCTCATCCATTGTCATGCGCGGCTATAGAATGGGGCTTTCATCCCTCACTCACTGGACATTTGTCGAATAGCAGGGTGTCCGTTTCTCTACAGTGCAACGAACTCTAAGTGCTGCCTCCTCTCTATGTGGTGTTGAGTGACGGAAAATACACTGAAATTTAGACCAGCTGCGCAATCACAAAGAAAGAAGGGTTACAGCATAGAGCTCAGTGTCCTGCCTCCCTTATTTTTTTGTGCTTACGCAGCAAGTCTAAATTTTAGTAGGAACCAACCAGTCTGCAAAGAAGTATCGTTGCAAAATACACTGTCTAGTAAATCTTGTTTTACAGTTAAAAGAACACAAAGATGCTAACGTGGTTGCTTGGGCGAGTTGGTACGACATGATTCACAGTGCCGCTGTCTGTCTCCTTCTTTCTCTTGTCCCTTGTTATTGGCGCTGTTTTTTATGTGAAACACAAAGATGCTTTTGGGAACTGTCCAAGTTGATCTGCTGTCCACAGCTGATAAAACGCAGACTAGTGTTAGCTTTCGCCATGGTGACAGAAGGGGAGGTAGCGCAATGCTAACAAAGTATTACGCAAGGTGTAATTTTGGAATAGAGCCAGAAACGCTAGAACTTAATCAATCTGGCTAGATACTGTAGTACCTTAGGAGATCCGTCTGGGTTGGATATTAGGCTGTAGGCAATGCCATCCTGACTGTAGAGCACGTTCAGCGACGTCACCCATGCTCCAATCAACGGGTCTCCGGCCGTCTCCATTCCGTACACTTTGGTCACTTTTCCAAGGTCCACTTCGATGAATACTGTGCTGCTGTCAAGATTTGGCACCCAAGATCCAGCTGCGGGATAATTGGCATTCAGGCGTGGTGAACCAATTACCCACCGTTATTAGGTTTGTACATGGAAACAGACTGCTGGACCACTTTCGTTTGGACAGAAGTCAGTAAACAGGGGTTGTAAGCTGGAGCCGATATTTCGACAAGTTGACTTGTATTCTTCAAGACCACAACTGATTTACTTAGCACCAGTGTGTGTATGCTTCGTACCTTCTCCTCCACTCTAAACAACGGGGGTGGAGCATGGCAACTGAGGATGAGGGTGTGCGGGAGGAGTCCACCATGACGAATTGAGTGAGTAAAAAAGAAGAGGTATTCGGAATTGTTTTCTTTTTCGCTCACACAATTTGTCACACAATCTGCACCCTGAATCATCCACAGTTTTCCTCGCCCCCTTTTTTGGTAAGATTCGAGGAGAGGTTTCGAAGCATATGCATACTTGTGTTAAGCAAATCAGTTGTAGCCGTGAAGAAGACAAGTCCACTTATCGAAACATAGCGCGAACACACAAACCCCGTTAACATTTTTTTTTTCATCGCAAGCTTCTATCTTCTCCTTCTTACTGTTTTTTAATTTTTTTGAAAAAATATTTGTACTAAAACACTTCATTTTTATTGCCTGGTAGCTGATGGTGTGGAAAATTTGAAACAGTCCACATCGGGACATGAGATAAAGCTGCCAACCATGTTTGTTTTTATTGTGTGTAGGCAACAAAATCATGCCAATTAAATATACAACACCAAGCTGTCAAAGGTCCTCGCAATTCCTTCACATTGTATACAGGGTGTTTCAGCTAAAAAGCGCCAAGTAAGAAAAAAAAAGAATACTGAGCACTACACATCTTCAATTAGTGCAGTATTGCTCTGAGCAATGTAGAGCACATCACAATCTTTTTTCGACCCACCAAGCTTGGAAATTAACAAAGATTGCTCAATGAGTTTTTAAAATAAAGACCCTAGAAAAAATTTCAATACAGAACTTGTAACGCTTAATCAGATATAATAAAATTGTCAATCTGTGGTAGATAACTGTGCTGCTTTATTTTTTGTAGCCTTTGTTTACAGCGCGCGAAATTTAAACAATACCACGTGATTGCTGCCTAACGCGCAGCATTTTCAGTGGCCTCACATGTAAGCTCAAGAAATGATCAAAAACTGCTAACACACAAAGGTCGTTTGAAGAAGCTGTCGGTTATTGCTATGGATGTTAAGGAATGATAGGATAGTACAAAAAAATTGACGAAAAAGTGGCCACCACGTGCGAATGTGATACGAATCCGCAGGCAGAATTCGACGCAGCGCTGGTATTTTTTTTCCTATGTTTTCGGGCTAACGATAATCATGATGGAGGGAGAGAGGGATGGGGAAGGAGAGAGAAGAATTTATTAAGAGCATGCAAATATCGCATTCTGAGGCAACACGTCTATTTCAGGATGAAATACGCGATAGGTATCGCGTTTGGTCGCTTGTACAAAGGTCATGCTTTGATAAGATTGAATCTAATCCCGGTCCGTTGAATCTAATCCCGGTCCTAACACAAACGAAGTTCTAACTACCGTCCTGGCCACTGTCCAGAGGATAGATTCCAGACAAGAAGAAATACTGAATGATCTGCGCGCCCTGAAACTTTGGCAGACATCTGTTGATGACGAACTAAAGCAGATATCCTCCCGGATGCATGCCGTGGAGGTGGACGTTATGGCTTTAAAGCAAAATGATGGTTCATCGACTTCCTTGTCACAAACTTCCGGCGTCAACATATGCGAAAAAATAAAGGCTATTGAATCGCGATGTGAAGATGCCGAGAACAGGTTACGACGTTCTAACCTGCTTTTCTTTGGCCTACCTGACGAACCGTCTGAGTCCTGGTTCTCATCCGAACAGAAAGTTATTCAATTATGTTCGCAGCACCTGGGCATAACACTTCAATCCTCGCAAGTTGAAAGAGCCCACAGGCTTGGAAGATACAACTCTGACAAGTGCAGACCGATCATCACAAAGTTCGCTTTCTTTAAAGACAAGCACAGCATCATGGAAATGGGCCACAAACTGAAGGGCACGCTCCTTGCCATCCGTGAGGATTTTGCTCCGCAAACACGGTTTGCTAGGAAAAAGTTGTTAGAATTTGGAAAAGCTAAAAACGTGCCTTTCAAGCTTTCAGTTGATAAACTGCGAATCGATAACGTTACTTACGTGTACGACGCCATCAATGACAAAATAACACCTGCATCGCAATAGCTCGCGCGTAGGTCGGCTACGCACACACTTGCAAACAATTTCCTGCCACATGCTGATCCCATTCAGTACAAGAACTTCACTTTATCATACACCAACATACGCAGTATTATTTCAAAGCGTACTGAGTTGTGCTCTTATCTTGAAAACAGCAACTGCGATATCTTGCTGCTTACGGAAACTTGGCTAAACCCTAATATCTCAGATAGTGAAGTTTTGCTTGACTCACCTGATTTCCATATTTTCAGAAAAGATAGGATAGGTAGAGCTGGTGGGGGGGTACTTATTGCCATAAAAAGTCATATCACATCTTTTGTGATTGACATTCCGTCACGGTTGGAAATTGTTTGGGTGTGCTCCTCATCACATGCATCCAAAACAATTTTCGGAGTATGTTACAGGCCGCCAGATTGCTCGGAAAGTTTTGTTACAGATTTGCACGACAACTTGACAAATTTGCGCTCTAAGTTTCCTAAAGCTGACGTTTTCCTCTTGGGCGATTTCAACTACCCTGAAATTGACTGGTCCAACCTAACTTCCCTCTCACGCAATTCCAGAGAGTTCCTCGATCTAACCCTTGACTTCTCTTTTGTTCAATTAATTGACCAACCCACGCGCCAACACAACATTCTTGACCTGCTTCTATCGTCAGCTCCTGAAAAAGCTACATCAACCTTATATCTAGATGGTCTCAGTGACCACCGTCTCATTCAGGTATCTATTAGCTTACCTGCATCCAAGCCTTATGTCTCTCCAAGGCCAATACTTGATTATAAAAGAGGTGATTATCAATCCATAAATCAGAGTTTAGTTGACTTCTCTCACTCATTTATGGCCTCTTTCTTCAACCGCTCAGTCAACGAAAATTGGTGCCTTTATAAAGAAAAATTGTTGAGCCTGGTGCATGAACATATCCCTCGCTTGACAATTCGCGTAAATACATCTAAACCATGGTTTACCCGTACACTTCGCACCCTTCGAAATAAAAAGAAGCGCCTTTTCAGTAAGGCAAAGTTATTGCAATCTTCGGTAGCATGGGCGAAGCATCGTGATTCTGATAAGGTTTATTGTCATGCTGTGCGTCAGGCGAAACACAAGTTCTTTTCACATGACCTACAGTCACTTTTAAAAAACGACCCTAAGAAATTCTGGAAATCAATCGCCCCCACACGCTCTAACACTCGTATCACGATTTTGAACAGCGCCGGTGTTACGGTCTCTCCTGAATCTTGCCCAGTGGTGTTTAATAATTACTTCACTTCAGTCTTTACGAAAGAAAATTACACTAACATGCCTCTGCCACCTACATTTCAGTATCGTTTTATGGATCCTATAGAGATTAATCCTGCAGGTATCTCTTCCCTAATTACAAATCTCAAGACGTCCACATGTTCAGGTGTCGACGGCATAAACTCTAAAATCTTAAAGCATACCGTTGTTCCGTCTAGTACCATTCTCGGTCACATCTTTCAGCAATCGTTACAAACTGGCGAGATTCCATATGACTGGAAAATCGCTAAGGTCATTCCGGTCTTCAAATCCGGGGACAAATGCCTGCCAAGTAATTATCGTCCCATATCCTTAACGAGCATCCCATGTAAGCTACTTGAGCACATTATTTCTTCACATGTTGCATCACACTTAGAACAAAACCAATACTTTTTTAAAAATCAGCACGGCTTCCGCAAAGGACTTTCTTGTGATACACAGCTTATCGAATTCACGCATGAGATCTTTAACAATATGGATGAAAATTTACCAACAGACAGCATATTCATCGACTTTTCTAAGGCATTCGACCGCGTTGCACATTGTCGTTTAATAGCTAAAGTATCATCTCTGAACTTAGATTCACTTACAGTCTCTTGGATTAGGAACTTCCTGTGTTTTCGCAAACAGTGTACTGTAATTGATAACATGTCTTCCCCTCTCTCGGAGGTGACATCTGGTGTCCCTCAGGGGAGCGTTATTGGCCCTTTGTTATTTTTAATTTTTATCAATGATCTTCCCTCAGATATCACGTCATCAATTCGCCTCTTCGCGGACGACTGCATAATCTATCGCAAAATCACTTCACCATCAGATCATACAGCTCTGCAGCAAGACCTTGATCGTGTAACCACATGGTGCTCTGATTGGCAAATGTCATTAAACGTTGATAAGTGCAATCAAATGACCTTCACTCGAAAGCGCTCACTCTCAACATTTCAGTATTTCCTTGATGGTAGCCCTCTAAGACCTACTTCATCTTATAAGTATCTAGGCATCCATCTGGCATCGAACCTTTCTTGGGCCAGTCATATCAACAAGATTACTGCTGACGCGTCACGAACGCTTGGTTACCTAAAACGCAACCTTCGTGATGCACCTCCTACCACACGAAAGCTCGCTTACCAAACACTCGTGCGCCCTAAACTCGAATACGCTTCTTCTATATGGTCACCTGACCAAGATTATCTATCCCGAAGCCTGGAATCGGTTCAAAACCGCGCTGCTCGCTTTATCACCGGTAACTACAGCAGGCATTCTAGTGTAACTAAAATCAAGCAGTCGCTCTCTCTTTCCTCTCTCGCCTCCCGCAGAAACATTTCTCTTTTATGTCTGTTGCACAGAATCATCAACAGCAAGCACAGTTTTTCCTTGCCACTTCTCAAACCTCATCGATATTCCCGTCGTTTGCAGCATAACCTCAGTTTTCAGCGTCTATACGGGCACACTAACGCCTATAATTCATCTTCATTACCACGTGCCATTGTACTCTGGAAAAAT